TCTTTCCATACTTTGGCTGTTGTTGATAGTGCTGCTATAAACATTGGGATGTGTGTGTCCCTTCAAAACAGCACACCTGTATCCCTTGGATAAATGCCTAGTAGTGCAATTGCTGGGTTGTAGGGTAGTTCTATTTTTAGTTTTTTTTATTTTATTTAAAAAAAATTTTTTTTCAACGTTTTTTATTTATTTTTGGGACAGAGAGAGACAGAGCATGAACGGGGGAGGGGCAGAGAGAGAGGGAGACACAGAATCGGAAACAGGCTCCAGGCTCTGAGCCATCAGCCCAGAGCCTGACGTGGGGCTCGAACTCACGGACCGCGAGATCGTGACCTGGCTGAAGTCGGACGCTTAACCGACTGCACCACCCAGGCGCCCCTATTTTTAGTTTTTTGAGGAACTTCCATACTGTTTTCCAGAGTGGTTGCACCAGATTGCATTCCCATTCTGTAATGATTTTCTGCTGAGACTAGCTGGTTTACAAATGTTTCTGACCTCTGACCCATACTGTGTGTGACCTACCCAGTGCGCTGTCCACCATCTTGCTCTCCCTTCCACATTCAGAGTCTTAGATCCTGTCTGCTGCCCCGTTATTGGGTCTTGCCGGTCCCAGTCTCTATAAGCCCAGCCACTACTCTCGGTCTCAGTCTTGGCTGTCTCCTGCCCTTCACTCAACCCCTGCTCTGAGATGCACAGAATTCATCTAGTCTTCTCTCTACTGGTCCCTCACACACCTCAAGAGACTTCCCAGTGCTGGGTAGATGTAGCGTTCAGTCAACTCAAGTTTAGGAAACAATTAGAAAAATTGTAACCAAAGCAAAGAAAATGTATATCATGTTGGGGTGGCTCAGTCAGTTGAGCATCCAACTTCGGCTCAGGTCATGATCTCGCGGTTTGTGAGTTTGAGCCCCACATCGGGCTCTGCGCTGACAGTGCAGACCCTGCTTGGGATTCTCTCTCTCTCCTCTCTCTCTGCCCCTCCCCCCCTCTCACACCCCCCCCATCTCAAAATAAATAAATAAACTTAAAAAAAAAAAAAGAAAATGTATTCATGCGGGTGCCAGACAGAGCCATGCCTTCTTCCATGAAAGCTGATGGAGCCTTCTCCTATGCAGTATACATGGATCTAAAACCAACAGAGAATGAAAGTCTGTGTGACACTGTTCACAGTTAAATCCAAATGACTCGCAGGCCAAATGTTATTTCCTATACCTGACTTTGGGTTCTGGTCTCTACAGAAGTACGTTCTTACCAGACGACACAATAGTTGCACCATTCAATTGGAAAACACGCCAATACCCAGCTATTTCTGGGTCCTCATGCTAGAGGATAAACAGGCTAAAAAAGGGGGGAATTATGCTTTGGATTGGGGTACTTGGTCTCAACTCTTAAAGGGCTGCTGTTACACAGTGGCAGCCTAGAGGCGTGTGACTACAATCTCCACAATCCAGTCCTGCCACATCTAAGGGCAAAATGTAAGAGCACTCTACCCCTGTACTTGAAGGACCTTCAAAGACAGAATCCTCAGGAAAGGAGGTTTGGGTCACTCTAACTGGCAAAGAGGTGCTTGCTGAAGGCAGAGGGAACGTGGAATGAGTAGCAAGGGAAGAAAACCATCAATCCTAATACATCCTCTTGAGGAGTCACAGAGACGAAGTTTGCAATCTCAATCTGTGTTTTTAAAATTTTTAATGTTTAGTTTTGAGAGAGATAGAGAGAGCAAGGGAGGGGCAGAGACAGAGGGAGACACAGAATCCGAAGCAGGCTCCAGGCTCCGAGCTGTAAGCACAGAGCCAGACGCAGGGCTCGAACTCATGAACCAAGAGATCATGACCTGAGCGGAAGTTGGATGCTTAACCGATTGAGCCACCCAGGTGCCCCTGGAAGCATTTGTTTTGGTTTTAGAATCAAAAGGGGGATGAAGAATGCATCATGATATTAGGAAGAGTCAGATTATAATGGGAATTTATAATTTTTTGATGCTTGGCATCAAAATACTTCCTACCTTGGAAGATTCCAGAGACTGGTAGAGGCGAAACCCCCCTCCTACTACCCAAGCTAAAGGAGGCGGACATTCTCTCTTCTCTCTGGTGGCCAGGGCACATGAAGAGGCTCAGGCTGGACAGTGTTCCCAGTGATGTTGAGTCATGAGAGAGTGATGCAAGATGCAAGACAGTGGAGAATTAACTAGATGGTTAGAGTGTCCAGTAGGGACAGCATTAGCATCCTCACCCGGGATTTCCGGGAGTGTGATCTCAGACGTGTTCCCAGAGGCATAATTGTCCTTGGTTGCAGTCTCTCCAGCCATTTCTCCCATTTTATGTGCTGTTAGATTACGTTTAAATAAAGCCGTTTCCTGCATGATGAGCTCGTGTTAGTTTCCAATGTTTGCATCCAAGAACCAGACTGGTAAAATCATAATATTTAATTGGTCTTTTATTGTTAGTTATTTGGATTCTTCGCATTTTTAATATAAGGAGTGTTATAACAAATTATTCACAAAGCTTTTCTGCCCCTCTGTTTAAGATTATTTTCTTTTTTTTTTTAAATTTTTTTTTTAATGTTTATTTATTTTTGAGACAGAGAGAGACAGAGCATGAACGGGGGAGGAGCAGAGAGAGAGGGAGACACAGAATCGGAAGCAGGCTCCAGGCTCTGGGCCATCAGCCCAGAGCCCGACGCGGGGCTCGAACTCACGGACCGTGAGATCGTGACCTGAGCTGAAGTCGGACGCTTAACCGACTGAGCCACCCAGGCGCCCCAAGATTATTTTCTTAATATGCAGGTTCAACTAAGTCTTTACAGTAGATCTTGCCACACATTTTCAGATGACTCTGCAACGTATAAAAGATACCGTTTCACTGAATCTTTGCATGGGTCACTTCTTGAACAACCGATACAGCAAACGATACAAGTTACAAATGATTTATCTCAGGAAGAAGATTTTTTGCACATGCCCATTTTTTTAAGATCACCAAGGCTTATTAAACACCAAAGTTTAGAAAGCATAGCCACTTTTTGATTACAGTCTTTCCAAAATACATCACATACTTCCTAACCTCCTCCCACCGGGATCCCTCATCCCCGGAGGCCTGGAGGAGAGATGGTGGGTTTATCTTGCCCTTGCACTTGATTCCCGTGCTTTCCTCAGCGCTGGGGAATTCGCTGCCCGGGGTGACCTCAATAGCCTCCTGGTCAGAAGACAGAAACTCCTTCCTCTTCAACCCTTTCCACCCTCTCTGGCTGGTACTTGCATAGTCTCCAACCACTAAAAAGGTAAAACAGTTGAATGTTGCTGTTGCAAACAGATACCCATGCTTGGAAAGTCAACCACCCGTTCAAAGGTGGAAGTCAGTGTCCTGGTGGGAAAGCTGGAGTGTGTTCCACTCTGTACATTGGAGCAAACAACGTAGACATTGTGACAGTCTAGTTTTCAACTCTGTGTGTCATTTGTTTTCGTAGAAGTTTCCAAAAGTGTAAGAACATTACAATCATGTTTCAAGAGAGATTTCTGGGGGCTCTTTCCGGTAGAAAAATGTCATTCCATTCTTCAGGATCTCCAGGGAAACTGCAATTTTCCTAAATAATCTATGTTTTAAGAAATGTCATAATTCTATGTAATCCTAAAGCCCCCTTCGTTAAATGTTTAAATCCAGTTTTTATGAGTCAGTTTTTAAGGGACATGGTTCCAGCTGCTTTCCTCTTTCATACGGCAGTGTCAGTGTCCATTATTTGTTATGCAAAAATGAGGGGCTAGATTCCCTTAAAATAACTCTGCTGAAGGACAACTTTCACAAATAGAAGCACTGTGCTCTGTTATATAGCAGACATGCAAAACAAGTTAATGTGGACTCATAGACCTAATTGGAAATGAGACAACCTGATCTTTCATACCAAACAATAACAGCAGGATTGCTACTCTTTCAAAAATCAGATTTTGCAGCAAAAATGCTTGCAGACAAATTATGAAAAGTAGTTCAATATTTATCTTTTTGAATATTGTTCCAGTGCCATTTGGGGAGGGCGGAATTCTTTGGTTGAGAGAATGGATATATAGGGAAGCGGGTATAAAAATTACATTTTGGGGGCGCCCCGGGTGGCTCGGTCGGTTAAGCATCTGACTTCGGCTCAGGTCATGATCTCACGGTTCATGGGTTTGAGCCCTGCTTCGGGCTCTGTGCTGACAGCTCAGAGCCTGGAGCCTGCTTTGGATTCTATGTCTCCTTCTCTCCCTGTCCCTCCCCTGCTTGTGCTCTGTCTCTCGCTGTCTCTCAAAAATAAATAATTGTAAAAAAAAATTTTTTTAATTACATTTTGAATTCTATGCATTTTACTCACGATAGAGTGATAGTTTCATACATAGCGCAAATCCAAATAAAAATCAAATACAGGACAAGCTAGCACATGCCATCCAGATTTATTCCATTCTAGTGTTAGAGACATTGACTTATTTTAACTTCATTTGCTTAAATTTTACTTTGTTGTGGTAAGAACATTTAATATGAGATCTACCTTCTTTTTTTTTAAGTTTATTTATTTATTTTGAGAGTGAGAGAGAGAGCACAAGCAGAGAAGAAGCAGAGAGGGAGAGGGAGAGAGAGAATCTCAAGCAGGCTCCACACTGCTAATGGGTAGCCTGACGTGCGACTGGATCTCACGAACCATGAGATCATGACCTGAGCTGAAATCAAGAGTTGGATGCCCAACCGACTGAGCCACGCAGGCACCCTGAGATCTACCTTCTTAACACGCTTTTAAGTGTGCAATACGTTATCCTTGACTTACGTGTAATGTAAGGCAGAACTCTAGAACGTATTCATCTTGCTTCACTGGAACTTTATGCCCACTGATTAGTAACACTTTTCCCCTTGTCCCCCAGCCCCTAGCAAGTCATTTCACATTTAGTTTCGCTTGACTGAAATGATGATTAGTAAATAGAATACTTATTTAGATTTGTGCTTATCGCTTCTCGGCCTTTTGGCTAAGATCATGTGTAGATTTGTGCTTGCCATATGTAACAAATTATTTTTAGGTTATGAAAGAGAAAGGAAGGCAAGAGGAAAGGTTTCTCAAGCCAGAGGCGATTTCTCTGCTTCCCCCTTTCTATTCCACGTGGAACAGCATTGCCTGGGCCCAGCTCAGATCTCTGGCAAGGACCGGGCTCGGGACGGGGAGGCAGGCAGGACTGACCATTTCTGTTTCCCACGTTCAGCACAGCTCCTCAGGTTTACTTGTCAGAAGCCAGAAAAGAAGGCACAGGTGACTTCGTACGTCCCCTCTGCCTAACTGTAGCAAGCAGCATATTTATTTTCTCGCTCAACAATCTCATTTTTAATGGCAACAACTTGATCTTCCAACTCTTTCAGTTGGTCAGCTTTTTCTTGTCTACTCAGATTCAAATCTTGGATCTTCTTTTCTAAATCTGAAACAAGAAAATGAAGTACAGGATGTATTTGGTTTTGGTCTGGTTTGGAATCTGGATACCCGCCTTATACCTTACACAGGGATTTACGGGTCTCTTAAAGATGTATTTAGCTTTGCGTTTTGATTCCACGGACAAAACGTTTATTTTCACCAGACTTCTTGAGGTTTTCACACAAATCAGGGCAGAAAAGTTGATATTTTTGTCTAAAAAGTGGTTGATATCTAATGGCATATATCAATGTCAGTCTAAAGCAAGTTAGAATTCATTAGAAATGAAAAGACAAATGATGAGCCTTGATTGGATTTGGTGCATATTTCCAAATGTTTGTTCTTGCTGTTTTAACTTCACTTGTTTTTTTCCATTTTAATGTTTATTTTCGAGAGTGAGAGAGACAGAGGGTGAGTGGGGGAGGGGCAGAGAGCGAGGGAGACAGAGAATCAGAAGCAGACCCCAGGCTCTGAGCTGTCAGCACAGAGCCCCAAATGGGGCTGGAACTCACAAACTGTGAGATGGTGACCTGAGCCGAAGTCAGGTGCTCAACTGACTGAACCACCCAGGCGCCCCTGATGAGGAACTTCTTAAAGAAGGAAAATAAATGTCCTGCTTCATCTGGACAGATCACACCTGGGTGATCGGGTGGCCTGGGGGAATTGTCACACTAGCCTGGAGCGTGTGTCTAGAGGAAGGAACCGGAGTGCTGAAGACATCTGAAATGTGGGTGTTTTTTGTCATCCTGAGGAAACAGAATGAAACCGGCAAGCGAAAGTTCCAGGAAGGAAGATTTGTCTGATTTATAAAGAACTTTCTAGCAGTCGCAGCTGTTCAAAGAAAGAGCTGTTATGGAAGGTGGCGAGCATTCTGTCTCTAGAAACTTAAATAACAGGTCACTTGGGAATGAAAAGGAGATCCAGCACTGGAAGGGGATTTGTTCTAAAAGGAGAAAAGCCCCCTGTGTTTCCGCCACGTAAGTGAGTGAGGCTATGCGGGTTACTCCTCGTTTGCCTGACCACATCCATTCTCCGTCCTGCTCTGTCCTGGAAAGCTGGCCTCAGTGGGTGACATCATCCGGCTCCCTTGATCTCTGGGTCTCATTCACACTTGGCCCTGGACAGTTCTGGGAAGTGATGGGAGGGGGAGGGGGCGGGTGAGCAGACGGTCCCCGTGGAGAAGCAGGCTTCTGGCAGTTCATGCGTCCCCCCCCCCCGCAAAGGGGGGCCCCCCCCCCCCCCCCCCCGCCTCTGGCTCCAGCCTTCATAGAGCTCCTTCAGGGCTCTGGCCCTCCTGCTTCCCCTGCCCCTTCAGGCCCAGGGACACTGATGGCTTCTCATTGCCGCCCGTCACCAGGTACCTCCACACCCTTAGCAGATTCTCTGAATTCCTGGGTGGTTTTTAGAGGTCCTCCTATCAAGAAGCAGAGGCTATCTGCCCTCCCCCCTCAAACCAGGTCCAGCACTGCATGTTGTTTTGACCAGTACGAAGGGAGAGAAACGTACAGGACCACAGGGGCCTTGCAGTTTCTGTGCTCATTCTCATGGAATTCAATACAAGAGGCCGTAAGGCAGCCTGGGATAAAAGACCCTGGAGAAAACGCTCCAGCATCTCAGTCAAGCCCGGCCCCAGGCGGACCAGCCAGCTGACCCAGGAGCTGAGAGCACCTGCTTGAAGAACTCAGGACAGACCCACAGAACGGCCACCCAGAAAGCCACAGAAAAACAATGCACGGCTGCTGTGTTAAGCCCTTAAATTTGGGAGTGCTTGGTTACACAACAAATAGATAACAGAGCCCACTCTGTTTATAAGTATGCAATCCAGGGGCATCTGGGTGGCTCAGTCAGTTAAGCATCCGATTTCAGCTCAGGTCATGGTCTTGCGGTTCGTGACTTTGAGCCCCGTGTCGGGCTCTGTGCTGACAGCTCAGACAGAGCCTGGAGCCTGCTTCAGATTCTGTGTCTCCCTCTCTCTCTGCCCTTCCCCCACTCATGCTCTGTCTCTCTCTCTCTCTCTCTCTCTCTCTCTCAGAAATAAATAAACATTTAAAAAAAATATATATATATATATATGATCCAGAATTCTATCCAGGTGTGCTTCCTATTTCTCGCTGGGACCCTGAATGACACAAAGGACTATAGAGGGACCCTGGCTGTGGACTGGGGTCTATTCTCACTCAACCTTGACCCTGCCAACGTAAATAAGGGCTCCCTTCTGGGGTCCCATGGGCACTTCTTCCTAACAGGTATGACAAGAGCACAGCTGTTGGGGTTCAGACCCTTCTCGAGTGGCAGAATCAGGAAGGTGGCCAAACCAATGTCTTCTTTTCCTACCTTGTTGAGCTGTCAGAACAGCTCTCAAAACAGAGCCAAGAAAGTGGAGTGTGTTGTTTTAGACTTCTCTTAGAAGGCCCTTAACTTCTCTTCCAAGCGAATTTCAAAAACTGTTGAGAGTTTGAGGCTATGGGAATACGTGGAAACAGTTTGGGCCTCAACATAAAACACAAGACAGAAAATGTTCTCCCCACGTTTTTGCTCCTACAGTAAGGACCAAGTTGTGTGAATAACAGCAACTGATTTTCATGGTATTGCTTATGGAGGGCACAATAAAAACCGCTCTTTTTGACTTTTTCCTGGTTAATTTCTTCTCAAAATTGTTAGGAAAATATGGAAAGTGAAAACTGTGTAAATTCCATAAACGTAAAAGATGTAAATTATATAAACAATTACATTAATAGAAAAAGTAGCGTTTTCCTCTTTACTCTCCGCCTCCCCAGAGATAATGAATGGTAACAGGGTGGGATGTATTTTTCCTGACTTTGGCCCACACCAATGGTGTGTTCTCATTTTTTTCCCTGTCATAGTGGGAATATAAGTGATTCTAAGGCCAAAGACTCATTTTATAACAAAGAAGCCTTATACAGGAGGAGTCTCGGTTGTTTGAATATTTTGAGAGTTATTTACATTCCAAATGAATATGATTCACTTTAAAGTTTTGGAGACAATACAAATACAACCAAAAGTGAAACGAGGCCACTCATCATTTGGTATTTCTTGATGATTTAGAAGCAGTTAAGGGCATGATGACTGCCTAGAAAAACCATGAGTACAAGTTGTGGGGGAAGAAGATTCTGATGAACTTTCTGACTGTAGGCATTCTATATTTACTACACTTTGTGCACATCTAAATGTCCATTTTTGACCAAAATCCTTGTCTGGACTACGATTCCTTCTGGAATGCTACCTACAGATCTCTGTAGGATGACCAGTGCCTTGGGGTCTAGATCATATGGACTCCAAAACAGTTATTTGCATGAGAGGAGAAATAGGAAGCATAGGTTAGGACGGGGTGTTTCAAGTTTCTCAACATCCACACTACTGATTCTCTGGGTAAAATAATTGTTCACTGTGGGGCCGTCCTGTGCATCATGGAATGTTTACCTGTGCCCCCGGCCCCCATCCACTAGATGCCGGTGGAACCCCCTAGGTGTGACAAGCAAACAAATGTTTTCAGACGTTTTTGTCCCCAGGGAAGGAGATAAAATCACCCTGGGTTGAGAAACAGTGGGTTCGGAAAAGGGCATTTCAGGTTGACCAAAGGCCATGCCAGTTTGTTCTGATGAACACAGAAATGGAGGCTCTATGATACCCTTTGAAGTAAAACCATGCAAGCGGCTTGTTACACTGCGGTCCCCAAGGCACTGACCCAATTCCTGCTTCCTTTCCTCAGTGGACTCATATGTGGTTGAACTGTGTCATGATCAATTGGTATACATTCTACCAGGGAACTGTGGCACTCTGTTATTGTCACATTGGTGGAGCATGTGATAGAATAGATAGAACTCCCATATAATCCAGCAATCCCCTTTCTGGGTATCTCTCTGAAGGAAATGAAATCCATATCTCAAAGAGGATATCTGCATTCCCATGTTCATTGCAGCATTATTCACAATAAATAAGATATGGGAACAACCTGAGTGTCCATCAATGAATGAAGAAAATGTGTGTGTGTGTGTGTGTGTGTGTGTGTGTGTGTGTGTGTAATTCAGCCATAAAAAAAGGAGGAAATTCTGCCATTTGCAACAACATAGATGAACCCGGAGGACATTATGCTAAGTGAAAATAAGCTGGAGAGAGAAAGACAAATACTATATGATCTCACTCATAGATTCATGTGGAATCCCCCCCCCCCCCCAAAAAAAAAGCTGAACTCCTAGAAGCAGAGAGAATGGTGGCTGCCAGGGTCTGGTGGGTGGGGGAAATGGGGAGAGCTTGGTAAAAGGGTTCAGTTTTAAGATGAAAAAGTCTGGGGATCGCATGTTCAGTGCGGCGCTGTTTAGTTAACAATATTCTATTGCATATATGAGTAGATGTTAAACATTCTTACCATAAAAAGTATGCGGGCTGCTGTTGATTAACGTAATTGTGGTGATCATTTTACAACACATATGCCCATCAAATTGTCACAGTGTACACTTTAAATATAGACAATTTCACCTGCCACTTGGACCTCCAGAAAGCTACAAAAAAGGAAGAAATACCTGCTATTCTTCTTATCTTGTCTTCTGTATCTGTGGCCAGTTTTTCTGCCGCCTCTTTTAGCTGTTCCACTTTATCTAATGTTACCTTTGTCAGTCCTGTAGCACTTGTCTTATGCTGAAGAACAGCATATTGGTTGCTTAGCTCTGCAAACTCCTATAACAGAGAAACGCTCCCATCACCAGAAAATATTTATAAAGCGTGTATACGGGTGTGATATTTGCCTGATACCGTTCACAAAAGGTGCAAGTGGAAACCATGATCTGATCAATATGCTGGAGTCACCCGGATATTTCCAACAGGGCTTTTATTTGCAATGGTTTTTTTTAGACTGAAAAAAATCCTCAGCTTTAGCTAATTAAACATAAAACTGCTTGGTTACAAAATAGCAATGTTAATTCCATGTTAAGGCAATGATTTAGGAAGCACCGATTGTTTGTGCTAAACTAGCTAAGGTGGGAGATACAGAGGACAGAACTGACGCAATCCTGCCTTTGACAAATCTTTGGTTCAGCTGGATCAGACAGCTGCCTGCACAGGATGAAGGGCAGAGTGAGTGGCAAAGATTTAGTAGCAACAATACGTTATTTGGCTGGCAAATACGTAAGAGAGAAATGAGGCAGGAAGCGAAGTATATATGTGTTAGTGTCCAGAGCTCCCTCAGTGTTAGAATGGACATCTCTGGGGTCAGCCCTCATGGCTGACAGTCTAGAATGTTAAATAGATGAGAGAAGGCCAGGAAGGGGCTATGGAGATGGGGAGAGGGTGGGCTGGAAGTACCTTTCTCCACTTCTGTTCATAGAAAGTGTGCTCAAGTCCCAAGTGGGGGGCGGGGCGGGGGGGGGGGAAGTGACCCTGCCCATTAGAAATTAAAAGCAAGAGAACCGACTAATTGTAAAAACACTTAACATCTTTCCTTTGTGTAAGCTACTCTATTAATGCAGCCAACCAGAGATATCCTGCTAAGAAAATGAGTTGATAGTTTCTTTCAGCAAACTAGATTAGTAGGGTATTTTCCACAACTGTTTAATTAACTCACTCTGACTTTTGTAACATGATCTATTCTCTTTGGCAGGTGACTTTCACTTGTTTTCATTATAGGTTATGTGATTTATCTAGAGTAAAGGGTAAATACGCCCAAGATTGACCCACGGCACAGACTGTGAATGTTTGGAAGGGAGGGAAAAATAGACCAGGAAACCACTAGAAGTACTAGGAGGAGTAGATGGGGGGAGGAAACACTCCTAGGACGGTCAAAGGACGTTTGTCTTCCCCGGAGACAGCCCTCCGTTACAGAAGAGCCTTCATGCCCATGGGAATCCCGACTAACACACACCACTGAGCAGGGTCCAGCACTAACGGAACTGCTGACAAATGGCACCATGAGGTGGGGTTAAAGGATTATCCTCCAAAGAAGCACTGTCTGCTCTTCGTGGTACTGGTGGGGCTACTGACCTCTTCAAGGCCCCCAGCTTGGCGTTGGGCCGATGCAGCCTGAGCTCTCACGCGGGCCGCTCGCCCCCGGTTCCTTTGCAACGTGGTCCGCAGCTGGGAGAGTCCAGCTTCCAGCACCGACTGCTGCTTTGCTGAGTCCAGCTTGTTCTCGGTGTCCTTGGCTTCCTTTTCAGCCTGTTGTCGATTGAAAGACCAGAAGGGAGAAAGTCCCTTCGTGTAACAAACCACACAAAGACAAATGATCGAATTATGCCCTTCAGAAAATAAGCTAGGTGTGAAGGGAAAGTAAATCATTCCTTCGGTTTTTCAGTTCCACCCAAAACAAAGTTGTAATAAAATATTCCTAGACATACGCGCGGGCGTGAAAGCAAATATGACCCGTATCTACGCACTTTCCAGCCCGTTTAAGAATAAAGCGCTTGCCAGTGAGTGAAGACCCTCATCCCATCCCTTCTGTCCCCCTAAAGGGAACCACTCTCCTGAATCTAACATGCGTCACCCCGTGTATTTCTACATGCTTTTTTACTATTACAAAGTCGGTATTTTTTTTTAAATTTTTTTTCAATGTTTATTTATTTTTGGGACAGAGAGAGACAGAGCATGAACGGGGGAGGGGCAGAGAGAGAGGGAGACACAGAATCGGAAACAGGCTCCAGGCTCTGAGCCATCAGCCCAGAGCCTGACGCGGGGCTCGAACTCACGGACCGCGAGATCGTGACCTGGCTGAAGTCGGACGCTTAACCGACTGCGCCACCCAGGCGCCCCCAAAGTCGGTATTTTTAACACCTGCGGTATTTCTTTTTTTTTTTAACTGTATGCAAATAAATGATACTGTCTCTTTCTGCACCTTAAATTTTTAATTCAAAGTTATGCTTGTATACTTCATCTTGGCTAGTTTGCATAGCTCTTGTTTATTCCGTTTTAGCAATTTAAAGCATTCCATTGTTCGGATATACAATTGATATTCCTATTCGCTGGTTATTTATTGCAGGTGGCTTCTAATTCTTTTCCCCCTTACAAACAATAATGAACATCTTATACTTGTTTCTTATTTCCGTGACTACATTTGTCACATATAGAAGTCAAATCTGACTGGTCATCTGTTATATCCTTTTTATTTATTTATTTTTTTAGAGTGAGAGAGCGTGAGTTGGGGAGAGGGGAGGAGAGAGAGTCTTACGCAGGCTTCATGCTCAGCCCGGGGCTCAATCCCACGACCCTGGGATCATGACCTAAGCCGAAATTAAAAATTAAGAGTTGGATGCTCAACCGACTGAGCCGCCCAGACGCCCCTGTTATCTCTTGTATCTCATTCTTTGGTCGTCCTTTCATGCCTTCTTTGATTTTCTCAAGCATAATAAACATTATGATTTTGTATTCTGTATCCAGTGATGGTATATCCCCCGTCTCTTGTGTTCTGATTCTGTTGTTTACTATTTCTGATGACTCTTGCTTGAGGCAGGCAATTTGTTCTTTCATGTGTTTGGGGAGAATTTTTTTGAGTCTTGGTTTTAAGGTAAATTCCCTTGTTTGTCTCTGCCAGGCATCTGAGGGCAGCCCAGGACCACCTTAAGGGACATTTTCAGCTTGGGTTGTGGGGGGCCACACAGGTAGTGTGAATCTGACCCTCAAATTCCTGTGAAAGCCAGCTTGGGGGTAGAAATTCTTAGTCAAGACTTTCCTTCCCTATAGCCCCAGTGTCTTACTGGGGCTGCCCTCCCAGGGTGTGTGTGTGTGTGTGTTGGGGGGGAGGGGTTTAACATTTCACTGAGAATTTTGCCTTTCCATTTGGGGTCTTATTCTCTCCTTGAATGGGCTTTGTTTTCTGTCTCTTCTGCCTGGTGAGCATTAAGACCAACAGCTCTCATGCACCAGGGGTTGGCAGATACACTCTGCCCGCCGTCAGGTTCATGCTTTATTACCTCTCTGGCGTCAGACTTCCCTGTCACTGTTGGCCTCTGAAGAGTTCATCCATTTCTTACTAATTCAGCTGTGTATTAAAATTAAAAAAAACTCCTATGCAACATTTTGGGTATTTTTCTACTAGGAGGGCTCCTTGGGGTCCCGGGTGCACCATATTTGTAGAAATAGAAGTCCCTTGTTGTGCCCTTGGACACACGAGGAAATTATTCTAGAGTACAAGTCTACGGACTGTTTCCGTAAAGGACCAGATAGTAAATGTTGTGTGCTTTGTCGTTCATAAAGTCTTTATTACAGCTATGCAACTCTGTGCCACTGTAGCACAAAAGCAGCCACCGACAGTGTGTGGCTGTATTCCACTAAGACTTCGTGATTTGGGATAAAAACAAAAACAAAAACAACAACAGTTAGTGAGCCCATTTGGCCCGGGGGCTCTATTTCGCCATCCCCTGTTCTAGAGTATATGCCTCGAAGGGGAAATCCTCGAGGCCTTCTTTGGTTTCTCTGCTGCCCAATATTTGCAACCGGTTCATATCCAACCCTTTTACTTCCTGGTGCACTGCATCCTGTTCTGTCTGTTTCTGCTTTTCTTTTCAAATTGCATGTATTTACCTATAAAACCCGGCTGCAGAACAGAGACCGAGGAACCAGCATTCTACGGAGAAGGGAATAGACTGGAGAGTGGAGACTTGGAGGAAGACACTTCACACAGCTTGGGACTAGGTCCTGTCCTGTCTTCCAACTGCCAGGTTCCTCTCCCGGATCCATTCTGTAGGTTAAACCATGGCTTTGCACCCTGTCCCGTGCTCTGGATGGGACGCTTTCTTTAGGGTAAGATATTCTTTCAGTCTTAGGATAGTCTGATGAGCTCTCATGCAAAACCTGGCAGTTACAAAACCCTGGCAACAATCAGCTTTATTTCTTTGCCTCATGAGCTTTCGCAAGTCTATGGCTTTCCCTGGAATCAGAAGGGATTAAACTCCGGCCTCAAATCTACCTTTAATAAGCTGTGTGACCTTAGGCAGGTCACTTAACCTCCCTAAGTCTCAGTTTCCTCATTTATAAGCAGACAGTAGCACCTGCTTCTTCCCCCGGGAGGGGTCAAGAATGAATGAAGTGATACTCTGAGAGTTCCATAGAACATTGGGGCGCCTGGGTGGCTCAGTTGGTTGAGCATCTGACTTCGGCTCAGGTCATGATCTCACAGTTTGTGAGTTCAAGCCCTGCACTGGGCTCTCTACTCTCAGCACAGAGCCCATGTCAGATCCTCTGTCCTTGTCTTTCTGTCCCTCCCCAGCTCACGCTCTCTCTCTCTGGAAAATAAAACATTAAAAAAAAAGAACATCAATTAAATGCATAAAACCACCATCATTTTATTTTATCCTAAAATCATCCCATCAGATGGGTTAGGCAAGCATCACATTGGCACACAAAAAACCATGCTGTGTCCACATTCAAAATTTTTTTCAGGTTAGTTTCAAAGAGGGTACAGAAATACCTGCACGGTGTTCTTTTTAATTTTTGTTATCTCTGCAGTCAGCTGTGTGATGGCAGAATTTATCCGTCCTTGGGTGGTTTGAACTCGTTGCAATCTATTCAGCGTTTTGTCAAGATTTAGTAGAACATTTGCTGCTTTTCTAAGGTAAGATATTAATGTGTCAGATTAGATAAATATACAATTATTCATTTATTTCACCTTGGGAGTTCATTGGACTCAACGGAAAAACTTGGCTGAATTATTTATAAAGTAAATTTAAATTACTCTTACGCAAGGCAAAGTGCGGAAATCTTTATTTTGAGAAATAGGTATTACATGCCAATAAGAATGCACATATACACACATCAAATAGATATGGATTTCGGCAGATGTGGAAATCAATGACACAGGCCTTGTTCCTTCTCGATCTGTCATAACCAGAGAGGCTTGAGGACTCTCACTGCCCAGCTTTGAACAAAATAACTCTCCTCAGCCGATTCCAGTTCCCTGGTTTGTCAAACTTAAGCACTGCTCTCTAAATCCTCACCGGAGTGGGGGTGGGATAGTCAAGAGACTCCACAGACAGCAAAGAGAACTAAAAGCTCTACGTTTTCAGGCTGTGTTTATTCAGGTTTATTTAAGCTTCACTGACATCCTAGCTTCCAGGGGCCCAGTCAGAGGTTAAAATCACAAGCATTCCAAGTGATAGTCTGTTTTACAGAAATAAGCTCACCTCTAGTCAACAGTCAGCAGATACTTAGATCTGTGGGCTCAGAAGCACCTTGGGAAGAATGTACCAGGCGAGTGGAGTATCAGATAGACCTTTGCAGAGGCAGAATCACAAGTGCGTGCGGAACAGCAAGAAAAACTGATTTGCAAAACATCCGCCTTCCCCATGCAACCCCACCTCTCCTAGTGGAATCTTTCACTCACTTTTTAAAAAAAGGCTATTTTTTGGGGCGCCTGGGTGGCGCAGTCGGTTAAGCGTCCGACTTCAGCCAGGTCACGATCTCGCGGTCCGGGAGTTCGAGCCCCGCGTCAGGCTCTGGGCTGATGGCTCGGAGCCTGGAGCCTGTTTCCGATTCTGTGTCTCCCTCTCTCTCTGCCCCTCCCCCGTTCATGCTCTGTCTCTCCCTGTCCCAAAAATAAATAAATGTTGAAAAAAAAAAATTTAAAAAAAGGCTATTTTTTAAAAACAGTTTTGGGTTCACAGCAAAATTAAGCAGAAAGTCCAGAGAGGTCCCTTATGCCCCCTGCCCCTCTCCCCCACCCCCCCTGCGGGCACAGCCTCCCCAGTCATCAACATCCCTGCCAGGCTGGTACATTTGTTAGCATTGACGAACCCGCATGGACACATCATAGACACTGAAGTCCATAGTTTACATTGGGGCTCACTCCTGGTGGTGTCCATTCTGTGAGTTTGGACAAACGTACAATGCCATGTATTCATCATTATAGTGTCATACGGCATATTTTTACTGTCCTAAAATTTCTCTCTGCTCCACCTTTTTTTTTTTTTCATTCCTCCCCTCAACCCCTGGCAACTACTCATCTTTTTCACTGTCTCCACAGTTTTTGCCTTTTCCAGAATGTCCTTTGGTTGAACCATACAATATGTAGACTTCCCTTTCTATAACTTCTTTCTCTACAGTTACAGGAGGGGCTCAGGAAAGTTCTCCTAACACTCCCTGACCACCATATCTTTTTATTATATTCTTTTTCCTTCAGATTTTAGAGAGAGAAACAGAGCGTGCACACGTGTGGGGGGGAGGGGACAGAGAGGGAGAGAGAGAGAGAGAGAGAGATTGAATCTTAAGCAGGCTTCACACTCAGTGCAGAGCCCAACATGGGACTTGAGCCCATGACCCTGGGATCATGACCTGAGCCGAAATCAAGAGTCGGATGCTCAACTGACTGAGCCACCAAGGCGCCCCTCTTTTTCCTTTAGGTTTTCAATGTAACTGCTTATTAAATTTAGAAAATATGAAAAATTAGAAGAAGAAGAAGAAGAAGAAGAAGAAGAAGAAGAAGAAGAAGAAGAAAGAAGAAAGAAGAAGGAGGAAGAAGAAGAAGGAGGAGGAGGAGAGGAGGGAGGGGTGGAGGGAGAGAGGGGGAGGAGAGAGGGGAGGAGGGGGGGTGGAGGAGGAGGAGGAGGAGGTAGAAACACAAAACAAAGAAAAAATTATATCAGGAAGGGAAAAATTTACCACTAATCCTACCACCTTTTAAGATAGCAGCGTAGGGGCGCGTGGGTGGCTTAGTCGGTTAAGTGTCCGACTTCGGCTCAGGTCATGATCTCGCAGTCTGTGAGTTCGAGCCCCGCGTCAGGCTCTGTGCTGACCGCTCAGAGCCTGGAGCCTGTTTCGGATTCTGTGTCTCCCTCTCTCTCTGATCCTCCCCTGTTCATGCTCTGTCTCTCTGTCTCAAAAATAAATATACACGTTAAAAAAAAAAAAAAGATAGCAGCGTAGTCCAGTATTTTTATCCTACATTTTTTCTCCTTTCATGATGGAGGTCCTCTTCAGTGTATAAGCTCTTATCTTCTTCCTAAAAGCATTAGCATTATACTCCAAGAATCTCTGCATGTTACCAAGAATCTTTCTCAGCATCATTTTTAATAGCCAAGTGATTATACCGCAGTTACTTAATCTTCCTAGTTTTAAATATTAACCCTGGAAGGGGCTGGGCTTACACCTGAGTCTGGTACACTTCATTTACACAAGTGGGTGTGGAGACAGTGAAGGCAGCTCAGGGCTCAACCGCGGGGCACCCAAAAATGGTGGTGGATACTGATGATGTCGCCACTGTCCAAGTGACTCCATGACTCCGACCCACAGCACCCCACGCTCATAAAAACATCAAGAGGTCTTTTCCTTTTCGCTTGGCGAAGTCAACAAGGACAAGGGGAAGCAAGAGTTAATTGATTCTGCGCCCTGTCTCTCTAATTTTACTCCTGTGTTGCTCCTGGGGCACTAGTGTTCCTTTCTTCTATCCCTCGCCACCATATGTTTTTAGTGTGGTCTTTTTAAAAAAATTTAGATCTTCAAGGTACTGTCTATTATGGTAAATTTAGAAAGTCCCAGACATAGGTAAACAAGAAAGGGAAAATACACCGATATTCCCACCACTTGTTAAGAAACTGGCATATAACTAGTCTGTGACGTTTATTGGCATGAAGAGGTACCAGATCACTGGAAGGGCATTCTGACTCTATGGAAGGCAAATGGAAAATATGTATGCTCGCCCATTGCCTCCCAATTGCCCAGCTTCCTGAGACACCTGCAAAGGGCTTAGCCCTCACTGTGGGCATTGAACTACTGGAGGGTAATTTCATTTGGACGTTAAGCAACTCCTCACGCAAATATTTTGCAGATGGTCTTTTAGCAGATGGTCTGTGAGAGCAGGAATGGGATTATTAATGTTGTACTTACTCAGCTCCCTTTGCTTTCACCAAAACCTTTCGGGCTTCGTCTGCCGCTTTATTTAGCCTGCCCGCATCTGTTCTGTTGTCCTCACAGAGCTGCATCAGTTTTCGTATCTTGTCAAGTTCACGGGTTAGATTTTGTGATGCTATTGGTAGATGGATGTCAAGTACACGATTTGCAACCTTCTCTATGTCCTCCGGAGGCACATTTTCCTCTTAAATAAGAAGGTGGGTTTTAGGTCATTGTGTCTCCTTATTCAACACTGAATCTTATAAATACAAGCACAACGAACTCTAAGTCAAATGTACTTGCACTTGATTATGTGTCCCTAGAATAGAGGGATTAGAGTGCCTATGTCCCCATGGATTCTTCCTCATCCTCAGTTTACATCCTCAGACTACAGAATATTGTGTACGTTCCGCAAAACATCCTCCCAAGAACTATTTAAGCACCGATTCAAAAGCAATTAAAATGTTCAGATGCCTGTCATTAAGATTCAGATACAGTGGGGGTGCCTCGGTGGGTCAGTTGGCTACGCATCCAACTATGGCTCAAGTCATGATCTCATGGTTTGTGAGTTTGAGCCCCGCGTCGGGCTGTCTGCTGTCAGCACAGAGCCCACTTTGGATCCTCTGTTCCCCTCTCTCTCTGCCCCTCCCCTGCTCACACTCCCTCAAAAATAAATAAACTTAAAAAGAGAAGATTCAAATACAGTGAATGAGGTATCGGGGAAGCACCAGGTTTGGACTCAACAAAACTCGATTCTAATTCTCCATGACCTTAAAAAGGCACACAGTGGTTGCCCATTTCTATAACTGGGCACCACCAAAGTCCTATTTTGAGAAGACGATGTGACAGTACAGGGGAAAGTACCGGATGAATAACATATTATAAAGAAACTGTTACATGCACCCATGCCCTGCTTTTCAGGAAAATAAAATTGGCCTTCCCTGAGAACTGCAGCGGAAGATCGGCCATTAGGGTTCGGGGTGACAGCTCTTTGTGACTCTCTGGCTCCTTACTGAGGCAGAATGCTACATCCCACATTGGGAGTTGGAGCTCTAATCCTCAAGGGGTTTACCATCAAGTGGGGGGATCTAAGCCGTTCTACACAAATACTGATCACATACGAACAGAAACAATAAATATAAGATGAAATGATATGTGGCCCAGAGGGAGGGGAAAATATTTCAGGAAGAACCTTGAAAAGGCACATAAACTGAGCCTGGAAGACAGTGAGATTATACTCGGGGAAATGTGGGGTGAAGGCAGGGGTCAGAGCATTCTAAATTGAGGGAACCGCCAAAGCCAAAGCTTGGGAGCAATGATCAGATCACTGTTGGCAGGAAAGTGGAGTCTAAATGGGGGTGGGAGGGACCGGAAGTCCCCAAGGGCTGGGAGCAGGACACAGGAACCTCTCAATGTAAGGCTAAGGCACGTGGACTTTCTTCTGGAGACAGTGGGCACCACAGACAGCTTTTAGCTTTTGAGTGACATGATATGAGTTATATATCCTTTTGGCAATCATTCTTGCTTTAGCTGTTTTGTCTAATATAAAAGGAATGTTTTACTTCCTGTCATGCTTTCGGGAAAAAAAAAAGCGACAATTTGGTGAATACATTCAAATCATACTTTAAACAGAATGTACTGTGCTCGGGGAGCTGGTTCTTGTAAGAAATAGTATTTCCTTTTATAAAAAAGAGTTCTAGTAAGTGAATTTCGTTGAACCGCATATCTGTCATCAAACATTTATTAGCATTTATCATGAGAGCATAAATTCAAATTTTTCATATGGGACTTCATTAATAGGGAATTCAGATCACAAGGAAAATATTAAGAGGGTCAAGAATAGCTAAATAGCGTAGGCACCATGCAATTTAATAATACTTTCATTTGGGTTTTATGGAAAAGAGAGAAGAAATTGGTGAGTGAAGGGTATTGCTTCCCAGTGACCAAGGGTCTTGGGGCCCAGATCAGGGAAGTTTCTTTCATGGAATAGGATTTCTCCCTTTGCCTAATTTTTGTTGTAATAATCTGGACACAGTTTTGTTTTTCATTTCCTTAGCGTAATTAAACTTTTTTTTAAAATTAGAAATGTATTCAGCAGCGATGAGAAATACCACTGGTAAGGAAGTAGGCTCTATGACCCAGGGAATGAGGCGGAAGGCAGTCGAACTTGCCTTCAGAACCGTCACTGGGGCCCAGAGGTGTATTAGTGCACCATTGTCACACTATGGGCCTGGCAGTTCGGTTTAGTTTTGGTTTTCGGGCCTGGATTGACCCGTGTCTGTAGCAACAGCTAACGCATTCCTCAATCCCACCAGTTCCTGGATCTGTGTCTGGTCGATAGCAATCCATCTAGCTAACTCACAGCAAATTTGTTTTTGAACGATCATCCAGGGGACCACTGCACCCCCATTTATTTTTACGGATTATTTTGATTATTTTCACCGATTATTTGTACTGCCTAATTTTGTTCTTATTTCGAAAATCAGGACTAGAGCTGCTAATCCGATATCTAGAAACACTGAGATGGAAAAAATAATTGGCCACAGGGGTCTCTTACAAATATTAAACAGATGAACAAAGTGGTTGCAAAGATTGTAACAGACATCCCAGTTGTCAGTTAATTCATGTGAGGTGCATTAAATTATTGAATCTGGAAGATGGTTGATAGAGAAGAAAGCCTCTTAAGATTAATTCTGTGTACAGTTGTATCCGAACTGCATTACTTGCAGAGTGCGAGGTTTTAGGTCAATTTTCAGTTGTACCATGCGATTTTTTATCTTCAACTAATAATTCTCTATAGTTTAAAATAATCTCCTAAAAAATAAAAAAAAAATACACTTCTCCCCAAATAAGGTACAATGAGGGATAAAAATCATAATTATAATAATAATGAGTCACAAATAGTTCCTTTTGGTCAATCACAGAGAACCACTATGAAACTTGGAAAATAGTCCATAACAGATCTAATACGGTCTGTCAGCAGAGAAAATCATGTCAGATTTTCCTAACATTAGGGAACCTGATAGAATCATTACAGTAGACTTTTTTCTTTAACAAAACATAACTTTAAACACCGAGTTCGTTGCTTGAAATTTTAACTAAATACTAGATTTTTAAAAATTTTTTATTACTAAATTGCTCTTATACAGAGAGCCATATGTTTTTGGTGCAGAGGTACTATTTTGGGATTATTTTCATTAAGAAATTTTAAATCAAGGAGTACATCATGTTTCCGACTTACGCATTTCATTCCCACTAAATGTAATTTGGAATTGGTTGTGCTGTTTGAGTATACATTAAATTAAAAAAAAAAAAAAGGAAAAGGAAAAGAAACAAAAAACTAGTCCCCATATATATATATTATATATATATTATATATATAATATATATATGTAATATGTATATATATATATAATTACCTGACAAAAACTTTTTCAGTTGTTTGATTAAAAGACTCATTTTTTCTTCTTCAGATTCACTTTGGTTTTTCATATTCCTCAGTTTCTCACTCAGCTGTAAGGCATTGCTTTTGGAGACTTCTGCCAGTTTACTTACATTTTTGAGCTGGAATAAGGAAAGAACAACAAGGGAATAAATACAACAGTTCCGCACATTGTGTAACGTTTAATTACTTAGCTGACCCAAATGAAATTCACTAAAAACAAAATAGAAGTCTAGATAATGAAACAAAAGATTTATTTTAAAGGATTCCTTTTATGGAAACCAATTTGACAATAAATTTCATATATTGAAAAAAAATAAAAAAAAATAAAAGGTGATATTATTTGTTTTCATTATCATGTTTTCTTAATAACGTGAATTTATCTGGTGGCGCCTGGCTGGCTCAGTTGGTAGAGCCCACAGCCCTTGATCCTGGGGTTGTGAGTTCAAGCCTCAGGTTGGATGCAGAGGTTGCTTACAAAATAAAATCTTAAAAAAAAAAATAATGTGATTTCTCTCTGAAAACATTACTAGTGAGCAACATTATTATTTGAAAACAATATTGACCTAGTACTAATGACTTTGTCTGACACAAATGTAAAACTCAAATGCTATTTTTATGAGACTTTTGCATTCTACATCATCAGCAAATCACTTAGGACTCCTTTCAGTGGCCATTATGCTTAATAAACTGAGCATTTTCTTTTAGGTAAGTTCAAATAGTTACTCTTCTCAACACTTCTCAAGTTCAAATAACGTACTTTCTTTAAAAGCTAAAAAGAAAGCATTCCTCCTTTTAATAAATGAGTTTGAACTCAGAGCAGGCTACAAAGAAAAATCCCCAACACTTTGTACACTTGGTGGAGAAATGATAGGTCTAAAAGGCTTGACCCCCAGAAGTGCAAATTCTTAATTATGTGATTTGAGAAAGGTCCTGGGCTTTTCTTGAGATTCCAACAAATTAGAGAAAGAGGAAAAAAAAAACAAAAACAAAAACAAAAAACAACAGAAGGCAATAGGACAATATCACCAGAAAGCTGAGCTGTACTGAATAAATTAATTGTGACAGAAGTAGGGCTAATTAGGATCAAACACAATTAGGAAAAAAAAAATCTCCCTTTATTTCCCCACAAAAGGAGCCAGCTTAATTTGAGCTGTTGGATTTTTGTGGAAAAGGATTTAATTGCAGTCATTGGCAAATGATGAAAGAGAAAAGAAATATTTCCATGATTAAAAAAGATATGTATCTTCACTTTGTGGAGAGCTATTCCTTAATTCTCTAGAACTTTGAAAACCTTAAAATGGTCAGCTGTTGCTAAGAGAGATCTTAAAAGTTCCCATCAGGAGAAAAATATGTAACTATGTGAGGTGTTGGATGTCAATCAGAGTTACTGTGTTAATCGTTTTGCAACATATACATCTATCAAACCATATGTCATACACCTAAAACTAATACAATGTTATGTGTCAATTGTATCTCAATAAAAATAAATAAATAAAATGGTTAGCAGTAAGAAAGAATGCATAGGAGTAAAACGAGAATTCCAGAAATAAATGCTCTGGACGGGAAAACACCAAAGTATAGAGATGGAATCTTGTGTGGATTAGTCGATGCTGTTTTCAGAAAGAAAGAGACTGCTAAATTACTTCACTCTTAAAACATCTCTCTGCAATCCATCTCCTGTCACAATTGACTCCTGAGAATTCTCTCACAATCTTTTCTGGCACTCTTCCCCCTTCTAATCAAGAGGAAAATAGCACACCATTTTATCAACACGAAACCCCTGCCCCAATCCTTTTCAGTTCTCCATGGATGTGCTGATTAAGCCAGATTCTGCTAAAACACACTTCAAGGGCTATCTTTTTTTTAATTATTATTTTTTAATGTTTATTTATTTTTGAGAGAGACAGGCACGAATGGGAGGGTGGCAGAGAGAGAGGGAGACACAGAATCCAAAGCAAGATCCAGGCTCCGAGCTGTCAGCACAGAGCCTGATGCGAGGCTTGAACCCACGAACTTGGAGATCACGACCTGAGCCAAAGATGGTCACTTAACTGACTGAGCCACCCAGGTGCCCTCAGGGGCTATCTTTTAAAAGTAAAAGCTGAACACAGGGCTTACATAAACGGGGTGAGATTTCTGTGTTTTTGAGAAGGAGCAGTAAGGTGTAATAGTTTAATTAAGGTGTAATAGTTTAATTAAGGTGTAATAATTACATTAAACAATTGAAGATTATTTTAACCACCAGGATGTAGCACCAGGATTTGTATTTGTTAGTTCACTGCTGTGTTCCCAACACCTAGATAAATGTCTCACACATAATAGGTACTCAGTGAACATTTGTTAAAGAATGATGAACAGCATATAAGTGAAAACTATATAGCAATGCAGAATTAGACTATGTAAATACAAATTTCCAACGTTTAGGATGTGCAGGGATATCCTCCGGCTTGGCTCATCGGAGGCTTCTTCCAGAATTTGGGATTCTGGAGCATGTGGAGCAAGGGCTTAGGGTGAGCTGGGGCTCAGGTTCATGCAGGTGAGGCTCAAGAAGGAGACTGTTGTTCTCTGTGTGTGTGTGTGTGTGTGTGTGTGTGCACGTGCAAGCGCACGTGTATGTGTGTGTATGCACACTCATCTCACGCACACACACGCACACACACACACACTTAGCCTTGGCTCTCAGTCCATTCTCAAGCTTGCTCCTCTGTCCTTCTGTCGATTCTGAGACCCAGAAGTAATTGTGTTCACTTCCTTTTTTGTGTTTTTCAGGAGCTGGTGTCTGTTGCTTACAAACAGGAATGCTAACTGGTATAATATTTAACTTATATTGTAAAAAAAAATTCAGCTCTTTGATTTTTCTCTTCATCAAAGACTCTATGTATATCGTCAAAAACGGACCAAATGAGGCCACACATTGTCATCTTGTTTACAAGATGAATCCAATGTACTCACAGAACACCTAAAATTGCATTCATCATTTCAAGATGAACATAATGTATTCACAAAAAGAAACCTAAAGAAAACTAAGCAATTAAATATTATTCTCATTTACCAACACGACTGGAAAAATAAATGAAAACATTTAAAATTATTAGAGACTCAATTATCAGGTACTTAAATATTAAAACGATTGCATCGTATCTCTCAACATGGGAAGGAGTACGAGACCCAAGGGTGTATTCCTATTAAAATATTTTTGGGGACACCTGGGTGGCTCAGTCGGTTAAGCGTCTGACTTTGGCTCAAGTCATAATCTCACAGTCCATGAGTTCGAGCCCCGCGTGGGGCTCTGTGCCGACAGCTCAGAGCCTGGAGCCTGCTTTGGATTCTGTGTCTCCCTCTCTCTCTGCCCCTCCCCCCCCCACACACACTCTCTCTCTCTCAAAAATAAGTAAACATTAAAAAAAAAGTTTTTAAATAAAGTAAAATATTTTCTAAAATTAAATTCCAGGGCTGCCTGGGTGTCTCGGTTGGTTAAGTGTCAGACTCTTGATCTTGGTTCAGGTCATGATCTTGCGGACTGTGAGACTGAGTCCCACGTCGGGCTCTGTGCTGACAGTAAGGAGCCAGCTTGGGACTCACTCTCTTCTCTCTCTGCCCCTCCCCTGCTTGTGTGCTCTCTCAAATAAACAAACATTTAAAAAAGTGTTTCAAATGAACTTCGAACATTAAAATGTGCATATTTAGTAGAATTTCAAATATACCCTTGAATTTATAAAAATTTTTCTTTACCTTGAGGGATCTATAGTTTTCAAAACTTTAAGGCTAGAAGTCTTCACATTTCTATGTAGTATTTGCTATAAAAGAGGAAATTCCACACAGGTCTACATCCTACAAGCATATACTTCTTTGTCACACACACACAATGTACACACATACATAAAAAATATATTTACACATGTACAGATAATACATATATAATAGAAGATACGTCAATATTCACACGTACTTCTAAATGTACATTTACATCCACACTCATCTGTCTTTTTAATCCTATCTTTCCAAGCATATGAACACCTAATATTTAGAAGCTGTCCTTTCCCTTAAATGGCAGTTTTAAAAATTTCAAACAGTTTGCTTTTCTCTTTTGACTGCTACAGCTTTACAAGCAGAACAAGAGAAGACATACTTACCTGATTCTTCCAACCTTGAACCTGGTCGCTCAAATTATGAATCACAGACTCTGCTTCCTGAGCTTGCTGGAGGGCATGGCCGGAGAGGGTCCGGGAGCCACGGCAGCTGGGGTCCCCACAGGACGGAAGCACGCACGGCATGTCCCCTGGTACCCCACACACCTCACAGGAGAAATGATTTATGTTGAAAAGCAACATATTAGCAGAGTTTTTTCTAATGCCACTGGGTCACTGAGGCAAAGCACTGCTCTATGCATACATGTTTCTTCAGCAGTGGTTCATGGATACAACCCAGTAAATGTTTCTAGGTACCTAAATATCTGAATCTTTTGTTATCAGCATTATGTCAATCAATGCCATTTTTACGCTGAGAGTTTTGGGGGAAAACAGTCAAATATCTAGCATTTCTCACTAATTTCATTTTTTTAAAAATAAAAATTACCTTTTACTTATAGTAGAGTGGGAGGAGGAAATGATCATAATCTGTACCATTGTGGAAATAGCAAATAATATAAGTAAACATAAAACACTAAAATCAAGCCACAGTCTTACTCTGACTTTTCTCAAACTTTGACCTAGGATATAAAAAGTAAAATATAAATAAATGTATTTATATTGTTTCTATCTTATAGAACAGAGCGTATATATGTTATTTATATTTACACACTTATAAAACATAAATAAGAAAATAAAATGTAAGACGGGGACATACAACTGAAGAGATCTGTATACCAAGTAGCAACTACAAACACTTTCACGACACCATCATGAATATTTACCTTTTCAACCAGTATTTGGATATCCGGGACTGTAATCTGCTTTAATTTTTCCAATGACAAGTTTTCTTTTGAGCTTAGCGTATCAAACATGCTATGTAAGTCATTCCTGGTTTTTTCAGAGTTTTTTATGATAGAAGTGGTTTCAGTAACTTTCTTTTCAGCAGATGATGACCTCTGATAATGCTTCTTGATAGTCTCTGAGGGATCTATATTAATGCAAATTGAGGTCAGATAAATTTTGCAAAGACAAATCCAATTATATGCTGGTTATCAAGACCGTCCTTCCACAGTTTGACCATGGGCTTGGTCTCAAAGGTCAATACAAAAATTTGCCATCCTCTTCCTTGAATTTCCACCCACTGGGGAAGGATAAGAGATAGTGAAACAGATATCCATAGAATAGGTACACAGCACTGAGGTTGATCTTGCAGACATGGGTGTGAGTGTTGGCTTTACCTTTAACCGGTCTGAGTCTGTCCTGGAGCAAATCCGTCAACTGCTTAGATTGTGTTTGTTTGATGGTAATTTGTGAGGATTAAGTGAAATAATACCAGAACACTCCGTAAAGTATTCCGCAAATGTATTAGCTATGTATTAATTAGTACCTAACCCTGACATGAGAAACCAACCCGGTTTACCTAACCATATGGAACAGGAGTTGCCGAATTTGTCCCGGAAAGGGCCAGGGAATAAATGTTTTAGGCTTGCTGGCCACCGCATGTCTGTCACAACTTTTCACCTCTGCCACTGTAGAGTGAAACGGCCACAAGCAATATGTCAACAAACAGGTGAGGCTGTCTCCTAACGAAACTTCACTTTGACCCCTGACGTTGAGGCCAATGGCAACGGCTCTCGTGGTGGAGTCTTTCTACGTGCCTGCACTTCCTGTCAGTGTTCTTTCTTCCTCTTCACAGAACACTGTGAGGTCGCACTGGTGTGATCCCCGCGGCCCCCCCCCCCCCATGTTACAAGTGAGAAGATGAGGCTCTGATGAGGTACGTTATTTGTCTGAGGTCTCGCTGACAGTAAGAGAGAACGTCAGGATGTGAAGCCAGGTGGTTTGATTCCAGAAACTATGTTCTTAAGCACGTCCCTGTATTTTCCATACTTACCGTAAAATACAAATTCATGAAAGGGATATGGTACGTTTTACTGCAAATGACAGTGTAGCAGGACTTGAAATTATAACTCTTTATTTTAGGAACGTTGAGGGGCAGGGTCCTGATCTTGACCCCCTACACAACCATAATTTGGGCATGAGACAACCACACCTTCCTATTGCTTGAGATGCTTTTCTGCCTTTATTTCTCTGGCAAACTTTATCTTCATTTGTGAACTCCAAGTCAGAGGTCGCCTACTTCCCAGAGCCTTTCCCAGTAAACCCAGCGAGAATTAATTCTGTTCCCCCCTGCTCTGTTCCCAGCGTGGCTTGAAGATGCTGTAATACAGTCTTGTCGCTGTTTGGGGCTGCTTCCATGCCTGTCCTCCCCACTAGACCGGAGTAACTCAGGGCAAGAACTCGCCCTTCTCCCTGCCCCATCTCTACTGCCCTGCACACGGTCAGGTGTCCCGAGGAAGCTTTAGGAATTGCTGCTGGATTGTGAGCTTGAGAGGATTAACCTGGGGGCAGTGTTCTCCTATTTGTCTCCGATGACCGCGGAGACATTTTCTTTTTGAAATTGTACTGAAATAGAGCTCAGGGTGATTCTCCTACATATCAAAACATTCTGGGAAGGGTCCAGAAGCTTCATAAAATTGCCAGGAGTCCACAGTAGAAAAAAGGTCCAGACCGCCTTTATCTGGCATGTTCCGGACAGAGGCCGCTCCGCTGGCCGGGTCCTGGGCAGGTGACCACAAGGCACAGAGCCCTGACTCTGGGGGACACTGGGAGGGGCTGAGCAGGCTTCAGTTTCCCCTGAGATGGACACTGTCCTCACAGCCTAATCTACACTCTCTCTCTGTGTCTGCGTGTGGATTCCTAGATGCCGGTCCAGGTCTTTCGTGCCATCAACGGTTCTGAGGCGGCAATCTGGATGGCGACAGTTGAAATGTCCTTTCTCTGAGTCTCACGGTTTTTCCTTTGACTCTGAGGGAAGAGCCAAGGCTTTCTGGGCATCACTGATGTTTGTGGAGGGACAAGTTGGTTTGGGAACATCAGGGTCTAGTTCTAAAGCTGGCACCCCCTCCACTCTGGGGGCAACCTCTGGGAACTCCCACAGGGCTCAGGCTTGAGGTGCTGGGGCTTGGTCTGCTTGCTTTGCAACAGGGTGAGATGATCGTGAGTTGCCTTACTTCCACAAAAGCTTTCCCGAGTTGGGAAATTCCCCCCCCCCCAACGGATGGGCTCCCCCCCCACCCCCGCCCTCACCAGAGTGTACGTGTCCCAGCAATCCACTGATGCATTTTCAATCCTTTCAATAGGCACCTTCTTCCAGATAGGAATCAGACCAAATCCCTTACTCTTCAGAGAGTTTATTGGGCACCATCCCTAGTTACTTCACTAAATTTAGACCTTCCATGAGGGTCATGATTCTCTTTCAGGTGGAGATCAGATGAAAACCTGGAGCATGCACGCAGGGTAAGGAGACGCTCCCGACGACTTTGCCTTGAGATGTGCTTCGTGCACATTTTTTCTTTGCCTCTCCGTTAGGTGGGTTAGGGGAGCGGACGTTCAGGGCTGCCTCTCCCGGTAGTGACAAGTTATCTGTTTCTAGATGTAAAACGGGGATCTCATCAGAGATCAGGACATGAACTAATCCAAGTTTTGCTTTTGTGTTCCATTTTGCCTCCAAGTCAATCTTGGCTCTGGCGTGGTTCCCGTTCATTTTAACAGCATAAAATGAATTAAGGGCTTTTAGTACATTACAAGACTCCAAATCTCTACAAAGGTCTTACGAGAAACGTTCGCTGAAGTCCTTTTGGCCTCATATGCCTTTGCCTTTCTGGTTGCTGGAAATGGAGTATCACACATTGCTAGCTCTACTCATTATTTTCAGCAAATGCTACCCAAGCTCTGCAGGTTTACAAAGTCAAAATACTCATGTGCAAATAATACCTTTAATGGGTGTGTTTTCACGTCCTAAAGTGCTCAGACACTATGGCAATGAGCACAGGGTGATTCACTAATGGAATGCACTATGGATTTCATCAACCTTTGTCTATAAACGTTGATGTGCATTTTCTCTCTTACCCATGATGTTTGCAGTATGGGCCCGGGAGCGCAAATCAATTTCTTTCCAAAGATCTTCAAGTAAGAGGTCTGCCTCGTTCTTCATTCTTACCATTGTTTCTTTCAGATCTTGAAATTCATGTACTGCTTTCAGTTGCAGACTTAGCTGCGTGATTTGTTCCCTAGAGGCAAAATGAGAGTAAACGTAGCAAAGCTTGTGTTACTTTTGATAGATCAGTGAAAAACACCTAAAAATTGCCCTCATTATTAGGTAGCCTCATCGTTAGAATGCATCCCTCTTCCCTGATGTGTTGTTTGACAGCTTATAGCTCTGTTTATGGTTTACCTCTTTGTTGCCAATTCAGCTGCCTGGACTGTTTCAGCACTCACTCAAAATAAGATCAGCATACAAGGTCTAGTAGAACAAAGGCTTTGAATCTTTCAATTTCAACTGTTTATACTCTTTCTGCCTCCCTTTGCTTTGGGTTTTCAAAAACAGGAATTCAGACATGGTTCATTTAAATCAATGAGATCCAATCTACATTCAGTTTTCAACACAGAAGTCCTCACCCCGCCTGCGGTAAAAACCAGTTCTATCTTTAGAATAAATCTTGCTTGCAGCCAGGTTCCTTCTAGTACCACTTCCGTACGAGGTCTCAACTTTTTTTTTTTTTTTACATTTATTTATTTGTTTTGAGGGGGGCGTGCAGAGAGAGAGAGGGAGAGAGAGAGAGAGAGAGAGAGAGAGAGAGAGAATCCCAAGCAGGCTCTGTGCTGTCAGTGCAGAGCCAGATGTGGGGCTCAAACTCCTGAACTGTGAGATCATGACTGAGCTGAAATCAAGACTCTATGCTTAACTGACTAAGCCACCCAAAGGTCTTAATTTTTTTTTTTTTTTAATTTTTTTTTCAACGTTTATTTATTTTTGGGACAGAGAGAGACAGAGCATGAACGGGGGAGGGGCAGAGAGAGAGGGAGACACAGAATCGGAAACAGGCTCCAGGCTCTGAGCCATCAGCCCAGAGCCCGACGCGGGGCTCGAACTCCCGGACCGCGAGATCGTGACCTGGCTGAAGTCGGACGCTTAACCGACTGCGCCATGAGTGACAAGGAGGTTTCCTTGTTGTGAGTATCCTCAGTACATTCCTTCTCCTCACCTCCTTCTCAATAGCACACATCTTGGTTCCACTTCAATTACTGGGTTCAGCACCCACAGTGGGTTCAAGTGAATAATTGCTATACATCCCTCGTGATCAGGAAATTCAGTGTAAATCTTGAAAAGCACAGTTGAGGAAAATTACAATATGAATCCACGGTGCTAATTTATCTCCGTGGAAGTGCCAAGCATTAGCTAACGTTTCCGAGCATTTTCTGCTCTAACTCTCCCTTCTAATTTACAGACTTTTCCTTCGGGGGCCAACTGTCAGGACTACAATTCACCAGGCTAATAATAATAATAATAATAACAACAACAATAACAGTGCAATACAATGTAGTTACTATTATAATTAGTACTCTTGAAGCACTTATAATGCATCAGACATCGAGCTAAGTGGCTTGTCTGAGTAATTCTCACAAGAAACCTTGAAATAGAGACTGTATCCCCTTTTTGTTGATGAAGAAACAGAAAGTTGGAGAAGCTAAATAACTTGTCCACGGCCACACAGCAGTAAGTGATTTCAGTCATGGAATCTATCATGACGCCCTGGGTTCCCTGTCCTCCCCTCCCCCTTCCTTTGCAATTTGCCCAGCCGACCTCTGCTGTAGAACTAAACCCAGCCTGGAGAACATCAGCTGGGAGAGGGTGGCCTCTGCTGTCGGGGGTCCCTCCGCGAGGCAATGGCCAATGAAGTACAAAGAGGTGGAAGGATGGAGAAGGAAACGTATGTCTTTTTCTGAAGAAATCACGGAAGGCGTCCAGGAGGAGGTGGTGTTTTGGTGGTTGCTAACGAGGAATAGGAGCTCAGCAGGCGGAGCAGGAGAGGGCAGGCATGCTGGTTTCTGGCAGAAGTGGCCCAATGCTCACTGATTTCCTCATCACTCCAGGCCTGGCCCTGGGACTCCTGCTTCTCTTGCTCTCTTCTGCTCTACCGGGGGCCGGGGGGCCGGGGGGGGGTTCTTGTAGTCTCTGTTCAGCATGTGCACTGTGGATTGGTTCATTCTGCTTTCTCAGTTCCACTTCGTTTGCCATTTGCTATAACCACAAACCGGTGGTCCGTGGGCAAAGCGCATTCTCAAGACACATTTATTTGGCCTATACGGTACTTTTTATTTATTATTATTTAATGTTTATTTATTTTTGAGACAGAGCGTGAGCAGGGGAGGGGCAGAGATAGAGAGGGAGACACAGAATCTGAAACAGGCTCCAGGCTCTGAGCTGTCAGCACAGAGCCCGACGCGGGGCTTGAACTCACGGACTGTGAGATCATGACCTGAGCCGAAGTCGGACACTTAACCGACTGAGCCAACCAGGTGCCCCTATACGGTGTTGGGTGAGCTGGCTATATTTTAAAGTGGGAACATGTCCATAAAAATCTGGATGTCTGACATCTCTTGAAAAGTGGGAAGATCTGGGGACCCAGGGCCCTAATCCCGTGGGACAATGGTCCTTACAAGACGCTGGATGTGCCGGTTCTCACCTGCCAGCTTGACCTGGCCACGTGACTTCCCTGGGCCCCTTAGCTGCATGGCCCTTCCTCTGAACTGTCTGGGGGGACTGTATCTTCTTCCTTCTGCAACTTTGTTTTGAGAGAGAGAGTGCACATGCACATGCGCGTGTGTGAGTGGGGGAGGGGCAGAGAGAGAGGGAGAGCAAAACTCCTGCAAACCCGGAGCAAGTTCCACACTGTCAGCACAGAGCCGGACGTGGAGCGGAGCTCAATCCCACAAATGGTGAGATCGGTGAGATCGTGACCTGAGCTGGATACTTAACAGACGGAGCCACCCAGGCGCTTGCCCTCTTCCCTGTGTTAACTTTTAAGCAATTACCATCTACTTCTGGGATTTGTGCCTGGTGATAATGAATGGCCTGTTACTTCCACCTGTGTTTTATATAACACAAAACTCTTCAGCTTCAACTCTTCCTCAATCCAGGACCTTCTGTGGGGGGCGGGGGACAGTTTGCTATATAAGCACAATCCTTTTGGTTTCTTAGTAGACTATATGCTCAGGAAAGGGCGGAAACTATATCCAATGCCTCCCGGTTTTGCCCAGAGCACTTGGCAAACTTTTTTCTGCAAAGGTCCAGATAGTAAACATTTTAAGCCTTGGGGGCCATTAGTCTCTGTCACAACTACTCTACTCTGCCATGGTCCTGGGAAAGCAGCCACAGAGGATATGGCGACAAATGGACTCGGGTGCGTTCCAGTGAAACTTCATTTACACAACTAGGGGATATGTCGGATTTTGCCTGCGGTTTGCTGACCCCTGGCCCATAATTTCCGGAAATGTTTGACGAACGAAAAAAAGGAATCAATGACATCTAATAAAAATGACTATGCATTTGGAGGAAATTGTCATACTTATTACAGGACTTTGCATTAATGTAGGCGTTTCTCAACAACTGAAGAATTTGGGAAGATTTAGCAAATCTTCCCATGTGCATGACTGAAAAAAATATATTTGTATTATAAACTACCCTATTGCCAATTTTGCATCTTTCAGCTCTGCTGGGTTTGGGCTTTCCCAAAGCAAGCTCTTAACGATTGCCTTTTTGTTATAATCAATGGCATCTGGAAAGATCACGTGTAATCCTAACTAGGTAAAGAGACAGACAGCCATGATCGCCAGCCTGGTTATTAACTGAATTATTTCCCTAGCGTCCACATAGGTATGTTTCTCAGCTGAAAGCTGTTGAAGTTCAAAAGGAGTTCAGGTAAATCGGGAACTTGGCTATCTATTGCTTATGCACAAATCTTACCGAACAGAGTCTTGATAATCCTTGGCTTTTAAGAATTCCCCAGATGAGAAAACAGGATGTTTTAAAATCCTTTCTATTTCAGACATGTTCTCTCTGAGGCCTTTGAAGTCGGCCTCACAGACAAGCAGGGTCTCTGTTTTATCTTCCGTGTTAGCAGCCAGCCCAATTAACCCTTGCACTGCTTTGGAGAGGGAAGCAGCAGCACGGTCCCACTGATCAAAGCACCGGTGACACGGAGGACAGGCAGGGAATTCCTGGCCGCGACCCCGGGCACAGCGATCGCAGCGAGGGCCGCTCACACCCTCCCGACAGCGGCACCTGCCTGTGTTCTGGTCACAGACGGGCTTCTGGGTACCTTCTGTGTTGCAGTCACATGCTAAAACACAAGAGAGAAGGAGCAGAGAATGTCAGTCCCTTGACCTTTTGTTTAGGACTAACTCAAGAATAAAGTACACTCCTCTCTCCCGAGAATGTCCCCAGTTCCCATTTCTTTTATTTATTTATTTATTTATTTATTTATTTATTTATTTATTGAGAGCATGCACGCATGTACGAGTGGGGAGAGGGGCAGAAAGAGAGAGAATCCCAAGCAGGCTCCGTGCTATCTGCACAGAGCCCGACCTGGGGCTCAATCCCATGAACCTTGAGATCATGACCTGAGCTGAAATCAAGAGTCAGACGCTTAACTGATTGAACCACCCAGGCACGCCCCTCCCCACTCTACCCCCATGCCCATTTCTGAGGTGCACATTTAAAATTGGTATAATTATAGAGACCCAGGCAATGGTCATTAAATACAGCATCCCTCTTTCCATTCCACTAACAAACCAGTTTGTGGTTTCTTTTCTTTCCTTTTCTTTAAAGTTTATTTACTTTTGACAAAGAGAGAGACAGTGTGAGCATGAGCTATGGAGGGGCAGAGAGAGAGGGAGACACAGAATCCAAAGCAGGGTCCAGGCTCCGAGCCATCAGCACAGAGCCCGATGCAGGGCTCGAACGAGCCGTCAGACCATGACCTGGGCTGAAGTTGGATGCTTAACCGACTGAGCCACCCAGGCGCCCCTAGTTCGTGGTTTCTATCTGGAAAATCTTAGGGGCCGTCTTTACTGTGCAAGGGTTCATGCTCGGGCTTCTTTACCAATTCGGGTAACATGGATCTACTGGTGGTTGACACATACTCCCCCACGGGTGGCTCAGGCATGTCAGAGACTCTCTCAAAATTCTCCTGAACACCCTCTGTCTTAGTAAAACCCAGCCTGGGTGTGTGGACCCATGCTGTTTTCCATTCTATAAGGCGAATTAGTCCATTCTCAAAAAAGGGGGGAAATTGCTCCTTCGGATTCACCCAAAGGAGTTGAAAACTTACGTCTGCACCAAAACCTGCAGACAGGTGTTTACAGAAGCTTTGTTTATAATTGCCCAAACTTGGAAGCAACCAAGATGTCCTGCAGTAGGTGAGTAGATAAATGAACCATGGCGTAAGGGATATTTTTCAGGGCTAAAAAGACACGAGCTTATCCGGCCATGAAAAGACACGGAGGGACCTTAAATGCATCATATTACCTAGTGGAATAAATCAATCTGAAAAGGCTACATACTGTAGGATGCTGATTACCAGACATTCTGGAAAAGGCAAAACTATGGAGATAGTAAAAAGACGAGTGGTTGGCATGGGCTGTGGGAAGAGGGGTGGAGAGAGGAGAACGGGTGGAGGGCAGAGGTTTTTAGGGCAGTGAAAATATTCCATGTGATACCATAATGGGGGATACACATCCTTATACATTTGTCCAAAGGCACAGGATGGAAAATACCAAGAGTGAACCATAAAGTGAACTATGGACTTTGGTGGTTATGGTTTATAGTTTCATCAGTTGTGACAAATGTGTCACTGTCTTGGGGATGTTGATAATGGGGAAGGCTATGCGTGGAGGGGTGGTGGGGACATACGGGAAATCTCTGTACCTTCCTCTCAATTTTGGCATAAACCTAAAACTGCTCTCAAAAAGATAAAGTCCTTTTAGAAAGGGAAAAATTAATTTTGTCTTAGTTGAAAAAAAACCCACAAAAAACAAAACTAATGCCGCATGTACTTCATTTGAGTAGGTTTCTGATAAAGGCGGAGGATGGAGGAGGGACAGAGCTATGGAAGTTACAGCAATTTCCAAAAGGTCAGGGAATCATTAGCCTAACTGCAAGGAACAAGTGATTTTAAAATGCATTTTTGGGGCACCTGGGTGGCTCAGTAGGTCAAGCATCGGCCTCTCAGTTTTCGGCTCGTGATCTCACGGTTCGTGAGTTCGAGCCCCCCATGGGGCTCTGTGCTGGCAGCACGGAGCTTGCTTGGAATTCTCTCTCTCTCTGCCTCTCCCTTGCTCACTCTCTCCGTCTCTCAAAAAAATAGATAAATACACTGGAAAAATAAAAATAATTTTAAAAATTTACAAAAAGCATTTTACAGCCTGAGTAAAAATGTCAATGACAAATAAAAGCTGATTAACATGCTAGATTCAATAAAATTATTGAAATATTAGAGGGGCACAGAGGTAGAGGCTTAGACGGATTTTCCAGGAACCAAAATTCCTCCCTGGTTTTTAATGTAGCAATTACACTTAGAAAACTAAGTGGGACTGGGAAACCGCTGAGCATACGTATTTGAATGGGGCAAGGAGATAAAAGGCAATTTATTTTGGTCACAAAAGCACATTTATAGGGGCACCTAGGTGTCTCAGTCGGTTAAGCGTCCGACTCTTGATTTTGGCTCAGGTCATGCATGATCTCATGTTCGTGAGATCAAGCCCCACATCAAGCTCTGGGCTGACAGCATGGAGCCTGCTTGGGATTTTCTCTCCCGCTCTCTCTGCCTCTCCCCTGCTCTCTCTCTCTCAAAATAAATAAATAAATCTAAAGAAAAAAAAGCATGTTTATAAAGGAATAGAAAGGAGGAAAGAGTTACCACATGTGGCTATGTAGAGGTGCACGTGATTAGCACACCACATCCGATATTTATTTGGATTGACTTCTTTCAACAGCAGACTTTAGAGATTCAAAAATCCCTCCTCCTAGAATCAACCCATATTCTAAATCTGTGCCATCCAGGGGCGCCTGGGGTGGCTCAGTTGGTGAAGCATCCGACTTTGGCTCAGGTCATGATCTCACGTCTCATGGGTTCAAGTCCTGCATCGGGCCCTGTGCTGACAGCTTGGAGCCTGGAGCCGGCTTCGGATTCTGTGTCTCCTTCTCTCTCTGCCCCCTTCCCCGCTCATGCTCTGTTCTCTCTCAAAAATAAATAAACATTAAAAAATTGTTTTTAATCTGTTCTGTCCAATATGGTAGCCACTTATCGCAGGTGGCTACTGGAATTTAAATGAATGACACACGCAGTTCTGTCCCTCATTTGCACCAGCCACATTGCAAGCACCCACCAGCGCACAGGCTGGTGGCTCCTGTGCTGGGTAGTGCCGACCGGACCATTTCCATCTCTGCAGCAAGTTCCTTGGGATGGTGCTGCTCTAAATCCCACAATCAGTGCTAAGACAAGGGACAAAGGGCACTAGAACACAAACTCCGGGAGATCGGGGCGGGGGGTCGGGGGGGGGGGCTTGCCTTACTGGTCATGACTTACAAGCATGCAATGCATATCTTAAAAAATTTTTTTTTCAACGTTTATTTATTTTTGGAACAGAGAGAGACAGAGCATGAACAGGGGAGGGGCAGAGAGAGAGGGAGACACAGAATCAGAAACAGGCTCCAGGCTCCGAGCCATCAGCCCAGAGCCTGACGCAGGGCTCGAACTCACGGACCGCAAGATCGTGACCTGGCTGAAGTCGGACGCTTAACCGACTGCGCCACCCAGGCGCCCCAGCATATCTTAAAATAAATCAGTGAGTATGTGAAAGGCCCAGAGGTATGAGATCCAAGGTGAGGAAACACCCCCTCTGCTGGCTTCCTATGAAGCGCACAGGCTGCTGGCTTCCTGTCCTTCCATCGAGAAACTGTTTTTGTCAACATGCTTCCGAATAGCAGAAAACTGGCTACAAGTCATGACCTCTGAGGTCTGTTCTGTTTTAGTGACTGAAAAATTGCAATACAGGCTTCAACTTTTAATATAGACTAACATTTAATCTAGCCTAAAGTTTCATTTACTTTTTTTTTTTTTTTTTTAATTTTAGAGAGAGAAAGAGAGCACAAGCAGGGGAGGGGCAGAGGGAAAAAGAATCTCAAGCAGGCTCCACACTCAGTGCGGAGCCGATGCAGGGCTTGATCCCACGACCCTGGGATCATGACGTGAGCCGAAATCAAGAGTCGGATGCTCGACCTACTGAGCCACCCAGGTGCCCCTAGCACAAAGTTTTAATACAGGAGAAAAAAAAATCTTTTTATAAGGCTACAAAAAATATTACTTTCAAAACTAAGATTAAAGTTTGTGAATTTTCTATCAAATAAAGACATTTAAAATTCAGCTGGTTCATAGCATACCCATGGAAGGACCAGGTTGACAGTCCTCAAGTTTTTAGAATTACCCATACTTACGAAGGCATCGCCCCAGTGGATCACCATAATAATTTTCCTTGCACTCACTGCAGTGTTTCCCATCGTAGCCTAATTTACACGGACACTGGCCTGTAAGCTGTGAGAACAGTCATGGGTGAGGAATTGACAAGCTTTGCGATCTAAAAAAAATAATGCATTTTAATACAAAACAGTTTTCCCTCCAGTGATTTAGAACATACAGCTGTGCAAAGGCAGAGGAAGGATGATGGTTCCCACGGCCAGCAACCACCCTCGACAATACCAAGGATCAGGAGCTAATGTGTTTTGGCTCAGGGCCCCTGAATATACCGCCTGCTTCCAGCTGTTCAAGGACAGGTGGCCCCAAACTGGGAAATATACACAGATGTAAATGAAAACAAAACACATAATGGGAAACGGTCCGCATTCTTTTCGTTTACAGTGTTATGGGAGTTCACTCCTAACACAGAGAGGCCACGGACCTGGACTGACATTCATCAATTAATCTGGCAAATCGTGATTCCATTACGGAATGTGCGATGGGGTTTCTCCCAATTGGGCTCGTGTTTTGCTCAACAAAACAACATTTTTTTGCAATTGAGGCTTAATCATTAAAAAAAAAATATTTTAATGTTTATTTATTTTTGAGAGAGAGAAAGAGCGAGCACGAGTGGGGGAGGGGCTGCGAGAGAGGGAGACACAGAATCTGAAGTAGGCTCCAGGTTCCGAGCGGTCAGCACAGAGCCTGATGCGGGGCTCGAACCCACAAACCGTGAGATTGTGACCTGAGCCGAAGTCGGACCCTCAACCAACTGAGCCACACAGGCACCCCAGTCATTTAATGATAGTTATGAACCGTGTTTTGGGGAGAGGTCTGATTTTTTTGTGCATCCTCCCAACTGGATCCTTGACCAGCTTTTCTGAAAATGGAGGAGGTTAGAAAATTAACCGTAGAAAAATACAGAAGCAAATCATTATTGTCACGGTCCTAGGTTATTCTTGAGCAAATAAATCTGCTTAAACAACTCTGTAAGTCGCTCAATTTATAAAACGGCTGGATCTACCAAGCTTCTACCCATCTTTGGAGTTCCCATGAGCTTCTGCTCAAATGTAAGGAGTTGTGGGGAGCCTACTGTCCCTGAGGCCTGTCATTCTTCTGGGTGTTCTTAACTGTTGCACAATGATTTCTCACACAGTGAGATTTCTCGCACATTTCTCACACGATGATTTCTGACGCAGAATCTGTTCCTTCGTAACTTGCTCCCATCACTCGGTGTCCTATCTTATGGAATCGCGCAAAACAAGCGGTCTCCCACCTCCTCTCCTTACGGCCCTTCTCCCAGCTAGAGATGGCTGCTCTCAATTTGCATTTGCTTCTTCTCTTCAGGCTGACTACCCATAATTCCTTCAAGCCTTCATCACAGAATAGCAATGGTTCTATCCACTCTCCGGGTCGTCTTCCTTTGGACACACACCAGTCCGTATGTCAATATGACGTTTAAAACGTGGTTCTCAGGGAGAACAGCAATGTTCCTACAGCTGCCTGACCCGCACAGGGGACAGTGGGATAATGGCTGCCCTGAACTTGGGCCTGGCATTCCCACTACTCCAGCCTGAATGGACATTGCCTCTTTGGCAGCCTGGCCACACTGCTGGCTCAGCTGAAGCACAGAGCGAAAATCCTCAGATGTTTTTCATGCAAGCTGGTGCCAAGCTATTACTCCTACCCTGTATTTATGCAATGGATTTTAAAAACCCAATTGCAAAACTTCACTTTTATCCTGGTAACATTTCATCTTCTTCTTTGCAGCCAACGGGACACCCCGTCGGGATATCTTGCCTCTTGTTCTGGCTTCATCCCATTGGCATCCCACTTTGCAATATCTGCAGATTTGATAATATTTGAGAAGCACGTTTCTCCAACTCCATCTAAACTGTTGATGAAAATATTGGATGGCGTATTTGGATGCCTCTGTAATAAGGCACTAGGGATGCTTTACTGGTTGACATAGAGACATTTATCAGTGGTTGTTTAAACAGCTGGAAATCGAAATATCTACCTGTCTCTTCTATACTCCATTAAAAGTGTTCCCTGATTTTAAAGAGCAACCTTCCGGGGCTCAGTTGGTTATGTATCCAACTTCGTTCCACTTCGGCTCAGGTCATGACCTTGCGGTACGTGGGTTTGAGCCCCATGTCTAGCTCTGCGCTGACCGCTCGGAGCCTGGAGCCTGCTTCAGATTCTGTGTCCCCCTCTCTCTCTGCCCCTCCCCTGCTCACACGCTGTCTCTCTCTCTCTCAAAAATAAATAAACATTAAAAAAAATTTAAAGAGCAACCTTCCCCAAGGAATCCCCAATGGACCAGACAATCCCAAATACCCTTGTCATAAGAGGACTTTTTGGTTAAACCAATGCCATCTGACTTTCACCTTGAGCTTCCCTTAGCCTCCATGACTGAACTGTGGTCTTTGTCGAGTGCTGTTGCAAATATACTTCCTAAAAGGTCTGAGAAGCATGCCAGACAGTGATGTCATGAACGTTGGGAGTTCCTCTTGAATTAGGAAGCCAAGAAGTCATGGGGAGAGCTACCATTTTGTTTCATGATTGCTGGCTGCAGGTGTGAGGAGTGGAGGGGGATATCAGACAGGTGTGGTCACCTAGTAGTCAGATACCACTCTCCAATAAAAGGAACCAGCACTCCCTAAAGAAATGGCTGATTCTTGGGGCGCCTGGGTAGCTCAGTCGGTTAAGCGGCCGACTTCAGCTCAGGTCATGATCTCGCTGTCCGTGAGTTCGAGCCCCGCGTCAGGCTCTGTGCTTGTGGTGACCGCTCAGAGCCTGGAGCCTATTTCAGATTCTGTGTCTCCCTCTGTCTCTGACCCTCCCCCATTCATGCTCTCTCTGTCTCAAAAATAAATAAAACGTTAAAAAAAATTAAAAAAAAAAAGAAATGGCTGATTCTAGGATGGGGGCAGGAAACACATCAGATGAGTTTCGAGTATCTTGTCAGGCAGAAAGGGCTTAAAAAAAAAAACCCCAAACCCAACAATGATGGGGTAAAAGGGATGCAGAAACCAAATGAAATAGCTCCCAATGACCAAAGCTGGAATAACCTGAACAGCAAAATAAAGCAGTATTGGATTATAACTTGAAGTATAATATAAATACCCATGACTCCATATGGATATTAAAAAATAATAAATGAGGAAAGGGGGGGATGATGGATAGATCCCCTGTGCAGAAGAATTCCAAGTAATTTACGGAGACACTCTGCCCTCAAGGCAGGAGTATGAAACTCCCCACTCCTCAAGCGTAGACAGTGCATGGTGACTTTCTTCCAAAGAGCACAGTATGGAAAGGAGGAAAAAGAGTAACTTTACAGCAGAGAAACATGACAAACATTGCTTCAGCCAGGTGATTGAGATTTGCGTCTACAGTGATAAGGCGTGCACACAGTGTCGAGTCCTGATAGGATGTGACGAGCATCACATTTTCTCTCCGTGGGCCTCATCCTCCAACCCCATAATCCAAGTCTAATCACGAGAAAAACAGCAGGTAAATTTGAATAGAGGGACATTTTAGAAAATCCACCTCAAAATTGTTAAGCTCATTAAAACCAAGGAGAGCTTCATCGATGGAGGGTGGGGGAGAGGGGAGGGTGGGTGATGGGCACTGAGGAGGGCACCTGTTGGGATGAGCACTGGGTGTTGTTTGGAAACCAATCTGACAATAAATTATATTCAAGAAAAATAAGGAGAGCCTGAGAATCATCACGACAAAGAGGAGCTGAGGCTACATGAACGATTAAGTGTCATGTGATGTTCTGGATGGGATCTTGAAACAGAAAAGGGATGTTAGGGATAAAACTCAGGAAACCTGCATAAATTACGGACATTAGTTAATGATAATGTATCAATATTAGTTCACTGATTTTGGTAAATCTACCATACTAATGTAAGATGTTAAAAATAGAGGAAACCTGGTGTGGGGTACATCTTCTCTGTACTATCTTCACAGCCTTTCTGTAAGTCTATTTTAAAATAAACAATTTATTAAGGAAAAAAAGGGCATGGTGAGTGTGTGGGTGTGGGTTGGAGCAGGAGGGTGGGAGAGAAAGATAAAGGAAAAAAAAGAGAAAGGAAAACACAGTCTGTGTATGAGAACTACCCTTCAAAGGTTTACTTGCATTAGACTTGACCTTTGAATAAGTTGAACAGCAGAGGCGAAATTGGAGATGAGCCATGGTTATCATTATGATTATTGTTAGTTGGGAAAACTCCAGCTTCTAAAATTGGCATTCTGATTCCAATTATACCCTGGTCCCTATATTGTGGATTCACTCTAAATTTCTTGTCACTGTTTCATCCTTCCCTCCAATCTCTATTAATGTGAAAAGGGTCTCAAAGAATATATTAAGCCCCAAGCCCTAATCATGACATGAATAGTTTTTTTTCCATAAATAGATAATGTCATACTAATTTTTTTTTTAATTTTTTTTAATGTTTATTTGTTTTTGAGACAGAGAGAGAGACAGAGCATGAACAGGGGAGGGGCAGAGAGAGGGAGACACAGAATCTGAAATGGGCTCCAGGCTCTGAGCTGTCAGCACAGAGCCCGACGCGGGGCTCGAACTCACAGACCGTGAGATCATGACCTGAGCTGAAGTCACACGCTTAACCTACTGAGCCATCCAGGCGCCCCAATGTCATACTAATTTTAAACATGCTCAGGGTACCTGGGTGGCTCAGTCGATTGAGCGTCCGCCTTCTGATTTCAGCTCAGGTCATGATCTCATGGTTCGTGAATTTCAGCCCCACGTTGGATTCCATGCTGACAGTGTGGAACCTGCTTGGGATTCTCTCTCTGCCTCTCTCTCTCTCTGCCCCTCCACCGCTTGATCTCTCTCTCTCTCTTTCTCTCTCTGTCTCACTAAATAAACTTAAAAAAATTGTATGCTCATTGTTTTATTGACTAAAGATCACATGTGCAGTTAAGTAGCATTAATCGCATGTTAAGCAATGTGGATTTGCTCCTAGTGTATTACCCTGCATTCTTCAGGAACAATTAATGCTGGTCTGGTAAGTAACGAGGACATCTTATTTTACCCATACGTAAACCAACTGGTGAAGGGTAGGGAACGGCAGCTCAGTTGTTTTTTTAATTATTATTTTTTTTAATTGAGAGAGAAAGAGCATGAGTGGGGTAGAGGGGCAGAGGGAGACAGAGAGAGAATCACAGGCAAGCTCCAGGCTCAGCACAGAGCCTGATGCGGGGCTCGATCCCATGACCCTGGGATCGCGACCTGAGCTGAAACCAAGAGTCAGATGCTCAACTGACTGAGCTGCCCAGGCGTCCCGACAGCTCAGGTTTTGAAAATGGAACTGTGGGCTCTGGAAGCACCTGTTGATCTTCATTCTGATAAATAATTCTGACCAATGATCAATTTCTTGGAGCTTCCCTAGGATTATACATATGATACAGGGAAAAAGAGAAGGTCGTCTGTATTTCACTGCATGTGAATCCAACTTCCCCAGTCACAGAGAGGTTTGGAGAAAACTGAAGCAGGCAAAACTTAACCTTGAGACCTTCATTCTCTTTTTTAGTCCTTTCCATTCCTTGATAAATGCATCTCTCCCCATAGAAGGCCAATCCTGTTTAAAAACACTAACTAGCAACAGTCCATAAAGAAAGCATCGTTTACAAATTTGGAAACCATGTCTCCCCATCACTTCCCACTCCAGCACCCTGGTAAGTTCCAAATGTCTTGCCTGGTCACAGTGGCCACTGTGAGAGGTCCGGGGGTCGCAGTTGCATGGCTGACATCCTCTGCCAGGGACCAGATTCCAGTATCCGTCAGCACAACGGTCACAGGTCTGGCCTGTGACGTTGGGGAGACAAGGACATGTGCCAGTGTTGGGGTCACAGAGGCAAGCTCCCTGACCAGGGGGACACGCAGCAGGAGTCACACCGGAAGGATGGCAGGAACACCCTGGGACAACAGAGACACTGCTGGAGGTAAATTCGGCAGTAACACTGGCTTTCAACAAACCGTACAGACAGCTTTTCAGACCTGGATGTATCATTTCTCCAAAGGGCTCAAGGCAGAAACACCTGGCAATATTTCAGATTTATCAAAGAATCTAAGTAAGCTGAATCCATTCAACTCTCTTTGGTCTCCCCAAATAGCAATTTCATGTGGTTCGGCCAATTGTGTTCTAAGAGCTCACAATTAGGATGACTGAAAACCTTGCTTTTTCCTCATGCTATTCATGATCTGAAAATAAAGTCTATTAAACTGACTTGGGTCCACTGACACAGTTAAATATCTCCTAAAAACAAGTAGTTTTTTTTTTTTTCAACGTTTATTTATTTTTGGGACAGAGAGAGACAGAGCATGAACGGGGGAGGGGCAGAGAGAGAGGGAGACACAGAATCGGAAACAGGCTCCAGGCTCTGAGCCATCAGCCCAGAGCCTGACGCGGGGCTCGAACTCACGGACCGTGAGATCGTGACCTGGCTGAAGTCAGACGCTTAACTGACTGCGCCACCCAGGCGCCCCAAAACAAGTAGTTTTTTAAAAAATTTTAATGTTTATTTTTCAGAGAAGAGAGAGAGAGAATAGACAGGGACACAGAGAGAGAATAAGCAGGGGGCGGAAATAGAGGGAGACACAGAATCTGAAGCAGACTCCAGGCTCTGAGCTGTCAGCACAGAGCCCGATGCGGGGCTCGAACCCACAAAGTGCGGGATCATGACCTGGGCTGAAGTCAGATGCTTAACTGACTGAGCCACCTAGGCATCCCCCCCTTCTTTTTTATTTAAAAAAAATTTTTTTTTAACGTTTATTTATTTTTGAGATAGAGAGAGACAGAGCATGAATGGGGGAGGGTCAGAGAGAGAGAGGGAGACACAGAATCTGAAACAGGCTCCAGGCTCTAAGCTGTCAGCACAGAGCCCGACGCGGGGCTCAAACTCATGGACCGCAAGATCATGACCTGAGCCGAAGTCGGACGCTCAACCGACTGAGCCACCCAGGCGCCCCTCCCCCCTTCTTTTTTAAATCACAGAATCAACCCTTGCCCTCTTCTTCATCAGTGATTCTTGAATTTATACATTAAAGACACTGGATGAACTAGTTCCAGGGCAGATTCCTGGAGATTCAATTCAGTGGGTCGGAGGTAGTCTAGGAATCTGCCTGTTAATATCCCAGCCCAGTCCCCAGGTGATTCTGGCACAGTGCACAGTGGGCCACACTTCACTGCCATAGTTCCCCCCGCCCGCCCCCCCCCCCATCCTTGCCAGAAGCCTAGCAGACTTACTTCTGCAGGTCTGATTGATGGCCGATCCAAAGTGACCCGGTTTGCAGAACTGGCAGTTGGGTCCCTGAGTGTCGTGCAGACATCTAAGGCACTCCCCTGTTACCCGGCTGCAGGACTCTGGATCAGTCACATCGATGTTGTTATTGCAGGTACATGGCCGGCAAGGTGCTCCTGAAATTCTGGGATTTCCATAGAAACCCGCAGAGCATTCGCCACACTGCTTACCTGAAAGAAGGAGAGAGGCAAAGGGAGTAAGAAGAGAGGTGTGTGTGTGTGTGTGTGTGTGTGTGTGTGTGTGTGTGTGTGTGTGTTGGGGGAGCAGGGATGGAGACTGTTATAGAGAATAATGAATAATTAGGCGATTTTAGGGGTAACGGGAGGTCACACACTGGAGATGAAGAAGAAAACGTGTTCTGAATTAAAGCAAAACATTCATTTTAATTTCTTATCCATTCAGAGAGTAAAATGGTTGTTCAGAACTAAGAAGTCCTTAGTGAAGAATGCAAGAGTGCATTCTAGTCTTTCTTCAAAAACCACAGAGTGGTGGGCACAGGGATCCCTGGATCCTTATACAATGGGGGTCAGCCGAGTGTGCCTTGGGACCCAAAGCTAATCTGAGCCCCTGTTCTGGTCCTGGAGGTGAACGTGCAGCACCCTGAGATGTGTGTCTAGCAGTGAAGATGGTGACAGTGGTTTTGTTGATGTACGAACCCTGGAGGGTGTCTTTATCAAGTGCTGTCTGGGGAAACCATGCCTGTTACCTTTCCAACCACCGGGCAATGGTAGTCAGTTAGGTGCCTCAACTCTGGGTCTGCTCCCCTCATTTTGGGTCATCCTAGTTAGGAATTCTCTTGTCGGCCAGTCATGGCCTTAGTTCTTAAAAACTGACCAACCAAGCCAAAATGTACATGGAAGAGATCAGAATCTTGTAGAGACATAGGCAGCAAATAAGACAAAATTAGCCGTATAATTTATTATCATCACGGTAATTATCATTGAAGAAAACTTCGGCACCAGAGTTTCAAAATGTGATTAAGTCGAGTGGCTTTTATGTTTTTTTCCTTGTTTGCATCACACACACACACACACACACACACACACACACACACACACACACTCATGCTTAAACTCTTCAAAATAAAATGTTTGGTAGAGAGACAGACAAAAATATTGAATTGACTTCTACAGTGTCTGTGTGATGCCCAAATCAGTGCTTCAAGACGTCTGAAAAAAGAAGTTATATCTTTGAAATATCAGCCAAATGGATTGGTTGGAATTATATAAAGAAAGCATTTGATTAAAATTTCTTAATTTTTAATTGCTTATGTTAGATGTTGCATGAGACATACATGTTACTTAATCACGTATGTATCTTACTTAACATGTGATGATTTTATTTGAAAGAAATCAATTTGATTTGAACTCATTTGGTCAGTTAGTTTTCCAGAACATTATTTAAAAACAGTTATAGCTCAGAGGAATGAGCTTTTGTCATTGGTTTTTGAAACATTCAAATTCTTTGTTCAGTAAAGCTTCAGGGTACTAAGTTGTGCCTTCTTTTTTTAGAGAGAGAGAGAGCAAGAGAGAGGGCCAGAAGGAGGGAGAAGGAGAGAGGCAGAGAGAGAGAGAGAGAGAGAGAGAGAGAGAGAATCTCAAGCTGAAGCCCACACTCAGCAGGGAGCTGGATGCCAGGCTCAATCCCAGGACCATGAGATCGTGACCTGAGCTGAAATCAAGGGTCAGATATTCAACCAACTAAGCTACCTAGGCACTCCCCAAATTGTGTCTTCTTGCTATTAACTCATATTTGGTACCCCTCAATTATTCGAGGCAGATAAATTACGAGCATGGAATCATGTTTTGAGATAGCAGTATGGGATGGAAGAAAAACACCATCATGAACTATACTGTGTACCTGCATAACCTTGAAGACAATTGCAGATCACATCTGAGCTCCAAGGATCCTGATAACAGGAATGAGCAAAATACTGATTACTTGAGGGAACATCCGGACACGGGCAGGGACGGCAGGAGTGTCCTGAAGGAGGATCCCCATAGTAACCATCGATGCACCTGTCGAGACAATTTCTTTTTACCAAGTGTTCACAGGAAAAACTCACATTAGCCGATGTGGATTTGCCATGCTTGAGGACAGTGCAACTCTCAAAAGTCAACATTTTAGAAGATGCTTGCTTGCTCTGTGAAGTGAGTTTTTGATTTTTATTTATTAAAAACTTTTTTGGGGGTGCCTGGGTGGCTCGGTCGGTTAAGCATCCAACTTCGGCTCAGGTCATGATCTTGCGGTCCGTGAGTTCGAGCCCCGCATCGGGCTCTGTGCTGACAGCTCAGAGCCTGGAGCCTGTTTCAGATTCTGTGTCTCCCTCTCTCTGTGACCCTCCCCCATTCATGCTCTGTCTCTCTCTGTCTCAAAAATAAATAAACGTTAAAAAAAAATTTTTTTTTTTAAATTTTTTTATGTTTATTCATTTTTGAAAGACAGAGAGAGACAGAGCACAAGCAGGGGTGGAGCGGAGAGAGAGGGGGAGATACAGAATCTGAAGCAGGCTCCAGGCTCTGAGCTGTCAGCACAGAGCCCGATGCGGGGCTCGAACTCACGGACTGCGAGATCGTGACCTGAGCTGAAGTCGGATGCTCAACCGACTGAGCCACCCAGGCGCCCCGAAGTGATTTTTTTAATTTATACTGAAAGTCCCAAGATATAGTCATTAAACTCGATATAAAAGTCCCAAGGTATTGTCATTAAACTCAATATAGTAGCAGTTAATTTACATGTCATATTTCAGGGACATAAAAAGCAAGGTGTCAGGCAAATAAATGCCTAGCTTTTATTTAATCAGACAGCGTCTATCTCATAACAAGATTCTGAAGGACACCAGGACTGATACTCTGTTTCGGCCATCCCCCACCCAGAGATCGTTCTACGCTTAAATACTATTGATAATCTACTCAGTGGTCCTTCAGAGAGTGTTGTGAGACTGGAACAAAAGAAACAAAACTAAAAATCAAAGTGCATCTGAATTCCATACCTTTCACAGTTTCTTCCTGTTGTAAAACCCCCGCAATTGAAGCATGACCCTGTCTCTGGATCACAAAGTTCAGCGAAACCATTACAAAGGCAAGGGCGGCAGTTGGGAAATCCAAAGTAGCCTGCCAGGCACCGATCACAACGGAGGCCAGCCACCTCCCCCTGGCAGGCGCACTGTCCCGTTATTTGGTCACATACAGCGCTCTTTGAGCCTTGAGGGTGGCAGTGACATGCTAGATAAAGAAAGAGAACATGTTGGGTGGGGGCACATGGTGTGCTGGCGAATTGAGTTATGGTCCTGATTTTGTAGTCCTGAACTTACTGTAGCATTCCAATCAGGTAAATAAAGAGTCTGAGAACCTGGCATATACTGAATACCAGGTCAACGTTTATTAAATAATTCACTGATTCACCCAATGAACAGGATGCTGTGAGCCATTGGGTCTCATCAGCACTATTTATACAGAGGACCTGAACAAGGAACATGTTTTTTTTTTTTTTTTTTTTTTTCCAACGTTTGTTTATTTACTTTTGAAAGAGAGAGAGAAGGAGACAGAGGATCCCAAGCAGGCTCTGTGCTGTCAGTGCAGAGCCCAAGGTGGGGCTCCAACTCATGAACCGTGAGATCATGACTGGAGCTGAAATCAAGAGTTGGATGCTTAACTGACCGAGCCACCCAGGCGCCCAACAAGTAATGTGTTTTTAATGACGTAAACTTCCATTTATCACGTGAGTCAAAACTTCAAGATTATAAAAAATGACACCTTTCTCAAGATGGTAGGATTTTTTCTTTTTCCTGGGCTCAATCAGAAAGGCTCAATCCCTTTCTGACAAAGTGGATCCTTTGAGCCAATCTTCCCTATACAAAAATGGGATATGGAAGACACGTTTGCTCCTTTGTGTATATCCCTTTGTGCATCTCAAGCACTTTTTTTTTTTTTAAGAAAGGGAGTGGGGGAGGGGGTAGTAATAATGGACCTAAGCACTGTGTGCTGAAAAGCCAGTTGCCAGGGCGCTGCCTTTCTGAACCATGACTGAAAATATATGCTCCTTTACCTTAGGAACATGGTTCCTATGATAGGTTTCTGTGGGGAACAGTATTTTCGCTATTGGCTTACGGCATGAACAGAGAACTGTATACCCTGAACATGACGGCCATGAGAATGTGTCACCATGTATGGACAAAGGCCCGTCTAAACCCTGATTGATGGGGAGATTATAGAATGAGTTCCATGGCTGTTTGTGACCCCAGCACCACAGAAGGTAATATCTAGGTGGCAGTCTTGTCCCCTTTCTTGACTTCCCAATGTCATCGTTGTTTTAGCCTGGCCAGCCACGGGGCGTCTGTGCCAGATCCTAAAGCTGGGTCGGCACAGCCAACTCATTTCCTGGTGCTCCCACATCCTCCCTGGACCGGGAGAATCACAGGCCATGTTTTCATCATCACTCACGATTCCTAACGGAGCTCTGTACACATTGGCACCCACCAAATGGAGGAATGAAATACGATGGAAAAATTTTCTGTACTCTTGATCTACATGGACAGACAGCCTAAGTCGTGTGGCCAAATTCCCAATCCCTACCCCCTCTTTTCAATTCCCCCTCTGATTTTCCTGCCTTCAAAACTCCAAGGTTGTGCCCATGCATGTCTTTCCCCCCACGGTGTTTTTGCTACGTACGGTGGCAGCCATGATGTCCTAAACCGTAGCTTCCTGTGGAGCACCTGTCACAGCAGCGCCCGGCCACGTGGGGCTTACACTGGCACTGGCCCCCAAGCCGGCTGCAGTTGGGCCCCACCGAGCCCTGGGGGTGACACTTGCAGGCTGCGGGGAGACAAAGGGGACAATTAGAGGTACGGGAAGTGACAGGGGTGCACCTGGTCCTTGTGGGAGCTTTAGTTCACCTCTCTTTCATTAGATACTTCTCTAATCCTTAACTCCCTCATCTGTTAAATGGGGAGAATACAGGATCTACCCCAGGGGATTGTAAGGACTAAAGACAATAATGCCTGTGAAGTCTTTAGAACTGTGTGGTGTGTAGGAAGTGCTCAGTAAACATTATGTAATAAACAGATCTTACCAATAAATGTTACTCAGTAAATTAATGAAAGGCTTAAAATAAGTTGTTTTCATAATAGTCCCAATATAATTATTATTATTTCCGATTACTTCAATTCCTGATGATCCATGTTGGTGCTGGACTATTTGTTTGATTTCCCTTATTCTATATGTTTCACGAGATGGCAGGCATCCTGAACGCAGAGTCCTGCCGGGTAATGGGAAAAGCCTTTGCTCAGAATTCAGGAACCCCAGGCTTTCATTGCAGCTCACTCTATACGAGTGTTTCTCAACTGGGGGGAGATTTCGCTCCCTCAGGGAACATATGACAAAGTTTGGAGACTTTTTTGAACGTTGCACCTGGGGGGAAGGTTCTCCCGGTATCAGGCGAGTAGCAGGTAGGTAGGCTGCTAAACATCCCATAATGCACAGGACAGCCTTCCGTGCCGACCCCCCCTCCACAACAAAGCATTATCCGGCCCCAAATTTCAAAAGTGCAAAGGGTGAGAAATACTGCTCTAGAGCTTAGTGAAATGGACAAGTTACCTAGTGTTTTGGGACCCCAATAGCCTTGTTTATTAAATGAAGGTTTAATAAAGGATGCAGGATGAAAGAAGTTGTTTAGAGTTCCTTCCAACCCTAAAATTCCAGGATTCTGAATAAGTATTTTTGGAGCATTCTTCCAGGAATCTAGCATCCCAACACTACTGCAAGGCTCCTTTTTAATTTTAATTTTTAAAAATTTTTTAAAATGTTTGTCTTTATTTATTTTGGGGGGGGGTAGAGAATGCGAGTGGGGGAGGGGCAGAGAGAGAGGGAGAGAGAAAGGATCCTAAGCAGGCTCTGCGCTGTCAGTGCAGAGCCCGACGTGGGGTTTGATCTCACAAACCGAGAGACCGTGACCTGAGCTGAAATGAAGAGTCAGACGCTTGACCGACCGAACGGCCCACAGCCGCTGCCAGGCTCCTTTTTTTGTACATTTACTGTACTGTGCATTGTGATTCCGACACATCAAGAGACTGCTCTGCGTATCTAATCATTGGGCAATCGGTATTGACACTGATTGTTTGGACTAGACGCTAAAATGAATTAAATCCATTCATTCACGTCCCAAAAAGCAGCACATCGGGAGAGCCCATTAAGCCACTACTTACCTACTGCCCCATTGTTTAGCCTGGCAGACATGCTCACGATGAGCCTTTCACACGCACCCGGGAGCATCTGAGGTCCTGTTTTCAAGGCAATTTCAACGCAGTTGTGCAGGTGATATTCATCCAAATCCTGCTTGCTGCAGAAATTCTCCAGTGAATTGATCTGGGGAATCAGACTAAGCTTTGGAAATAATACGAAAGGAAAACGTACATTCATAATGGTCTCCCATTCAAGATTCTACTTACAAAAACAATGAGATCTATGAGAAAATACTTTAAAACAAGATTTTAAGATTTTCATTTTATTTAAGAAATCTTCAAATAGGCACATCTATTGACTTAGGACAAAGAAAATGGGACTTTTTTTTTTTTTTTAACCCTCCTTAATATATTATTAGCTTGCTAATAAATTTGTCTTAGGTTTCAAAGACTCTTAACTAGGCGACATGTGATAAATTCGGAAATTATGTCTCAGTGCATCCCATTGTGTCACTGGGGAACTCTAATTCCACAAAACTCTCCTTTTAAAGTTTTGTTCTTTTCAATTACATATGAACAGTTCTACATCAAACTGGCTGCCTCTTGGAGAGTCACAGTGTAGATTAACACACTAATGCTCTGAGAAGTCCTACAAGAAAGCTACTTTTAAACTCTGTGTTTCCATACTTACGTAACCACTTGCTCCTATATTCAAATAACACTAACATCCCATAAACCCAATATTTCACAGATGCATTTTGGGAATTTCTGGCTTAGACCATACAGCGGTTAGAGGGACAAGTGCATTGTTCTAAGCGTCTTCTCAAAGATGACTCGTCTGTAGTTTGATGTGAAGAAAAGCCATACAGTTATATTTCTTGAGAAGATTTTATCTAAGTTATAACCTACTACCATTTACATTTTTTAAAGCTTACTTATTTTGAGAGAGTGAGCATGTACAAGTGGGGAAGGGGCAGAAAGACAGAGGGAGAGGGACAGAATCCCAAGCGGGCTCTGCGCCGACAGCAGTGAGCCCGATGCGGGACGCGAACGCACAAACCACGAGATCATGACCTGAGCTGAAGTCGGATGCTTAACTGACTGGGCCACCCAGGCGCCCCTAAAATGTTTTTGAATGGCTTGGATGATGCAGCAGAGAACACATTGGTACAGTGGAACTGATCACAAGTTGGTCATTCTGAACAACTGGTAGAAAAAGCAGCACTGACATTAAGGTTTAATTCACCAGGTCAGGTTAAAAGAGCAAACTGGGCATCTCCCCTGGCCTTCTTCCTTTGTCCACTCTGAACCTCTTTCCCATGATCCTTTACTTCGACCCTCTTTCAACACCCCCCAGCCCCCCGCCCCCAGTCCTTCTCTGTCCTTTGACACCCCAGCAAGTGGAACCTCAACCCTGGGTGCCTATTTCACCCAGGGAGTGTCTCCACTCCTCAAACCTCTATCCTCACCCTCCCTGCACTGTCTCTTTCTCCTCTTACTTCACAGAGAAAATGGAGCCTCCGACTTCCTGCCTCCCAAACTCCTGGCTCACAGGTACTTCCCCCGCCCCGTTCCCGGCCCAGCGCTTAGGAAGAGGTGGCCACCACTCTGCCCTCAGCCTTTGCGAAACTTCTCTGTAGGTTATGCTTTCGTTAAGCGTTTCCTTTCAACCGGCCTGTCAATGTGCTTAAATCTCTCCCATTTGTAAAATCACCTCCTTGATCACATATATTTCTCCTGCCACTGCCCCCCCCCCCCACCTCTGCCCTTTGACTAATTCCTTGATAGTCAAATTTCTCGAAACACGGTCTCCTGGCCACCCTCACTGCCTCTTCGCCCACCCACCCCTAAATGTTGGGATCCTCAGGGTTCTCTCATCAGCCCCCTTCTTACTCCACATCCCCTTCCTAGGTGACCTTGACAATGATGTTGCTTCGGTTACCATCAATACATTGTTGACATCTGGATCTAGGTCTCTTGCCCACATCTCAATTATGGGCTCTAGATCTGCACAGACAGGCTTATTGGTTGTCCCACAGGCACTGCAAACCAACACACCTGAAACCCACTTTCCTTTCCTATTGGTAGGAAATAATGTCACCATCTGCCAACGTACTCGGTGTAGAAAACTGGAGGTCATCTTTTTTTTTTTTTAAGTTTACTTATTTTGAGAGTAAGAGAGCATGAGTGAGAGAGAGAGAGAGAGAGAGAGAGAGAGAGAGAGAGAGAGAGAGAGAATCCCAAGCAGGTTCCTTGCTATTAGCACAGAGCCTGATGTGGGGCTCAAACTCACGAACAGTGAGATCATGACGTGAGCCAAAATCAGGAGTCAGACGTTCAAATGACTGAGTCACTTAGGCACCTCCAAAAGATCATCTTTGATACTTGCCTCTTGGTCATCAACACTCCCCACCCATCCCATGTTCCCCCAACATCGAGTCAATCACAGGCTCGACCCATCTAACCTCTTAAATGTGTCTTCATTCCCCCATCTCAGCTCTAATTGAGGCCATCTGGGTCGCCATGGTGGCAGACCAACAGACGTCCCACCTTCCGCTCTTACCCCTTTCCCCCATCAATTTCCTACCTTGCAGTCACAGTGATTCCTTAAAAGCCAGTTTGTTCAGATAACCCCTCCTTAAAACCTTCAGTGGCTTCCTATTGCCTCAGGATAAAATCTAAATTCCATCTCTTTTCATTCTGTTATCCCCCAACCTCTTGGCTCAGTGGTTCTGTTTGGGAGGTGCTGCCCCCTAAGGGGGCATTTTGGAAATTCCAGGGGGTGGTTTTGGTTGTCGTGGCCATTGGAATGAGGTGTGTTAACTGGTTTTTAGTGGGTGGGGATCAGAAACCCCAGACATATTGACAAAAAAGAAAATCATCGCATGGCTCCTATAGCGTTCGAATGTCTCACCAAAAATCCATGAAGGAGAAATCCTTGTTTACATTTCTGAGTTGAAAGCCCTGCTCTATGTTTTAAACAAACATGTTACACGTTTGTAACACACCTGTTTTCATGGCTGTCTCGTGTAGGGTGATTCTGCACTTATGAGCATGTCCCTGCCTCATTATGTCTTCTGCATATTCATGCCTGTGCACATACATATTGAAATACATAGTGTTTCTCTATAAATTACTCTCCTTTTAGGTCTCTTTGTATTTGCACATCACATTGACGTTATTTGGAAAGTGTAGGCTATAATGCCTATGAGTTGCATTTTAAATTGGTGGAGGGTTACAAAATATTTGTCATAAAGTACAAATGGGTTGGGAAGGGGCGCCTGGGTGGCTCAGTCGGTTATGCGTCTGACTCTTGATTTTAGCTCAGGTCATGACCTCACGGTTCATGAGATCGAGCCCCACATCGGGCTCTTGTGCCGACAGTGCAGGGCCTGCTTGGGATTCTCTCTCTCTCCCTCTCTCTCTGCCCTTTCCCAGTTTGTGCGTGCACGCTCTCTCAAAATAAACAAATAAACTAAAAACAAAAAAGAGGAGGTTGGGTCAGGGGATGTTGAGAATCACTGCTGGAGTCACAATGAGCTTTTCCATTCAGGGACCTGTCCCAGCTCGTAGCGGCTCCCCTACCACGTTGCCATTTCCCGTGTGATCGTCCGCATCTCTCCTTTAGAGAGTGAGCCCAGCATGTCCGGGCAGGTGCTGGTCTTAGTCACGCCTGTGCCTACCATAGTGTCTGATTTACAGTAAACACTTCATAAGTGTTTGCTCAGTAGAGAAGTACTTAGATATGTCTAGCGTGGTACGTTCAAGTGGATACTAAAATGACTACATTCCCCAAACACAAACCAAGTGAAGAGTCCCGCAGAAAGAAGCCAGAGGCTAGGATTGGGGACGAGGGCATCCAACCAGGGACTAACTACCTACAGTTCTTGGTTGGAGGCAGCTTAGAGGAGGCCATTCCTGGCACCAAAGCAGATGGACCAGATGATAAGAGTCCTTGTCAAATTATAGGATTTTGTAATATCTTGACTCTCTTCTTCTCCTAGAAGCTTCTAAAGACTTTGTTGACCAAGTGCAGTCCCTCCCATGGTTTAAAAGAATGACAGTGTTATAGTCTAGAATGTCTAATACAGTTTTTGACTCTAAACACATTTTTACGGAAGCATGTATCATGTAATCAGGGTGAGTGAAGGAAATCTGTAACTGTCTCACGATGCTCCCCAAACAAAAGCTATTTGTGCAGGAGGAACATCCAGGAGTGAACAAAGCTTTCGTCCGGGCTTCTTGGTAAAGCATCAGATGCAAGTGTTAATCTGGCTGCAGAGAAGAAGGGACGTTGAACGGGCCGGGTCTCAGGCCGTCAAGCATCTTCCCAGAGCAGCGAAATCAGTGGTATGGAAGTAACCGCATTAGTCTGTAACCATAGAATGCGCATGGACTTTCTCCTACTGGACATCCTGGGTCAGGGACTGTAAGGGTCACTGTGGGTGCCCTGCCCGGATCTTCCCGTTCACCAGCTGCTGTGGCATTGGCTGCTGAAGGCTCACAGCTGTCCTTTTTCCCAGAAACTTGGCACTCAGCCACCCGTCCAGAAGTTCATGCGCTCATGAGCCGGGTGGGGTGGATAAGGTGGGTGCACACAGGCCCACCCTGTTGCCTCCAGGTGGGACCAACTCGGTGGCACAATTATGCTCCAGAGCTCCCTGTGGGATCAGCTACACTTCGGTGCAGATCCCATCCTTGTTCGCTTCCTTCCCCTGTCCCTTTGCTCGTCTTCTCCCACGAGCATGCCCTCAATAAATTAGGTGCACTTGAGTCCCTGGCTCAGCTTCGGCTTCTGGGGAATCTGACCTGAAACAGGGACCTAGCATCTCTTCTAAGGTTCTCACAGTTGGCCGAGATCAGGCTGCTCTCCTACTTTTCATGCAGGTTTCGTGGATTTCATAGCTATACGTAAGAGAAGGCGTGTTTGAAAACTGATCAAATGGATATGTTTTTGAGTTAATTTCACATTATCCATTTCTATTATGTATCTAGCAAGTATCATTGCAATGACTTCATTTACACATCTGTCTTCTGTATCAGGCTGAGAATTATTTGAGGGCAGGGACCACATCTGACACCCCCAGGAATCTGCCCATTGTCAGCTCATGTGTGCTCACTGAATAGGTGGCAAGCGGGTAATTTGCATGGATGCATGAAATACAGCATCACGCCATCATCTTTTGAATTTACAAAATTCCAAATGTTCAAGATGTGGATTTAGAATGAGAAATATCGGAGCACTTGGGTGGCTCCGTCAGTTAGGTGTCTGACTCTTGATTTCAGTTCAGGTCATGATCTCATGGTTTGTGAGTTCGAGCCCCACATTGAGCTCTGTGCTGACATCTCAGAGCCTGCTTGGGATTCTTTCTCTTTCCCATTTCTTTGTCCCTACCCTGCTCGCACACTCTCTCAGAATAAATAAACTTAATTTTTTTTGTTTTAAATGAGAAGTATCTTGGGGTGCGTGGGTGGCTCAGTGGGTTAAGTGTCTGACTCTTGATTTTGGCTCGGGTCATGATCTCACAGTTCGTGGGTTCGAGCCCCACATCAGACGAGAGCTTGCTTAGGATTCTTTCTCTGTCTCCATCTCTCCTCCACTAGCACATGTGCGCTCGCACTCTCTCTCTCACTCTCTCAATAGTAAATAAACTGGGGCGCCTGGGTGGCTTAGTCGGTTAAGCGTCCGACTTCGGCTAGGGTCATGATCTCGCGGTCTGTGAGTTCAAGCCCTGTGTCGGGCTCTATGCTGACAGCTCAGAGCCTGGAGCCTGCTTCAGATTCTGTGTCTCCCTCTCTCTCTGCCCCTCCCCTGTTCATTCTCTGCCTCTCTCTCTCTGTCAAAAATAAAATAAACATTAAAAATTAAAAAAAATAATAATAATAAATAAACTTAAAAAAAAATAAACTGAGGCATATCCTGGCTCTTATCAATCTGAGTTTCATGGCTATTATTATAACAATAAAATCCCTTTCTGATTTGGGAATTACTTAATGTCTTCCTTTCCCTTTCTTTAGTCTGCCTGGGTTCCCAACTTTTAGCTTTTTCCCCCTAAATTAAATCTGTTGGATTTGATTTTCTTACTCTGTGACTCACATGGTGGTCCAAGAGTGCGGTTCTATAAAGCTCCTCAGGAGACAATATGACTTACACGGAGAGGGAAATCACGAGAATTCAAATCCTCATTCAAGAGTTTGTTTCAACTTTCTTCTTCGTTTCTACCGTAACAGGGCAGAACCTCACCACAATCTTCCGTGGCCTTCCAGGTGCAGGATTTAGACCATCTTTGGTGAAGGTCACCAGATTAAATACAAATCACCCAGGTGGAATTGAATTTCAGAGAAACAATGGATAATTTTTTACTATGTCTCATATAGTATTTGAAAGCAATATTTGGGACATATTTAATACAATATTCAACTCTAACTGGGCACCGTGCTTTTTGTTTCCTCCCTCCCACCATCATTTCCTCCCTCTTCCTTCTCTGCCCTTTTCTTTCTTGCTTTCTTGCTTTCTTTCCTTCTTTTCCTTTTTGCTAAGTCTTGCAATCCTACATCTGGTCAAATAATCTTACACAATTTTTTTTTTGATGTTACAATACCTGAACTTACTGAATAGAATTCAAGGTACACCTGTCTCATACTGAATTCCATAGTAGATGATAAAGTAGCAAAGTGCCAGGTATAAATTTAAAATGTCTGATGGTTAAGAATTGAACATTGAGGGGCGCCTGGGTGGCGCAGTCGGTTAAGCGTCCGACTTCAGCCAGGTCACGATCTTGCGGTCCGTGAGTTCGAGCCCCGCGTCGGGCTCTGGGCTGATGGCTCAGAGCCTGGAGCCTGTTTCCGATTCTGTGTCTCCCTCTCTCTCTGCCCCTCGCCTGTTCATGCTCTGTCTCTCTCTGTCCCAACAATAAATAAAAAAACGTTGAAAAAAAAATTAAAAAAAAAAAAAGAATTGAACATTGAAAACACAACTCATGAAATATGGACATACAACTAAGTCAGGGGTTGTCAAGCTGCCCGTAAAAGGCTAGACAGTAAATATTTTTGGCTTTGTGGCCCTTGAGTTCTCTGTGACAAGTACTCAGCTTTGCCTTTGTAGCTTAAAGGCAGCTGTAGATAATATATAAACAAATGACCATGACCATGCTCATGTGCCAATAAAACTCTGTAGGGCAGTAGTTTGCCAATGAAATCATGATATTAGAAGATTCTCATGAATATTTAAAAATGCAACTATAACAAATTAACTTGGTTTTGGGGCGCCTGGGTGGCTCAGTCGGTTAAGTGTCCGACTTCAGCTTAGGTCATGATCTCGCAGTTTGTGAGTTCGAGCCCGGCGTCGGGTTCTGTGCTGACAGCCCAGAGTCTGGAGCCTGCTTCGGATTCTGTGTCTCCCTCTCTTTCTGACCCTCCCCCGCTCACACTCTGTATCTCTCTCTCTCTCAAAAACAAATAAACATTAAAAAAAATATAATTTGGCTTTTATCCACAAAATTACTTCTAAGAGATCCCACACAATTCTATACAATTCTCCTGAGGGTGGGATGAAACTGGTAATTTTACATATTGCCAATCGTCCTGAAAGTACATTGGAGACTACCTTCCAGAAATTCATTTGACAGGTTATTTCAAGAGTCAGAAAACCTTGGCAAGTAGGGAATAGATAGGTAAAAGAAAGCTTAAATTTCGTCAGTGCCCAAACTCCGCCAAGTGTCTACCCTGGGCCCGAAGCTGTGGACAGAATGAAGGGTTTGGAAGAAACATCTATGGCCCAACTCTGTGGGGGAAAGACATTGAAAGAAGTCATTCGAGGAAATATTGTGCATCGTTCCGAAAAACAAGAAGACTACAGAAGCACGATAAGAAAACGCTCGTGATACAATGTGAACTGAAAAACATTTGCGTACGTACTTACATGAGCACCCTGATGACGACAATAAGCTCACGCATAAAGCGGAGCTTCCAAGATGGTGATCGTGAACGTGGGAGAATGTCTCCCGGAACTTTCCGTGGTGCCAGCACACTGTGGTGGCTCAGAGCAGAGGCTCTGGCACCAGGGAGCCTGGCTGTCATTCCTGACTCTTCGTTCACTAGCTCTGTGACCCCGTGCCTCATTTCTGTTGTCTGTAAACTAGGGACAATGACAGTAGCTACCTCACAGACTGTCGTGAAGACTAACTAATACACTATGCGAGACACTGCGAACCGTTGCTGACACGTGCTGTGCCGTAAGGTTTGCACTCACTGCTGGTGACGTTTATAGAGACCGCGTGATTTTTTTCTTATAACGCAACAACCTCATTTATACTTCTAAAGAAACATTTTACCATCGAGTCTGCAAGTAGAATTATCATGGGGCTCAGTTTAGAAGGCAGCACCCACGTCGCTTCGTGATACTTACTGAATCAACCAGGATGTGTGAATGAGCGTGGGCCCCACCTTCCAAAGGCTGGGAAAAATAGACGTCGATGGAATATTGTACATCTGGTTCTAAACAGATGGGCGTGGGAAGCAGCACGATTCTGTATTAAGAGAAATAAAGCAGAAATTCAGTGACAAAAGTACAGTTATATAACCTAAGCGGCCATAGCTGCTTCTCCCAGCGTGAAGTGGGTTCTGCCTCAGAGCAGAGGCCAGGTCTAGACCAGCTCGGGTGGGTTGAGTGGAAAGCAAAATCACATTCAGGTTCTCTGTGGCTCTTCCATAGGATTGTGCCAAGTAGCAAAGCCTTGGGAACCATCAGCCACGTGTTGTCATAAGTGCTTTGGGAAAAGGATGGAAACAGAAGTCCTTCCTCCCGTCTACCATGCTCTCAACAGTGTCTCCATTTTAGTTTGCCACAAATCTCCAATGTAAAATTAGTGGCCTCCAAATCAGCTTTTTGCCCTGGAGACTCTCAGCTGTTGAGGTACTGCCAGCTGAATATTTTATTCCTACTCTTGGAGCGTTTCACTTTCTCACCTCTCAAGGCCATCTGGAGAATGGGAAAGGAACGTTCAAGACCGAGAATCAGGAGATCTGGGCTGGAATCCTGGTTCTGTTATACACCAGCTACGAGGCTGGGGCAGGTCTCCAGGTATTCTCACTCTGAATTTCCTCCTCACCTGACGAAGAGAAAGTCTTCCTCGCTGAGTCGTCAGCAAGATATGATCTTAAACGTGAAGCTTAGTGTAACACAGCAAGCGCTTAATAAATGTCACAGTCTCCTTGAATACACCTCTTCTCCTGCTGAGCTCTTTGCTACAAATTATTGATAGAGGCCTAAAATTCTAAGAAGGCTACTGTGTTTGAGGACAGGTCCCAAGCATACCTGGAAGTCGCCGGTAAAGGGAAGGACTGAGGTCGTGGCCATGGGGTCTCACGTGGACAGTGCTTGCTCTTTCCGAGGGGGTTAACCAGGATCTTGACAGCCCAGTCGGCTGCGGGCTACACGGGCGTGACATAAAAGCATGTTTTTGTGAGGACGTATACACAACACACGCCTAACGGACAGCCCTTGCCATCAAATCTGTAACCCACGGCCCCCTCAGAACAGGGAACTTTGGAGCTGAGAGAAGTCTTAGCGGTTGGCCATCAGCTCTAACACGCTGGCAGCTGAATGGCGGTTTGGGTAGACAGAATGTTGTTTCCGGCCATAGCTCTAGTTCATAGGCTCGAAAGACCCTGGTACTCCGGACAGGGCTGGTCTTTAACGTCTGTCTCCCCCAAAGTCCACTGATTCATCCTGTCCCTGGATCCAAAGTCCACTGATTCATCCTGTCCCTGGATCACTGAACAAACATGAACATTTCAAATCCTTCACAAAAAGATATATACTGTTTTTCATCTTATCATGTAAATATTAGGGGTGCCTAGATGGCTCAGTCGGTGAAGCGTCCGACTTTGGCTCAGACCATGGTCTTGCTGTTCGTGAGTTCGAGCCCCGCGTGGGGCTCTGTGCTGACAGCTCGGAGCCTGGAGCCTGCTTCAGATTCTGTGTCTCCCTCTCTCTCTGTCCCTCCCCTGCTGGCAATTCTGTCTCTCTCTCTGAAAAGTAAGTAAACATTTAAAAATTTAAATATTATTATATAAATATATTATTACATAAATTTTCTTATTTTACATTTATTACTAAAATAAATATATTACTAAACCTATTTATATGTATCTAAATATGTATAGATATTTATAGCATATAATAATTAGCTATATTCTGAAAGCCATGCAATTTGGAAATGCTTTTTTTTTTAAGCTTATTTAATTTGAGAGAGAGAGAGCACACGCATGCAAAAGGGGGAGGGATAGAAAAAGAAAGGAGAGAGAGAATCCTGAGCAGGCTCCACACTGTCAGTGCAGAGCCTCATGTGGGGCTCAAATCTAGGAGCCATGAGATCGTGACCTGAGCCTAAACCAAGAGTCGACTCTTAACCGACGGAGCCACCCGGGCATTTCCAGCCACCCTGGAAATGTTTTTTAAAGATGTCAGAGGGGCTTCTGGGTGGCTCGGTCAGTTGAGCGTCTGACTCTTGATTTCAGCTCAGGTCATGATCTCGTGTTTCGTAAGACTGAGCCCTGCCCTGGGCTCTGTGCTGGCCGTGCAGAGCCTGCTCAGGATTCTCTCCCTCCTCCTCTCTCCGCCCCCCCCCCACCGCTCCATGCCCTCTCTCTCAAAATAAATAAATAAAACTCAAACCAAAAAATTTAAAAAATAAAGATGTCAGAGATGTGTTCTATGGAAAAATTTGTACCTTATATTTTTAATGACTTCTTATACTCACCAGGTCCGAGTTCACTCAAGTCCCTTGGCTTTTGTTTATCAGTGAGAAACAGAGAATTATGTCATATCAAGAATTTCAAAGCGGGTCAGCAGCTTTGGTTGTATAACACACAATGAGCACTTCCAGAGTGTGGTCCCTGGAGGGACTCTGGGGACCCTGAGACCACCCCCAGCCTCACAAAATACTTTTTGGGGCAGATGGTCTGTGGGGTGTCAGATTATCATTGAAAAGATTATGCAAAGAAAAAGTGAGGAACCACTGCTCTAGATCGAGTGTTTTTCTAATTTGGTTTCTATTCTGTCTTAGATATTTCTCAAAAGGCAGGGGGGAGGGGGACAGGGTGGTGGTGGGGCCGGGGGCAGGGGGAAGGCCAGGGAAGCCACGAGGTGCAGCCTGCTTTTAGTTTTGCTCTTGTTTCAGGGTAAAAGCCAAGTGCAAATAAACGCCTTTTCTGTATCCCTAGGAGTCAGAATCTCTTCACACAGGTGAGCCTGTGAAGTTCTTAGAAAAAAGCCCAAGGAGGGCAGAATTTGTGTTATTTTAGTTTTTTATTGTTCTTATACAAACATTCCATCACCACTTCCTCAGACCTTGTACCTTCAGTATATAATCCCGCTCTAGCCTCTCTCCACGGAATAGAGCACACATGCCTCTGGCTTAGTGTGTTGTTTTAATATCGTTAGGAAACCCTTTGATTCATAATGCCCTCCAGATGTTCTGTTTTTTGGGTTTTTTTGTGTGTGTGGTTTTTTTTTTTTTTTTTGGGTGGGGGGGTTTTTTTTTTTTTTTTTTTTTGCAAATCATTTTCTGACGACCCTATCTAGCAAGACTGGAATGGAAAAGTCTTCGTTCGAAAAGGTACTACCTCAGGCAGGTTTTACCCTTGAAGAAGAAGTCGGATACCTGAATCTCATAGCGAATGGCGATGGTGAAGTCCATGGGAAGGGCAATGTGGTCGACGGCAAATCTCAAGCCGGCCCCAGGGAGAACCCGGGCAAATCCAGGTCCAGTCCACGCAGTAGGGCTTCCAGGAACCGGTTCTCGGAAAACACCGTGAACAGCAGGCACCTGGCCAAAAGTCACTGAGCCCTAAAATTGGAGAAGAATGCACTCAGCTTTGCTAGAGTCGAGTCCTAGCAGGGAAAAAAAAGAGTTCAGGAAAAAAAAAAAAGTACATATTTCCTGATGTGTACATGATCCATCTGAGTCACGGATAAATTATTCCAGCCAGGATATGATCCAGAAGGCATCTGAGATGTGCTGAATCCGCAGCTTTGGAACATATGTTACTGTATAGAGTGATTGATTTCCAAGCCGTGTCACTGGAAACCACTTTAAACTTAAGTACCCCACGTGCTAATGAATTGGACACATTCCACGCTGGTGACCTGGGGTTTTCTCAGATACGACTGTGGGATTCCGGCCAAAATGAGGAAGGATAGAAAATATTCCCATGCTTCCTTCGTGGACTTTGCCTCATTATGCACGACAGTGAGAAAACCCACATGGATTTATTTATTTATTTATTTATTTTGATATTTCTTCCATGCAGACATGAGAAACGCTCTTCTATCTGCTTGGAGGCATAGAAGTATGAAACGCGTAACACGTTGGGTTGCATCCCGGATGGTCTCTCCTGGGTGTCAGCCTGGGGCCATCTGGAACCTGGAGATAATACTTTAATGACTTTTGCATCTGTCTCCCCACGCTCACAGCATCCACCAGAATTCTGCCTCTTGTTGCATTTTGTCTGTCTCACTACAACAGTGCCTTGGCCGTTCTCTCCACCCCTTCCCTAATCCAACCCACATGACGCACAGCTGCCAATAAGCGTTTCACACTCTTACCCAACTGCCAACGGAATCACACCCATATGACTTAGCCTGGGGTTCAAGTTGCTCTGCGATCTACCCCAAACCGCTCCTCATTTGCTGAGTGTTTCTTGAGCAACCATTCAACGCCAACCCCTGCGTTAGAATGCAAAGATGAATAGGACACAGTCCTGGCCACGGAGATTAGAACCTTGCACTGGAGACCGAAACGTAAATAAGAAACTATATCGTCAGATTAGGTTTCAGCAGATATCTATGTAAACTTGTCTACATGCAATGTCTTTCAAACATTTCAGAAACACTCTCACAAATGCAGTAGACACTAGATGCCCCTCGGGGATCCCCTTTACCTGGTTGGTGCACCACCACCCGCAGTTGCTGTGTGTGTGGCTTCTAGGAGCTCACGGTTGCCTCCTTCTCTAGAGAATTGCCCTCCCATACCTCCTCCCCAACCCCTCCCCCCCCCCACCACCCCTGTCCCTGAGGGTAGCTCACAGCCAGTGGCTTCTTGATCAGAGCTATAAAAGGCTGACCCTGTCTTCCCAGCAGACGGGACAACCTTGCCTGCGGTTTATGCCTCTCAGCTCCTTCATGGATCAATCCAATGTTGGTTTCACCTGACACTACATCTTACTCCCTCCTCTTGTTTCTTTCACTCCCTTACAGAGCTTTCCTGAATAATACTTCCTTACTGGATCACACGCACCTGAATCCAGTCTTGGGCTCTGTTTCTAGGGCACTTGACCTGAGACAGTTGGTGCCAGCCAGTTTACCTAAAAGCAGACTCCCAGATGCAATTTGGGAGGAGGAGCGTTTTCGGTTCAGCTGGCAACGGGGACCCCCGTGTGCAACATGTCCTGATGATCCCTGGGATGTGGCAGCAGAGCAATTGCTAAAGCTGTCAGCTGTGGAGAACTGGGACAGGATACAGGCAGGAGGGGAGCCACCGACTGCAGCCATGTTTCTGGCATTGAGAGATATGGGGGAATAGCAATTATAAGGACTGTGGAAATAGGTGGGAGTTGTTGAATGCCACTGATGCTGTGACGAGGGAGGATGGGCTCAGGGCAATCACCAGTTTAAAGCCGAGTGTGAGAGTCAGAGGGCCTCCCTGGGGGGATTTAAAGAGCCTCATCTCCTTTAGGCAGATGGCAGGAAGAGTTGACGACCAGGCACAGGACCTCATTGTTAAAACTTGCAGAACTTTGGAGAAGCCTGCATTCTCAGCCTAGGTAAGTCACCTATGCCCAAGTCAGGCCCTTCATGGGGAAGAAGAGGGACCTTAAGACATGGGTGATGCACATGGGAACCTTGAACTCTGAGGCTCTCCTGAGCGCTTGTGGACCATAGACGTAATCCACCCACTCTTACTGGAGTAGAGCCCCTCCACTCCACCCCCCTGCCGCATTTGAGGATGACGTGGAAACCTCAAATGATGCAGCTGTCTTGGGAGAAAACGTGTACCTTCCTGAGGATCTGCTTATCCTACCCACCCTGACCATGTGCCTGATAATTAGAGTCAAGTTCCAGCATGACCTGACTGGGAAAGTGCTAGATCTCTGAGAGGGACTTGGCTAACCCGTACAGGTAGCAAGTGAGAGAGAATGGGTCTGCGTCCTGAGGTCGTTAGAATAAGGAGGCAGAACATGAAACTGGATAGAGAGAGTTTGTCAATTTGGGATCACCAGTAATATGGGATTTAATAGCCTGGCAAGAGCTCTGGAGCCTGGGGAGATGGGTCCAATATATTGCTGGAGTAGCTCTTGGAAGCTTGGCAAAAGCTGTGGTCCCGAGGAGAGGGAGTGGAGGTTCCAGAACAGCCGTAGCAGACTGTGGAGGAAGGGATACAAGGCTCAGAGTAGCAGGCATTCTAGAACGGATCTAAGATACAGGACCAGGAAACCCACCAGCCGATTATGTTCTTTGAAGGCCTGGAGGACCCCTTATTTATTGGGACAAGAAGGAATGAACTGGTGAGAAGGGCAACAGCATCACTGAAAAGCTGGGTGTTGGGTGTCCTCTGTAGGCTGGTAGGATCTATCACTGGGAAACAGAGCTCTTTGGTATCAATGTGGAGGACAGGATCCCAGACTATCGAAGATTGGGTAGCACTTAACTCTCAAAAACAAGATGGGGATAATTATTATAGGGGACAGCAAGGTTAGAGAAGGAGACAAGGGGGCCTGACCCATAGGAATCTTCAGTGGAGATGACTAATAGAACATGGTATTCCCAGGAGCAACACAGACGAGAAGACAACAAAAGTATTGCTTAACATATATTATTAAAAGCGGTCAGATATGAATTAGCAAAAGGCTGAGGTCAGCTGTCCCAATGGAAAGACGTGATGTTCTGTCAAGTTCCTAGACCTGAGCCACTTCTTGGATCCAGAACCCAGTGACTGAATAAGAGACCAGGTCCCCATGAAGAAAGATTCTTGAACACCATGGCAAGTGTAAATCAGGTACCCAAAGTGCCATCATGGTCCCCTTGTTAGAAGAAGGGCATCTGAGGGTCAGGTAATATATGGAGTCCTGGCCTAAGTCCTTTTTACAATGGGTTCACAGATTTACTGAACCGTCCCTTGATTATTTCCTCCAATTCCTGACTATGTCATTGGAATGGATCTGCTTAGCAGTGGGCATTGATTCTTTGACCTGGAAGGAAAGGTAAGAGTTCTTCTAGTAGGAAATGCCAAGTAAAAGCTTGTGAAACATCCATTCGCAACCACTTTCTCTCCACCTAGTCAAGATAGTAAATAAAAAACAGTACTACAAATCTGAGACATTCTCCAAGTGCCACTCTCAGGATTTGATGGTGGTTCCCATCATGTCCCCATCATACACTTAATACAGACTTAACCAGCTTGTAGTCCTATCTGTGGCTGTCGTGCCTGAGGGAGCATCTTTACCAGAGCAGATTTCCACCACCCTCACCCAGGATATGGAGCTATGGAAATGCAAAATGTGTTCTTCTCCAGAAACATAGAGAAGAAGGAGAAGCAGCAGGCTGTCTTCTCTCGGGTAATGTATATTCAGTCTTGCCCCAAGACTGTTCATTCTCCCACTCTCTGTAACAGGATAGCCCAAAGGGGTTTGAACCATCTAGATATGCCACAAAATGTCACACTGATTTCCTATATTAAAGGATAGTGAAGTGGGTCCCTTGGTCCAAGCCGATGTCCTGTGGTCTCCCACGGTGTGAATCAGATACTCTATGGCCTCTGTCAGAAGACCACATCACCCGTCCTCAGCTCAAGGGACCCACTTCACAGCAAAAGAAGGATCGCAGTGGTCATGTGACTTTGCGATCCACTGCTCTACACAAACCGTACCATCCAGAAGATGTTAACCTCAGATGGCAGTGGGATGGGACCCCGAAAAAATGCATCAGCTTCACTAGCTTGGGAACGAACCCTGTGAGATGGGACAGTATTCTTCAGGATGTCATTTACTCCTTAATGATGGCAATGGCCTTTATGTGATGCTGTGCTCCCAATGGGTAGAAGACATGGGTTTGGAAATCTAGTAGGAGTGGCCAAGCTCACTGTCACAGGTGGTGACCAAGGGAATTTGGGCTTCTTGTGCTTGCAACTTTAGGCTCTGTGGGTCTAGATGTCCTGATTCTTGGGCAGGAACAAAGAATTCCACTAACCTTAAAGCTATGGCTGCTGCATGGCCACCAGGGCTTCTCACCCCTGCAGACCAGGAGGCCTGGGATGAAATTGACATAACCGGAAGGGCTGATCCTATTTAATCAGGACATGAGGAATATGCGTGGCACTGAGGTGGCCCACTAAGACACCTGTGGTGTTCTCCTACACGTAGCCTGAGAAGACCATGGAAACCAGGGGCTCAGTGGTGGAAGGATGAAGGTCTAGGTCATCCCAACCCGCAGAAGTGCTAGTTGAGCGTGAAGGGAATCTAGAATGGGTGGCAAGGAAGGAGGGAGACAGTGAGTATCGGTTACCACCTTTGGGACCAATTGTGGCAGCCAGAGGCTGCGTTTGTCTCACGAATCTCCTTTTGTTAATCTCCCCAGGAATTGTGGCCCGGGAGAATCCCAGAAAGCCTGTGCGTGCATGGAATGAACTTAATGTAAGGGGCAGATGGGCTGGGTCAGCTTCATGGGTGTGCAAACGTGTACTTCCAGAGGGTCCCACACTCAGAAGGGACCCCATGTTTGGTTTAACGCTCTGCCGTCACCATCTTGAGATAATGAATAATTTTATGTTTGAAATTGTTTTGTGAGTGAAGTCTCTTGGGACAATGGCGCGTGCACATGAGCAGAAGAGACATACCCCCTATGTGTGTGCTTCCTTGCCCCCATTTGCAAATAGCGCACATGATGCCAGTGAACACAGCATTCCAGTGGACCTACTATGCGCATGTGTTCAGTGAAACTAAGAGTGCATATAAGGTAAGTGGGTTATGTTGATGCCCGAGTAAGCAGGGTGCCGACAGCTCCAAGAAGCCAGGCTTTTTCTGTTGCAACCAGAACTTGCTTTGAAAGCAGAAAGAAGGCAAAGGCATTCTGAGAAAGATGTTATTCATGCTGCTTCCCTGTATTAGCCAGTTGCATACACCAAAGGATGACCAGAAGGAAAGAAAGATAGGGCGACTCCTGGTTGTCTTTCTTGCAGCCCTCCCTTACTGGTTAGTATGCTGAAGGTAGGGAGTGTTGGTAGGACACATACCAAGTGAAACAGAAACAGTTGTGTTCGTTTTGCACATTCCATTGTTCTGGGAAGGCCAGAATACATATGCATTTATAACTACAAAATACAACCCGTGTAATTTCAGTGATTTTACATGAGCCAAACGCCCTTATGTTTGCAGTGAAAATTGCACGATCTAAAGATGCATGGTACCATTCGTGCCAGTAATTTATATTTTCAATATTTCTTTACTTCAAACGACATTAGATGGCAAATAAAAGAACACCGGGAAGTCAAGAGACTATGGAAGAAAGTAAGATGCTATATGTTTCAGTGCCTTCAATATTCTTTTTCCCTAAGTTTTGAACAAAGGGCCCGGCGTGTGGGGCTGAGCATGCAAAGAGCGGACGCCAGCCCTCGCTGTGAGTGCACTGCCGGGTCCCCTCGGCTGGGCCACACTCTCCAGCCACCAGTTGCTGTGACGCAGCTCCCCTCTCTTGAGAACTGCCCTTGGATTGGAGTCACCTCACCTGGGAGCTTGCCGGCATCTGCCCTGGGAGCCCACAACCATGACAGGCTGATGGACACAACAGGCCTGCCCTTGACCCTCAATGGGGGACAATTCTGTTGTGCCATTTATGCTTCCAACCTTCGCAGGGGATCAGGCCAAGGCTACATCTATCCCAGACTTCATCCTTGCCTCACTTTCCCCTCCCGAGCCTCCTGCCCTCCCTCCCCTACAGACTTCTCCTGATGAGTGTTCCTTCCCCTCCGTAAGGCACATGCACCCACGTCTCTGTTGCAATGTCTGTTTCCAGGGAACCCATACACATTTATACAAACCGAAACAAAGTTTTCACCAAGAAAATATGCCCTTGTTTTGTATTCCTCTGTTGTACTAAGCTGGGCCCAGCCAATTGATTTCATAACCTACTTACAAACAGGCAGGACCCACAGTTTGAAGATTGCAGATCTGTGTGACCCCAGAGATGGAAACAGTGAACTATGTCCAGATGTTGGAGTAGGAAGATAAATCTGCATTGGGTTGTAAGGGATGAGTAGAAGTTTCACAAATCAAGAAATAATACAGAGGTGGTCATTTCAGACAAGAGTCAGGAGAGTAGTTTGTGGATATTTAGAGCTGTGTTTCTCAAAGAACAGTCATGGACCACCTGTATCAGAATCACTTTGGGGTGTGTGGCAAACATGCAGATTTCTTGACCAGTCCCAGACTCTCTGATTTGGATCTTGAGGGTAAGAACCTGGAACCTGTTTTCTAAATGAGCCCCCTAGTCAGTGCTTCTGCACAGTAAAATTTGAGGTTCGCTTATCTGTTCTATAGAGAGCCAGGAGATGGGAGTAGTGACTCATTCCCCACTCTTCTCTTTCAGATGGACTCAGAATGAGAAGCCCAGAGAGTCAGAGAAGGCTTCATGGGCATGTGGTGTGGGCACAGGAACAGGTAGACGAAAGAGCAAGGCCGCCATGACTGGTGTGCATGGACCTGGGGACGAGGAACACCAGCCAGGAAGCCTTCTCTGATTCTCTCACCTAGAGGTAGTTCTCCTGAATCTGAAGTCCGTGTCATATTATGTGCACCTCTTCTATGATACTTACCCCACCCAGCCACCATTAGTGGTTTGTGTACACGGCTCATTTCCACGACAGTGATCTTAAGGGCAGACTTCATTCGTGCTGACATATTCTTGTTGCCATTGATTCAACCACTTCATTCACTCAAGGAGGTCTCTTATGTTTAAGGAACTGACTCAGGTGCTGGGTTTGTGAACGAGACAGCTAGTGTCTGATTTCATTGGCTTTCCAGCATGCCCTTCACGCATACGCATGTGGGAAACTCAGTGAAGATCCCAGGGTACTGAATGAAGGAAGGAATGGACCCAAGGCATCCCCAACTTTGACTAATATAGTTGGATGGCTATTATCCAAACTAATATAGTTGGCTGGCTACAATGTCCTCAGGTCTCCTCTGGCCTTCTGAAGCCATTGGAGCAGGGTCCCGTGGAGGTGGCATCATCCTGCACTCACACTAGCACTGGCCAGCTTCCACTGTCTCAGATTCTAGACATGGCGACGCCATGCACCACCCCCAGGGATATCAGCATGTCTTCTTCCTTCCAACTAGGGGGAGAGCCGTTCCTCAGCTCTCCTTATGTCCCTAAAATGACAAAAACTTGTGAATTTTCAATACCTGACTCTGACTCCAGAATCCAGCCTTCCGGAAACTTCTGTCTTGAAACAAAGAAAGCTACTGGGATTCTGCCCAGAAGCTCTAATTACTTTGAGCTTGTGCCCTCCTTTCCTCCATCCCATCCTCGAGGACACTGGCAGCTTACAGGGACTGAGTACTCACATGGGCCCCACACGGTTCTGAGCACATTACCGGATTGTTTGTTTCAGGCAGGACAGACGACGGCCATGGAGAAGCGGTTTACCTCACTCTGCTCGTCAGCACGTACACTCTGCTTCTGATTTCTCTTCAGTATTATCGTGCCTTTGTCAACTATGAAATCACTCCCTTGTTGCTGGAAGTACACATCACACGTAGGCAAAGCTGTTGCTGCTATCTTAAAAAGAAAATAAATTACAGCGTCAGTAACCCAATTCTACCACAGTGCAAGCGTTTTGGGTTATCTGATAACTTAAAAGGTAATCACGATCTCCATTTCATAGCCTCAGGAAGGAGTCGTGAGGCACTTTATAATTCCTCTTTCTCTCTGAAAATGAGAAAATTTTGGTAGTCCTATGACATCTCGGGTTTTCTTTTTGAACGATGCTGTGCTGGTGACATTCGAACCTGGGAAAACATTTATGCTTATCTCCTAGGTTCGTGGTGTTAAAAAAAAAAAAAAAAGCGCAAATGCTATGTTTTAACGTGAGATCCCAAGAAGAAAGTTGTAGAAAATCAACAGCAGGCATGGGGCAGAGACGCAGTTTCAGTAGCCATTGTCACTCTGGACACTCTCGAGGCCAATTCCTGGCAGTTCTCACAGTTTGTGGGATTTGACCTTGCAGGGTCCCGTGAGAGGTTATACCAGGAGAGCCACCTCCCAAACGAAGCCGAGGAATTGCATTCCTGCGGCTCCCATTTCCTTAAAATCCTGGTCTCACGGGCTTCCCTTTCATACCATCCCCCTCAGCGGGCACCCAGTCAGAATCGCCAATTGTTCATTTCCAGATTTTCGCGGTCCTCTGGACGTGGGTGTTTCCTTGGTTGATGCTTCGTTATTGGTTTTACAAACAAGAGTTTTTCATTTCACAGGTGCCCTACTTGTTCGTCAAGAGCATGCAGCCCTCGGGTCAGCAGAGGCCCGCTTCAGGAACTCGCTTATTTTAGTGATTCTCAGCCACACTCTCTGTCCAGCTGCCTGACCTCTGCAATGAGGAACCTCAGACAGGCCACGCTGGATTATGTCCATGTGTCCAACACAAAATTAGAAACCATTTTATTGATTTTATGCAGAAAGCCTATTATGGAATTAGCTTTATACTACACTGTATCAAATTCCACACTATGTTAAATCCAATCAATGTTAAGTTTTGTGACCACAGGTAGTTTCTATAAGAAAACAAACCAGTGCTTCCCAAGTTGCCTATGAATCACTGGGGGATCCTGTTAACAAGTAGACCCGATTCAGTAGGTCTGGGGCAGGACCTGAGACTCTGTAAGTCCAGTGAACTCATAGGTGATGCAGCCTTGCTGGTCCATAGACCACATTTGAGTAGCAAGGATGTGGCCATAGACCGAATGTTTGTGTCCCTGCAAAATCCACATAGAGAAGGCTAATCCCCACAGTGGTGGTGATTAAAGGTGGGGCCTTTCCGGGGTGATTGGGTCATGAGGGCACACCCTAGGAATGGGATCAGTGCCCTCATGAAAGAGCTCCTTTGCCCCTCTGCTGTGTGAGGACTCAATGAGAAGACGGCCATCTACGAACCAGGAAGCAGGCTTTCTCCAGACACGAATCTGCTGGTGCCTTGATCTTGGACTTCCCGGCTTCTAGGACTCTGAGAAATAAATTTATGTTGTTTATAAGCCACCAAGTCCGTGGTGCTTTTGTTACAGCAGTCTGAAAAAATTAAGATACACACATACCCACACACATCTTTTGAAGACCCGCCAAGAAAGTTAATCGTCCTTTTTCTTCATTCTCCGATTTGAGTATTCAAAGAGTTACTCCTAAGTCATGGTCTTGGGTTCACATCCTTTTTTGTTCACATCATCTCCATACCTTCTCCTCTCTCTGCTACCTCTTAACTTCTTCCTTATTCCTTCCTTATGCCTGCCAGGACTACAACAGAAAGCTCTCCCTCCATCCCAGGCCTCCCTGCGACTAGACTGCACTCACAGGAACACTGAGGACAGTCTTCGTCAGGTCAGTCTCTGGCTCAGAAAGCGTCAGCGAGTTCTCATTGCCCAAAAAGTAAAATATAGGCTCTTTAATAGGAGGATCTACTGTTCTTTTCCAATACTTCTTCCCTATATAAACTTCCTGTTCTACCTGTGAATATACCTACCCTGTCTCCCCTCTGAGCCATTAATTATAACTTTTCCTGGCTGGACTGTCTTCTCACTGAGGCCACCAACTGCAACGCTTATTGCTTTCAAGTCTCAGGCCACATTGTTCTGTGCCTTAAGCCTGTTCATAAAGTATCACTTATGGCTCTGAAATCTTAACACACGGCACATATGGACCCTTCTTGTCATACGTCTCTGCACCCATCCTGAGGTATCTATGTAAGTGTATTAGCTATAGCTAAAAATTCCTGGAGGGTAGAGACCGTGACTAATTGCTTTCTATGCTGCCCTTAGCCTGGAGCTCAACGTTACACATGTGGGTGGCACCTATTGATGGGTTAAGAGCAAGAGCTTTGGAACCAGATGCACCCGGGTTTCAATCCAGGGTCCACTGCCCACCAGCTGTGTGACTTTGGGCAAGTTAGGTAACTTCTCTAATGTCTCCCTAATCTGGAAATTAAAGGTGATACGTTGTTCAGGAAGTCAAATGAGGTAACGTATATAAAGTGCAAAGGACAGAGCTCTAAGTGGAAGTTGGTTTTTTTCTCTTTTAAGTGACCTCTACTCCCAACGTGGGACTCGAACTCCTGACCCTGAGGTCAAGAGTCTCATGCTCCACCGACTGAGCCTGTCAGGTGGCCCTGGAAGTTTTATTAATATCAAAAGCAAGAGCATAGTAAGCACACAATACATATTTGTTGAATGAATGCACAAAGAGGGTCTAGCTTAAACTCTTCCTACTACAATTAAGGATCATCTTTTTAGTGGAGAGGAAATTATTCGTGCTGTATTTTAAACACAACATCAGTCCCAGCTTGAATTGTCAAAGATACTACTTTCCAATCCTCTGCACAATTTTCCTGGCCCTTTAAGCCCATTCTCTGTCCTTGATCTTTGTCTTTAAACCACAGAGAGAGGAGTAAGGCTTCACGTCGGACAACACTCATGGTTTGGAGCTGTATTAGCACATTAGCACATTCTCCTTAACTGCTTCTCAGCAGCTACGGCATGGTGCACGGGGAATATACGTTAAGCATCAGTCCGTCTACTCTAGATATTACAGCTGCTTTGTGTTTTCTTATCTAAAATAGTGGGAGCAATTATATTTGGAGTTGTATAGGAAAGACACTCTCATGTGGCCCCTCTACTGTCACACTGTTACTACGCTCACAACATCTCGGACACCGGTGTGTGGTTTATTCCGATGCTCACCAAGTCTCAGACACCAGCTGAGTGTCCTGTAATTTAATTCAGTCCCGACACCATCTCCCTGGACTTTGTGTCAGATGCCACAGGTTGAGAGCTCAGTCCCACCAGACTGTCCCCGCAACCCCACCTTCAGATGCCAATGGAAAATCCAGGTTGTTACCAGTACTTCTGACCAACCAGCTATAAACTGGGATTCCCATGACCCCTTCCTTGGGCTCGATAATTTGCTAGAACAAAACTCAGGGAAACACTTATGTTTGGTGGTTTATTATATAATGAAGAATTCTATAAAGGATACAAACTGCCAGATGAAGAGTTATGACTGGGAGGGTTCTCTATCAGGAGCTTCTGGCCCCTGGAGTTGGGGTACACCACCCTCCTCGCACATGGATGTGTTCACCAACCTGGAAGCTCTCTGAACCCTATATGTTGGAGATTTTTATGGAGGCTTTATCACACAGGCATGGTCATTCATTAACTCAATCTCTAGTTCCCCTCCCCTTCACAGAGAATGGGGTGGGGAGGATGGAAAATTCTAAGCTTCTAATCAAAGCTTGGTCTTTCTGGTGACCAGGCCCCATCTAGAAGCCCCCATCTAAAAGTCACCCAATTAGAACAAAAGACATCCTTATCCCCCAGAAAATTCCAAAGGATTTAGGAGCTCTTTACCAGGAACCAGGGGTAGGGACCAATATATATCTTCTATTATTTTATGATAGTTACAGCCTAAATATAAATACCAATATTATCTTACCAAAGTGTTTTCTTAAGTCACCATCATAAAGGTGCAAAATTAAAAATCATGAAGAAGAATGCAGACATAGAATAGTTTCATTTTGATCCTACCCACCGTGGTTGTAAGTTTAAGTAGGGACAGTGAAAGCCTCCCACCCCTCCCCCGATTCCAGTCAGCAGAAGAGAATGTTCCAAGCCTCCTAAGGGGCATTTTCATCACTCCCATCAATGGTGTCCAGATAAAGAAAAGATCTCAGGAAACGACTTAGTTGCTGGAACCTGGACGAGTTCCCGTTTTCTACCCAAACCCTGTCTTCAGAACCGACTTTTACACGTCTTCTCTCCTTGAAGACTTTCACCACACATCCCCTTATTCCCTGCCACATTCCTGCCTGTGGCTGGGGTCACATGCTTGAGACTGTCACAGGAGTCTAACTTCTCTAATCGTTCCACACGTGTGTGTCTGCTCCTCTAACAAGCCTTTTAAGAAATACGTTTTTAGGGAAAATATCCCACAGGACCCTGACTTGGAGGGAATGAAGTAGGGCACCAAGTGACAATTGCCCTCACCCACACCAGTGAACATCAGTGAGAATGACTAGTCTATGATCAGCTTCAGGAGGAAATCGTATACTTCCGTTTTGAACCTTATTCGCTCATTGTTAGCAGAGGTCTGAGAGGTTCCCGCTGTGGCTCAGACACTATGGCGGATGCTAGGGCAACAGTGGTGAACGGCATACACATCTATCCGTCCATCTCGTGGTTTATAGTGTCGTGGGGAAAGCAGAGAAGTAGATACTCAATGAACACACGTTAGCAGACAGCCACATCGAAAGAGCAAAAGTCAAGTCCCTCTGACCACAGCCTCAACCAATTCCCACTTATGTGCCAAGCTCTGCGCTAGACTTGTAATACAAAGATCACGTAAAATGCAGGCTCTGGCCTCCAGAGTTTCTATAACCTTCAGTTCCATGCTAAATAAACTCTGTTCTGATTGGCACGGGTGGCCAAACCATTCTTTTCCAGGTACCTTACCCATGGTCTCAAGGGTGTGCTATATGTATTTACCACCGCCCCATCAAATCAAGTCTGGAAGGAGACTAAATGAAATACGAACCAAAGGTGCAAGTCCTTGGAGAGGGGTGGCTTCCTCTGCCTCGTAGAGATAGAAATTCAAAGGAGCAAAGAAGTAGCCGGGGGCTGATTCAGTGCAGCTGCGGCCAGTGATGTGCGGGCGGCATTCACACTGGCCATCCTTGGGGGAGCACCTGGGGAGAAACAAACCCATCATGCACAGATGGAGAGGGGGGAGGGATAAAACAGAGGCACGGAGGTGCTGAACTAAATGCCTTCTGAGTTTGGACCCGCTCCTTGAATCGATCAATCAATGGTCTTGAGGAGGATGTTAGGAGGCCATGGGCTCTACGTGTCTGGTCTTGAAAAGCAAATCCAGATCCATGGAACCCAAGTAGCCACCTCTTTCCTCTGATTCTGCTCTAAACGCTGCAAAAAGGAGTATAGGACCTCTCCTTATAGGGTGGCAAAAAGTTGATATTTTAGGCAGGTCAAGTCACACACGGCATCTATCCCACCACCTGTGGGTTACCCAAGCAGTAGGACGGTTGATCTCTTCCTTGGAAATATTTTGAGCAAAATAAATCATTTGGGCTGTAGTTAATGTCTCAAGATCATTGCTTTTCAACACCCTTTGCTCGTCATGGAATAAAATCCATCACCGATGACTAGAAGCCGGTCAGAATAAAATGTGGAAACGTGAGTGGAGACTATAGCCACAGGACTGCGTCATTCATTTAGTGACTTACACGTTGGAATAAGCACCTCCAATGTCACAATCACAGGGAGAACATCCATGGAGGTGATTTTCCAGTCCCCAGTATCCAACCTATAAAGAGAAAATGCTCAGCTGAATCCAGCTATGAAGATACATGCTGCTCTGAAGGGTAAATATTAAAATCAGTACAGTTCAGTCGACACAGGTCAAATAGCCACACAGCCTGGGCAATCACACGGTCACCTTTCCTGCCTGTGTACTTGGTAATGACCTTGGAGGACACATCTCTCCTATTCCTGGGACTTGGAATGAAGGGGACAGGCAGGTTGCCTGAATACTATTCCAAGCAAAAATGCAGTGGGGGCACCTGGGTGGTTAAGTCCGTTGAGCGTCTGACTCTTGATCTTGGCTCAGGTTATGATCCCAGGGTTATGGAATCGAGCCCTGTGTCAGGCTCTGCCCTGAGTGTGGAGGCTGCTTAAGATTCTCTCTCTCTCTCCTTCTGCCCCTCTCCCCTGCTTGCTCTCTCTTTAAAAAAAAAAAATGCCGGGGCACCTGGATGGATCCAGTTGGTTAAGTGTCCGACTCTTGATTTCAGTTCAGGTCATGATCTCACAGTTCGGGAGTTCAAGGGCCGCACTGGGCTCTGTGCTGACAGTGCAGTCTGCTTGGGATTCTTTCCCTCTCTCTGCCCCTTCCCAGCACTCGTTCACTCACGCTCTCTCTCAAAATAAATTTTTAAAAAATACGGTGAAAACTACACAGTTCCTCTGACCACACCAATTTAGCCTCACGGTGAGTTATTTAAGGCCAATCTGGGGAGAAGGTCTTCAACTAGCCTATTTGCAACTGCTTTTGTAAAGCCAGTAGATTCTCTCACCACAAAAATCCCAAGGGGTTTTTACTTCCGCAGTCTTAAAATGTTTGGGGGTAAAAAAAAATTCAGGTTGATTTTGAGATCTTATTTGCATATCACGGTTTAGCAGGCTCTCATGTTTGTAAGTAAGCTGTTTTGTCATAACAAACTCTGCAGGAGAGAGTCCGTTTTATTCAAGACTTTTCTTCATTGCAACATCTTGACCTTTATTCGATATGAGCAGCTGGGGAGATACAAACAACTATTTCTTAAATCTGATAACATTTACTATAAAATGCTCCAAAAACGACTTCCCTTTCAAACCTCAATTTAACATGCTCAGACAAAATCAAGGTCTTAATAGGCACGGCATTCTCATTTGAAACGGGTTTGTTATGTCTCCATTTTTGTTGTTGTTGTTGTTGTTATCTTGATAGAACTTTCCGCCTGATTTTACTCAGAAAGATTGATTTTAAACACTAAAGCCTGACAGAATTTGTTACAAAACACAGCAAAAGACTTTTGGTATCTTTCCCGAAACCCAACTTCAGTCTGGGCAGAAACAATGTGCAACGACGGGCTTCGCCAAGGATGTGGTTGTGAAAACTCCCTCTAGGCCAGGGGTGCTGGCACATGGGGCTCAGAGCAGGTCCGGGGCACCGCCGGACGGAGGACCAGGTGGGGCACCTGGCGGACACGTGGGTGCAGCCACAATGGGCAACCCTCTTCAACCCCGCCCCTCCCCCCACCCCCACCCCCTCCCCCACTGTGGCCCCTGCTCAGCGATTTTCCTCCTGCAAACACAATCCAGCGACCTATATATACAGTTGCTGTCACACTGCAAACCAACAAAGTCAGCCTGAGTCTAAGGTCTCTCCGGAATCATCTGATGCGGCATCTTCGTCAATCCTGCCAACCAGCCCGGCATCCTTCATGTTGCCCACACGCAGCCGTGGAGCTGGCGTGGCTCACCTTCCTCCGTAACATGTCCAGGTTACCTGCCCTGTCTCCCAGAGTTCCCTCTTCCAGGGTACTTTCTTGACTTCTTTCTCCATCCTCCTGTGCCCCAGCCTCATATGTTTCCAGTAAAATGACTTAAAACATTAGCACAGAACGATGTTGTAATAGGCATATGTTTCTTATTTAGCAGCTACATTTCTTCAGACACATCAAGGTCACTGTTCTTTTACTAGGTTGAGTTTGGGGTTTTTTTCTTTCTAAAATGTCATGGTGGGCTGCCAGGATTGGAGAACAAAGGGAAAAGTTGGATTTGAACTCCCTAACTGTATGACACATTTCTTATGGCGTAAAAAAGGTTTTAGTTTACTAATTTTAGACATACATGCTCACATGTTTGGTGGAGTCTAGAACAATCCAGGAGTTTATTTCCCACAGGAATCTACAGTCCATTTAAACCTGTGGGTTTTTTTTTTTTTAAATGAGCTCATCCAAAATATTTCTAGGCAAAGGGTGGTAGGGGTGATAAAGAGACTATACGCAAGAGACAGAAGAAAAGGCTCCACAGTCTGGTGGGCTGAAAAAAGGGAGCAGATAAATTGTCATATTCTACTGCTTGGTACGTTGGGGAGAACAGTGGATAAAACTTCTGACATCGGTGCCCGGGTCCGTTCGGCACAATCTGGGAAAAGTCGGTGTGGTGGTAAATGTTTAACAACCAGCTAGCTCTCTGTAGAAGGGTTAGTGTTTGCTGATTTCTGTCATGTAAATACTTTTACCGGGGAGGACCGAAATACACAAGCACAAGGAAAGCAATTAACGAGACCAAGTGTCCTCCGGGCAATGGCGGCAGAAATCTACACGACCACATGAAAGGGAAATCCTACGCAAATACATACAGTGCACTCTTCACAGTGTGGTCCGGTGGCAAATGACTGGCATGCGCATTGGCCAGTCTCCACATCACAGGCCGAGAGAGGCAGACTCCCGAGGGGGTTACAGTTGCAGGCTGCAAGCAGAGCGAACACAATTATTCTATTTCCCCACCCTTGTCCTTAATAGCTCACGCTGAGCAAAACGGGTGGCCACAAGAACACCCAACATCCAGCCCTGCCAAGTCTATCGTCTGCCTGGTTGCACGGTTCTTGTATGGCATACAACTCTGTGTGGGAAACCCAGTGCCAGACGTTTCCAGAGCCCTCATGCGGTGCTACTGGATGGTAATTAGAGAGTAGAAGTAGAAGAAGTCATGTAGGCTGGAACTTCTGGCACCGTTATCCCGAGTTATCCTGAGTCCTGAGTCCTGTGAAGAAACTATGCTCTGAGAGCAACATACACATTTCCCCTGTGGGACAAACCAGTGTTCCTGGAAACAACCCAAATGTCTGTCAGCTGATGAATGGACACATTCGATGTGGAGTAGCCACACAATGGAATATTATTCACCCATAAAAAAGGAATAAAATACTGACACATACTGCAACATGGATGAACCTTGAAAACCTCATGCTAGTGAATGAAGCCAGTCACAAAAGACCACATAGTGGATGATCTCATTTGTACAAAATATCCACAAGGGGTAAATCTAGAGAGACAGAAAGTAGGTTAGTGCTTGCCTAAGAGGGGTTAGGGAGGTGGGAGCTAAAGGCCAGGGGGTGCTTTTTTTTTTCTCATGGTAACATGAGAATACATTTAACATAACACTGAACATTTTAAATACAGCCCCACAGTTGTGCAACCAATCTCCAGGACTCTTCATCTTGCAAAACTGAAACTCTGTGCCCATTAAACACCATCTCTTCCAACTCCTTCCTCCCCCAAGCCCTCAGCAACCACTGCTTTCTGTTTCCATGGGTTTAACTACTCTGGGTACGTCATGGAAGTGGACTCACACGGTCCCTTTGTGTTTGGTTTATTTCACCGAGTGTAACCTCCTCAAAGCTCCTCTGTGCTGTTGCATGAGTCAGAACTTCTTTCCGTTTTTTTTTTTTTTTTTAAGGCTAAATAATATTCTGTCGTGCATATGTACCACATTTTGTTTGCCCATTCATCCATGGATGGACATGTGAGTCACTTCCCCTTGGGGGCTACTGTGAATGATGTTGCTATGAACATGGGTGTACAAATCACTCTTCAAGCCCCTGTTTCCAATCTTTTGGGTATATAGCCAGAAGTAGGGTACAGAGTTTCTTTTGGGGGTAATGAAAATGTCCTCAAATTGATTGTAGTGATGGTTACACAACTCTGAATATGCTAGAAATCACGGACTTGTACTTCAAAGGGTGAATTGTATGTCATGTGAATTATACCTTACTAAAGCTATTAGAAAAGAAAAGAAAACAGAAAACACTATTTGGCCTATTCTAGGAGGACATCAGGTCAGGGCTGACCCAGAGGAAACACTTGGAGTACTGAGAGGTGTGATGAGAATTGGTCTGACTATATGATCCATTGTCCTGGGATTTAATGTTGCCATTAAATTCCAGGAGAAGGAAGGATTCAGCATGCTGCTCTCTAAACATGCAAACAATCCACAGTTCCTTATATGGGCAAGAACATAGAGCATGACAGGGGGAAATTATTTACCCGGATTCCCTGAGGAATCTGCAGTTCTATGAGACCCCAGGCAGCTAAGAGTTTCTATGATCCTAGAGGCAAAGGTCTCCCATTTGGCCCCAGAAAACTCTGAATTTCTTTGTTTCCTCACAACCCCTCCCTTGGCTCTTTAATTTTGTTCTTCTCTTTGTCAGAGAACATAGGACCAATTTAAGAGAGGTGTGAGAACAAAGGAGAAAAGTAATTGAAAAAAGAAAAAAAGAAAAAGAAAAGAAACCACCCCTTGAAATCTACTTAAGAAGTCATCAATCTATGCATAAATACATAACGTAACTTCACGAATTTGTATAAGGGAGTCCAAGTAGAGACCATTTTTAGAAAGGTTTTGCAACTCGGCATTAAATTTCTTGGCATTTTCCCATGTTTGCTGCAGCGGGGAAATGTGAGCGCCCCCTGCTGGTTCCTTAGGATAAACTCAGCTAATCGCCAAGAAAAAAAATCTCAACTAATTTAACTAAAATCTGCGGGAGGTCTTGAATCACCTTTAAAAACCCAGAGGCCGGCAATACTCTTGGGTATTTACAATGACCGAAATTGAGGGCCCCAAGCTTTAAAATGTATTCGGGCTGGCCGTCCGGTCGCTGCCGACTTACGCTGACAGCCCAGGGGGTCAGCGGCGCTCAGTCCGTGGTGGTTGGGCTTGCACTGGTCACACTTAGCTCCTTCCACGTTCTCCTTGCACAAGCACTGGCCGGCCACAGATCCCAAAGCAGGATCAGAGTGGCTCACACAAATGCCACCCGATAAGGTCCCGTCCGGGTCACATTCACAAGCTGGGGACACAGACATGCATTATCTTAGTTAATTGCAAATTGTGGGAAACCCGAGATATAAACAGAGCCATTAACTCATGCTATAGTACTTTATTTTGTTTAAATAATTAAATATGTTTAAACAACTAGACCAGTGGGCGAGGACTGTTTAGAAATGTCTCCCAGATCTCTGGCCTTGGAAAATGTTGCACAATTCCCTCTGTATCTATCTATCTATTATCTATCTATTATCTATCTATCTATCTATCTATCTATCTATGGAGAGAGGAGGGAGGAAGGGGGAGAGAGAGAGAGACTTTTAAGGGATTCTAAAGTAAGAGGATCAGAGGAAGACTGCTATTAGGAAAACTGCATGTGAAGAATAGATTAATTTGGGGGCTGATGAAAATGTTTTAGAGCTAGGTAGAGGTGCTGATCGCACAGCTTTGTGGTAGGAAACTGTTCATCGCAAAATGGTCAGTTTTATGTTATGTCCATTTCACTTCAATAAAAGATTAAAGAAAGAAAATAAGACTCCAAAGGTGAGAATAATGTCTAGAGGCAAGTAGGAGTGGGGTGCTGTAATGAAATATACAAATACAGATGTGAGACAGAGAAAAAAAAATCACATAAAATGTCTATCAAAACTCCGAAATGTGGTTAAGAAAGTATGTCTGCCCTTCCCCCCTCACAGAAAAATAAGGATAAGTGTGATCATTCTTTAATTCTTCATGGAAGGAGCACGTATAAGAAAGAAAGGGGAAGAAGAGTAAGGGAGGCTTATGACACTGTTTTCTTTTTGGAAATCTGCTGACGGGGCAAAAGCTTGGATGAAGAGATTCTGCAAAATGAGATAAACGATCACCTGTAGCCAAGGAGCAGCAGAAGCACCGGCCACCCTTTTTCTTTTCAGCAGAAACTGGAATAACTCAAGAAAGGAGTCGAATATGAAAAGGGATGCTGATGGTGTGAATCATTCCAGAGGGGAGAAGTTACCAAAGGCAGAGCTTGATGTGATTGATACAAGGAAGAACTCTCTGATAGTTCGAGGTCCCCAACACCCCTCAGTGTTGAGGGGTGGTACCCGGGAGAGGCTGGGGCAGTGGTATTGACTACTGTGGCTCTGGTAGAGAGGACAGGTCTGTTGGTGGACATCAGATGACCACTTGGTGCTGTGTTTCCAAGGGACGCCACTTTTAAGGAACGCAATAAAGATTACAAAATGACTATCCTCGGGCGCTTGGGTGGCTCAGTTGGTTAAGCGTCTGACCCTTGATTTTGGCTCAGGTCATGATCACACGGTTTGTGAGTTCCAGCCCCACATCGGGCTCTGCGCTGTCAGCTTGGGATTCTCTCTCTCCCTCTCTCCCTCCCTCCCTTTGCCCCTTCCCTGCTCATGCTCCCTCTCTCTCTCAAAAAAGAATATCCCGATTCTAAGAAATAGTTATGTTCGCATTTATACATGTTTACTTTGGATTCATAAAAACAAACTCCTCATATCTAAAGCCATGTTATGTAGGTTTATATAACAACCGTTCAGGTTAGAGAGTTCGATGGAAAAAACCTACTCCCACCAGTTGTTTGGTGGTATTGAAGCAAACACTCGGTTGTCTGACAGACTCTTTTGATTTTCAATTGTTATTGGATTGTGACTGGTGATGAAATCTTATTATGGAAAAACAGCATTCGGTCCGGCTTAGTTTGGAAAAACCAGAATTTTCTTCTAATTAAATACAGTTGCTTCTAGAAAGGAAGGAACAAGCTGGAGTCATTTTAGAAGTAGCCAAAAGGAAAAATGTCAACTTTATCTGAAAGACACTCCAAAGGGTCAGCCCTGCGTTCCAGAGTATAATTTAATTATGCACTGAAGTAGCCTTTGGGGAAGGGATGTGGGTGAATGGGTAGTAATTTTACTTTGAAATAACCCTAAGTCATGGCCTTAGAAGTCCAATAAAACTTCTTGGCATCACACAACTTAACTCCAGCAAACTCTTATTATCGGCAGTTGAATCTACCAAATCTTTTTTGTTGTTGTTTTTTTTTTCCCCTGTATCACATTTGGCTGTGTTTTAATCACAGCAGACTTGAGATTAGTCAACCCCTATGCCTGGAATCTGATCATGTAAATATTTAGGCGCAAACGAGGACAATTTAGAGAAAATTTATAGGAGACTGCTAGTCAGTCTTAATAAATGCCATTTGTATACACAGACTTCCACACACACAAACATGTGTTTAGGGAAACTGAGGAGTCTCTTGAAGATTGTTTTTACAGGCTCATTTGCCTTTACTTAAAAAAAAAAACACCTCCTTGTATATATAGAATAGCCTCTTAATTTTACATCTGGGTACCAGTTTTCTTGACTCAGTTTCCTTTAGAAGTGCCATCAAGTGGCTCTTTTTTTTTTTTTTAAGTTTATTCATTTATTTTGAGAGAGCGAGCGAGCAGGAGGGGCAGAGAGAGAGGGAGAGAGAGAATCCCAAGCAGGCTCTGCACGGCCAGCACAGAGCCCGATGTGGGGCTCGAACCCACAAACCACGAGATGAAACCAAGAGTCAGACACTTAACCAACTGAGCCACCCAGGCACCCAGATACTAAGTGGTTCTTAAGGAACAAGACATTGGTTAATGTGAATATCTGACTTGGTTACTTGCAGTCTCTTTCCAGATTCCTAGGTTAGATAACCTTCGGAACATTATATTTTCCCCTGATTCCACCTAAGAGAGCAATTCCTTTTTCTTTTATAAATGCATAGCATTTAAAACATTAATAAAAGGTATGTGTGTGGGGGGCGGAATATAGATTCTGGTGACAAAGTAGGACACTTAGGACACTGATTTAAAGAAATTGTTTTTTTCTGAGCGTTCAGTTCTTTGTCTCATTTTTAAACAGATCACATAAGGTAAACTTTTATGTTGTCAGGCACCCACTCCGCAATCTGAACAAAAACTTCATTTATGCCTTTTCTACGCTGTGAGGATTTAAGGTTTGAAATCTAGGATGTTGTATACATTCTGGTGGCTACTGAATTACTTCTGTATAGGACTTCATTTTATGCATGATGATCGCATAAAGTTGGAAGTTGTAGTTTTATAGCAAACCCCTTCCCCCTCCCCCCCATATAATAATAGACTGGTGACGGAGAGTAAGAAGCAGGATTTCTGGGTATGGGGAGAGGCAACGTTCCATGGGTCTTGGGTACCCGCGCAATTTTTACTCAGTGTCCCGGCAATGAGAGATGGCTCTTCACCCAGCCCTTTCCCAACGTTGCATTGTCAGCAAGCTACTTTCCGGGATGAGGTCACGTCTTCCCCTGGACAAAGAACAAGCACACTTCTCCTTGCTGTAAAAGCAATGAATGCTCCAAGCGCTGTGTCCCTGGGCTGTGACATAGACTCATTTGTATGTGGGATCCACCTGGCATCCTTTGAGTTGCCCCATGGGACTCAGGGCTTGGAGACATGGGAACACACACCAATATAAACATCTTGTTACTTCCTGTGCCATGAGTACTAAAGTCCTTTGTCTCTAACCGGGGAGTTTCGTGTCTTCTGCCAGCATCCACTAAACAATAACAAGCTACTTGTCAGTCTGCAAGTAGAGTGAGATCTTAGATCCAGTAGTTACCCGCGCTCAGTACTTGAAATCAAGTTTATCTATGAGATAATCCACAGCAGTGCCGGGACCAGAGTTGAGACCAGCAAGATGCCTACGGCCAAAACTTAAGGAGGTGCTCACTGTCTGGTTAATGCAAATGGCAGGTGATAACCTCACACTTACATCACTCTGAGAGAGTGTGCTACCTGAAATGTTGGGATCTGGGTCATTCCCTTGCCTCACTCTGGTCTCATTCCTCCAGGGAAATTCAATTTTAAATAATGATGAGAGAGGTTTTCATCAGCAAAAATCGAAGCGTGAAAAAACCAAGTGCTGGCCAGGGTATAGAGCAATGAGAGTACTCAACCACTGTTGGTGTGGGTGCTAACTGGTACCCCCACTTAGGGAACAATGTGGTACCATCTAATCAACTGGAAGAAGTTCATACCCCATGATCCATTAGTCCCACTTCTTGGTAGGACTCTTAGGGAGAGGTTTTGTGCACTTGCACAAGGCCACACATACAAGAATGCTTTTGGGGGGATCAAAAGAAAAATGGCCAAATAGATTCTGTCATATCTATAGGAAGAAAGAGTTCTATACAGACATTACACATAGATCTTAAAATTGGAGAATTAGAGCTACCTGATATGGACAAATCTCAAAAACATAATGTTGGGTGAAATAATCAAGGATACATACAGCTTAGTATCATCTATGTAAAGCTTGAAAACATGCCAACATACGTTGTTTGTAGACAAGAACATGTAAAAGTGTAAAAGCCAGCACTGTACTGGTAATTGCCAGTTATATGAGAGTTTATCCCCAGAAAGGAAGGTAACAGTGGGGTACCTGAGTCACCTGTATCGCCGTCACGTGTTATTAAGGTCCTGAAGTTGCCCTGGGGTAAGACATTACATTTTGACACAATTGCTGGTGGGCATATTATTACAGTATTCTCTCTTATTTTTATATGCACAAAACATTCCATTTTCAACAGCTGAGATTAAAGACAAGATGAAAGATTTTTAAAGATTAAAACAAAGATGGTAATCGTTAGCTTATGTGTCTTCTCAGCAAAGATGAATTGTCTACAGCCGGTCAAATGTAGCCCATTTCACTACAGACCTTCTCCTTAAGGCGAGGCTCTGATAAACCCATCGGAAGCTGATAATTTCCTAAGTCGAAAATATACTTAATACATCTAACCTACCGAACATCACAGCTCAGCCTCGGCTACCTTAATCACGCTGACACTACTTATTCTGGCTGACAGTTGGGCAAAATCTTCCTACACACAGCCTGTCTTACAAGAAAGTGTTGAATGTCTCGTGTAATTTCCTGAATACTGCACTGATAGTGGAAACTGGTTGTATGGGTCCAGAATGGTTGGGTTTTTTTTTAAGTGATTTTTTTCCCCCAAATGTTTATTTTTGAGAGAGAGAGAGACAGAGGATGAGCGGGGGAGGGGCAGAGAGAGAGGGAGACACAGACTTTGAAGCACGTTCCAGGCCCTGAGCTGTCAGCACAGAGCCCGACGCGGGGCTTGAACCCTGCGAGATCACGACCTGAGCGGAAGTTGGAAGCTTAACCGACTGAGCCACCCAGGCGCCCCCAGAATGGTTGCAAGCATATGGGTTGCTGAGGCTCCTGACCAGGGGGTCTGACTGGGAACTGTCCCTAGCTACCTGGCCCAGCATTGGGAAAGAGGATCATCTGCGTGTGGGCTGGCCTGGGAAAAGATCCGAGTTCAAAATTCTAAGCAGGTTTCTACTAAATGCCCATTGCTTTGGCACCGTGGCAAAGTTGAAACATCCGAAGTGGAGCGGGCCAGGGTGAGTCGGGTCTCCCATGCTCAGCTACTTCCCCCAGGGGACCCACAGGACACTCAGGTGTCTGTAGCACCTCCTGAACCACCCGCCCCCTGCTGGCTGAATCCGGAATAGTCTCCTGATTCACCAGTGTCGGCCACCCACATGTGGCTGCGGGGATGGACCCGGATTATTTGGCCCAGCCTGTCGTGAGAAAGGAAAGCTCTCAGAACCGAGTGCCTTTTCAGACTGCCCCCCGCCCCCCAACCCCCAGGCCCCTAAATGCTGCTAAACCGAGTGGGGGCGGGGGGTGCCTGCAGCCCAAGCGAGACCTCTCCATCGGCCTTCGCTCACACGTGTGGAAGAGACAGGCCAGAGGGCGGGGACTCACGGATGCACGCGTAAGGATCGGACATGGCCCTGAGCGGGTCCCTGTAGAAGAGGGGTCTGCAGCGGTCACAGTGCTGTCCCTCCGTGTGGTGCTGGCAGTCCTCGCACACGCCCCCGCTGCGGCCGCCGCTCGCCAGGTACGCGGTCATGTCGAAGTGACAGCGGTCCGAGTGGCCGTTGCAGCGACAAGCTGAGGAAGGAGAGGGGTTAGGAGAGACTGGCCAAGGTCCGGGGGACCACCAGGCAGCTGTTTGGGCACAAATCACTGCAGCCCCAGTGCTCCGCCGACTTGTTAGAAATATACCAAGTACTTGAGGATTAAAGCAGGTGCTTTCGAAGGATCTTTCTAGTACTCTGATTCTGTATATATATATGTGTGTGTGTATATATATATACACACACACACAGAATACACACATACACACACACACACACACTGATAGTACTCTGATTCTGCTCATATCTATCTATCTATCTATCTATCTATCTAATTTTTTACTACCAGGTAAACAAAAGTAAATCATTTGGGTGATTTGGGAGCCCTAGAGTGCAGCTTTATTGCTTGGAGAACTTTATTGTTTGTCTTAGTGGTGAAGTCTGTGCTGTGTGCCTTGTTGGGTTTTCCCTGTAAACAGCAAAATCTTAGGCTCTGTTTTGCTGGGTCTCGCACACTGGGACTCCCCTGGATGGGACGTTTTTTAGAGACCTCTTCCACTCACCTCTCACTGCCCCAATCCTATTTTCCCCCAGTCTGGGAAAAGAAGCTGAGTAACAAGTTTGTATGGACTTCCCTCAAAATTCAGAGGCAGCAAACGCATTGCCAAAGAACCATCTACCTTATTAGCCTAAATATTTTATAAAAGCTACAATAGCCTGTCGAAGTTTGTCCCAGTCCTCACCTCTCCTATCCTCTGACATGTGTTTAAGGCTGCGTTCACGGAATGGGTGATTCTTCAGGAAAAGGGTAGGGATCTCTGTACCAAATCTAGTCCCCACTGATGTTGCCGTTACATGGCTCTGCCCCTCCTCAGGGAAGGGACCACACAACACGCAGATGGTTTCATTTTGTGAATTAACGTGCCTTTTGTGGTGTGAGGGTCTGAGAAGTTGGTCTTCTATCTATGGGAGGTAATGGGACACATTAGGATATCCCACGATTGGAGCTGGGAGCCACGAGTTTGTGGCCTCTGATGCCCACAGCTCCACTGAAATGAACTCGATGTTGTTCGAGCTTAAGGACACAGGCTGAGAACTTTCCCCACGTACCTCTGCATGCGCTGTCCTGGAGGCCTGCTGCTGGCCTCCATGGAACGTCCTGGAAGAAGCCCTTGCACCTCTCGCAGTTCGGGCCATCTGTATGGTGCTGACAGACACACTGGCCGTGAACCTGCGTGGTGTGAAAAGACGGCTTTGCTCTGAGGACGCTGGGGTTCTCGAGGTGGAAAAGGCAGTACCACGCCAGGTGCCTCTTCGGGTCTTAGCTTTCCTTGTCTACCTTCTATTATCTCCTTAACCAACTTCCACGTTTGGAAAAAGTTTAAGATGTTCGGGAACCATCTACATTTTCTTTGGCATTTCTGAATTCTAGTTTCAGGGCAACACACAATGAGAGACAGGATCAGGGGGCAGAGAGAGGGAAAGACAGGGAGGGAGGGAGGGAGGGAGGGAGGGAGGGAGAGAGAGAGAGAAAGCAGGGAGGAAGGGTGGTTAAGGGAAAGAGGGAATTAGAAAACAGAAAGAACCTGGAGCAAAGCATAGGATTCTCTTGGTTTGTCCACAAAATGCACCGTATACCCAAGTTCAAAGAAACTTGTACTTCCAGGGAAATAGGAGCTGGCTGACAGGGAAGGTGCAGAGTTTCGGCATCCAGCCTTGTCTGCTTGTGGCTCATAGTTTAAAATTATGTAGTAGACACACCCTCAGGACTCTGCGCAAACAGGCATTTCTTCCACCGCACCTTTTAAGACTCGTCCCAGGGATGGAAGAGATCAAGACCAGGAACAGCCATTCCCGGCACAAGAGTGCTACTTGGAGTGACCATTTCTACAGTGGCAGGCATCCCTTGGACACCCCGGTGTGGAGTACACCCTCTCTCGCACGAGAGACCTTCGAGAACTTTTTGTGGGAGAATGCACGCGAAACAGGGTCCTCACCACTAAAGCTCCATTCCCTAAAAAGCAAAACAAGAAGGGAGCACGACGGGCTACCCTGAGCTCACAGATGAGAAATGCTGCTCATGGAGTCATCTGGGGCAGAACCCGCAGGAACTGTGGGTTGAATGATCCCTGCCCCAACACAGAGCTGTCACTTCGACTGTGGATCCCCATGGAGAGGCTCTGATCCACGTTCGGCACCAGTGCCGCAAAGGAAAGGGAAGAGAGCCAGCTGCCCTCTGGGATCGATCAGTGACTTACCATTCCGGGAGGGCTGAAAACGTCTCCCCGCACTTTCTGCACAGGGCTGCATTCGCTAGCGTGGCCGTGGCAAAAACAGCTGCCCCCAACCACCATGTTGGACAGAGCATAGTAGTAGTTATCCAGAGAACGGTCTTCCCTCCTTGCAAGCAAGGTGTCCCCGAGGGTGTGGAGTTTGGTGAAGTTGATCCTCAGGTTTGTTAATGTCACAAGGTCTGGAGAAATGATAACAGCAAAGGAAAGCACACTTCATGGGCTATGGACATGCAGTGAAAAGGGATGCCCCCAACATAGAATTTTAGAAAAAGAACTTGTGCCAGAATAGAGAGTATCTCATACCCTGGATGTAGGGGCTGTAGGGGTTTTCTATTTCAAACCTGGGATCCAAAACCTTTAAAACGACCTGCAAAACAAATGCAGGTAAATGTATACATCTCACCCAAAACAGCATTGTGAAATATACTTTTTTTTTTTTTTTTAAGTAGGCTTCACACCCAGCATGGAGCCCAACAGAGGGCCCGAACTCATGACCCTGTGATCAAGACCTGAGCTGAAATCAAAAGTTGGATGCTCGACCAACAGAGCCACCTGGGTGCCCTGTTACTCTTAAAGAGTAACTCTTAAAGAGTATACTCTTAAAGAAGAGATCCTGACCTCACGAAAAGGCTGAGCCATTGCCTCCCAGCTGGCATAGGATACAGATTATTATTTGGGTTCTCTTGTGAATAAAAGGGCCAACATGGAAATGAATCAAACGTCTTAGTCATTCTGGTTCTTTATGCTCCCATGGTCCATGTAGGTGATAGCACTGGGGCTGGGAGGGAGGGACGGGGTCACAATTCAGTAGGTCATCAACTGGATCTGGCCGGGGATTCCAGAGACACCTTCTGCCACCAACCCTTTCACTCTGCCTGATAAGAGTCATACCTCCCAACCCCGCTCCTACCCTGCCTTTCTGCCTGTCACCCGCTTTGCTCAGAGGAAGGTCCTGGCAGATCCCGCCTGGGTGGTGGTTTACAGAGCATGAGATAACACAGCTATGTAGCAAGGGCTAGAAACAGATGCTCCTTGCTCTGGGTGCCCTGTGTCCTAGTGCCCAGCCTGGGTCTTAGTCCCCACTCACCCTCAGCAGGTGATGTAATCTCTCATGCAGGAGTATTGCTTGCAAGATGCTTACTATTTATCTGAGTTTGAAATTAATTCAGGACTCATTTCAATTTAAACATGTTCATGCTTTAAAAACCAACAGCTAGAGGGGCGCCTGGGTGGCGCAGTCGGTTGAGCGTCCGACTTCAGCCAGGTCACGATCTCGCAGTCCGTGAGTTCGAGCCCCGCGTCAGGCTCTGGGCTGATGGCTCAGAGCCTGGAGCCTGTTTCCGATTCTGTGTCTCCCTCTCTCTCTGCCCCTCCCCCGTTCATGCTCTGTCTCTCTCTGTCCCAAAAATAAATAAACGTTGAAAAAAAAAATGTTTTAAAAACCAACAGCTAGAGGCCCATGGGTGGCTCAGTCAGTTGAGCGTCTGACTCTGGACTTCGGCTCAGGTCATGATCCCAGGGTCGTGGGATTGAGCCCCATGTCGGACTCTGTGCTGAGTGTGGACCCTGCTTGAAATTCTCTCTCTCCCCACTCTCTCTCTCTCCCCCCCCCAACACCTTTCTCCTGCTCACGCTCTCTTTCTCTAAAACAAAAGCAACAGAACTCAAGTTATATTTCAGTAAACACTACCTAAATTGTTTTCATTTAAATGAACCGCATTAGAAAAAAAAAAAAATGGTGTAACCTCTATCCGAGAAATCCAAGAAAGGAAATGCTACCTCTCCACCAGATGAGGGTTCAATATCCGAATATTTGGAGTCACAGACAAGGTCTCCCACTCCCTGGGCCTGGCCAGAAGTGATATTGGGAAAGGAAGCAGCACAGTCTTTTGCAAAATATCTGAGCACTTTCCAGGTGTGTCCATAGTCTGTGGAACGTTCAACTAACATAGCAGCAGGCCGAAAAGTCTAGGAAAACGGGAGGGAAACTTGTAATGCTTCGCAAAGGCAGATTTCATTATCTACTGCAGACTGAATATTTGTATTCCCAAATCTCAGTTTTTCAAACTTTATTTGTATCTCTTGAAATCCGTTATGCAATGAACACACAGGAATCTCTTTCCAATCAGGGGGCGAGCAGTCACGAGCGCATACTTTGCCTCGAATCTGGTTCCATTTGAAAACTGTGTATGGGCTGTGTGAATTATTCATCAAAGGAGAGCATATCAATTTTTTAAAAAGTCAGCGTAACTGATATGTTACAGCAATTTGTATGTGGTTTTCTTTGACTAGAAGAACCCTTTTCTCTGGCAAACTCTTACACATCCTCCAGAATCTACCGTGAAGCTTATTCTGATTTCTTACAGCAGCGTTAGCCTCATCAAGGAAACCATCAGCATTGTGATTGTATGTCGGTTCCCGCACTGACAATTTTATATTATGATTTTAAATTTCTATATATGTTTGTATCCTTGACTAGACTGTGAGCTCTTTGAGGCCAAAGACTTGTGGGGTTTTTTTTTAATTTTTAATTTTATTTATTTTTTTTACTGTAACTCAGCTTCCGGGCTGACCACAAAATTAGAATTTTGATGAAATATTTGAGAATGACTACAGGACAGGATTTCTCTGGCATCTAACTATCCTTAGTGAAGACCCTTTCATTTTTCTGCCTCTTTTGATCACAATCTTTCCATGTTTCCCAAAATAATGTCCAGTTTCTGCTTTTTTTTTTTTTTCTCCTGAAAATCATTTTTCTAGCTCTTGTGGTCTCTCTCACCCTAGGGTTTGGACTTTTCCTCTTTGCTCTATCTTGTACGATTTCCTTCCTTCCTTCCTTCCTTCCTTCCTTCCTTCCTTCCTTCCTTCCTTCTGTTAACCATATAAGTTATTAATTAATGAGCAGTAGAGTTTTTACTTGTTTTGTTTTCCACTCAGGAACAAAGAGTCAAATTCTGCACAAAGTTCAAGTAGAGATTTTGTGCTCTACCCAGAAGCAAGGAAGTGAAATCCGGGTAAGCCCAGCACTTGGTAGGTGGATAAAAGGGGTGACAAGCCCACACATCTGTACCTTAAAAGTCAGAATAAGGTGGCTGAACTGAAATAACACCTCTAGGTCCAATCTGATGCTGACATGATCAAGACCTGAAGAAAAATCCAGAAAGAAGGAATCAGTGATTTTGAGAGACCCCTATTTACCCCTATTTAATCCTTCACTGTGGCTTGTCTGTAAAAAATAAAAACGTGTGAAATTACATGGCTGGGGATCAACACTCTTTCCTCATCTTTTACAGTGGCTTTCCAGAACACTGCACACCCAGGAGAAGGTCTATTTGAGAGCAGTACAGGTTTTACTCGGACTGTGCCCACATGCACGTTATGGTGGCGGTGCACACGGCCACTGTGTGGCAGTGTTACCTACCACCAAGGAAGTTCGCCCATTTCCCATAGGTCCTAAGCAGCAAGTGCCACCACTTGGCGGGGAGGGAGCTCATTTCCTTGAACTCACAACCTGACTGCGCACGTGCGTAAAGGTGCGCTGGGAAACCGGTGCATGGTAAACATCGAAGCATCCTTTTCTTCCAGCATCTGCTTGATGACCACTTGGACTAGTTCTATTGTCACTTAGCGTAAGGCACAGCCTGGAATATTCCCCTGGGAGTGAGAATCTGCAGCTCCTCTGGGGCTGAGGAGAAGAAAGTTCTATCCTGAGAGGGTTAGCTGCCATTCGCCTCCAGCCTGGATGTGGAAGACTGGCCCCAAGCTGGACACGAGGAAGCCCCGATCGCTCTAGAGCGGCACTGTCCCATAGGAACAGAATACGAGCCACCTGTGTCATTTCAAATTTCCTAGCAGCCACATTTAAAAGACATAAAATCAAGCAGGTGAAACGACTTTTAATATTTTTAACCCCATATACCAAAAACCGTCTCATTTCAACATGTACTCAATATTTTAAAAAATTACTAATGTTTTATTTTGCTACTACCAATGCCTATTTTTTTTCCCAAAGTAAGACTTAGAAACCTGGAATGGTTTTATACCGATGTCACATCTCAGTGTGGGCTAGCCGTGTTTTAAGTGCCCGGTAGCGCATGTGGCGTTGGGCTCCCTCCCGTACTGGACAGCAGCTCTGAGAGCAGTCAGTAACTGAGCTGCATGAACCGGAGGCAGTTTTATTTGTGGGTGCATCACTTGGGAGGGTTCGCCGCTGAGAGGGCAGCCCCATTCCTGGCTCCGGGTCAAGAGTCCCTCACCCTTTCTGGAAAGGATATCGCCTTTCCCCTCTCAAAAGTTCTTGGCTGAGAACCCTTGTTTTATGCGATCCGCTTTGGTGGAGGGGCGCTCCCGTGAGGCTATGTGCAGCAAATGCTGGACATGTGGGTTAAAACTGCTGCTAAGCAAAAATGGCCTGAGCGAAGGCAGGTGGCTCCTGCAAAGGCATCGCATACATGCACTAAGGAGGGCCCAACTAGAGATTCAGGATTAGGATCCAACATGAATTGGCATTTTAGTAGACACACCAATCATGCTTGTCCAATGGAAGGCATAGGAAAATAGCCTCATATTCTGCTTGCCTTATGTGTTACGATCCTATATATTCTGACTATTCCCACACTCCCCTAATGGTCTAGGACCCCCTGAGGGAAATAGGTTTAGGCATCTGAAGAGAATAGAGGGATTGTAGCCCAGGTACAACATATAGAGATGCAACAAAGGGAATCATCTTGTGGGGTGAGGGTTCCAGATTGGTGCTGAAGGGGAGCTGTCATGGGTGAGTCAGCCTACATTCATTCAAGCACATAAGGCCCACGCCTGAGTTTGGACGTGAGGCATCCCCAGTTGGGACCTGATCAGGGCACCTAGGAAATATGAACGGTCAGGGCCGATGCGAGTTTCAAAATCACAATTGTTCATGAGCAGAGAAGGGCATAAATCCAGGCAGAAAAGAACGTCAGCCAGTAGCCAACTATCCTTTCAATTCAATTTTTATATTAAAATATTTGGCTTGCAGCAAGAAATGAAATGCTCTTTTCCTGTCTCCTGAATGTGTTGCCGAGGGACAAAGTACAGGTCTCAGATTTCCCCTGGCAGTGTTAATTCCATTTACAGGAGTGTGTTTCATATTAGGGCTAATGCGCGAAGCTTTCAGAGTTATGTGCTTAAAATACACTTGGATTTCTCTGAAGGAAAATAATCTCTCCTGAAATGAAAATAAAGTTTGTTCTTATACAGGCTTTAACAGTGCTAGGGGATACTTTTCCATTCCAGTATAACTCCTTGCTGTGAAATTGTTGAGATCGTACAGAAAGATATTGGATTAAAAACATAAAGAAATGGATAATCTGGAAAGGAACTCAGTCATACCGTTTTCAGCTTGCCACCATTTCTTGTCTCTCCCTGGTTCAAAACTTGTAATGACATTCTCAATGGTGTGGCTCTGGGATTGCGTATATGGGTCATAGGGAAATCTGGAGTCACAGATGAAACATTTTTGTTCCCCCTGGAAAAGACCATCATTTCAGTAAAAAATAAAGACCCATAATTACTTATTGTTGAGATCAATTTGAAAACAAGCTGTACTTACTATATTTGTCTTTCAATCTGGCTAAAAATAAAAAGCAGAGGAAATAACAGGACATCAATTTTTCCATCAATAGGTGCTTAAATACAATAACAGACAAAATAAAAATTAGGACCTAGAAATTTTATGAATTTGTACATTGGGGGCAAAAATGCAAACTTATGCAGAACTAATTTTTGTCTTGCACAAGAGGCAGGTGACCTGGAGGTTATGTTAAACCGTAGAGAAGTAATCAGGATATGTTCTTCGAGTAGGGATTACTTTCTGTAGTCAAAAACAAATATTTGGCAAGAAACTAATGCAACACTCGGCCACCAGGTTATCTGCAACCATCCTTTTTTTTCTCTCTCAGACATAGTTTTTGGTAGAAAAAGTTCCATGACCAAAACCTCTCCATCACCACCATGTGGATGTTGTAAAAGATTCTCATTATACTCGTAACAGAGAGGCCTGCCCTCTTGCCTTCCAGACCGGAAGGTCTTATTAGTGAATTGGAATTACTTTACTTGGAATGGACTTTCCAAGGTTGCAACAGCCAAGAGTGGCCTTTGAGTTTGCCTAATTTAATGCACCCATTTGTGGCCGTACTTACTTAAAGCCCCCAAGGAAATCCCCAAAGACTCCCAAAGGACTTCCAATGGCTTGCACAGTTGTTCCTGGCTACTACTACTTGCGGGACCCCGGAGGAGCATTTTTGCAAAACTTCCAGGAAGTGGGGACTGTTTATTATAATCCTCCATACTGGAAGTTGACTATAACAGATGCGCCGGTAGGTGTTCAGCAAACCGATTTGACGTCTGGATCATTGCTTACAAGGGCTATACAACCTGACCAGGACCATCTCTTTGCCTTTCCTTCCATGAGTCTTCCCTTGATTCACTCAATTCTAGCTACACTCACTCCTTGCTCTTCCCTGAGTTCACCGGGAACTCTATTGCCTTGCCATCTTGACACGAGCTATTCTCTGCTCCCCTCTTCTCCAACCCTCAAATATTCCTATCTCTTGCTCCTTCCCTTCTTCTGGGTCTCTGTTTAAAGGCCATCCTCTCAGAGAGACTTCTACTTAAAATATCACCACCTCCTTATGGCCTCTACCACTCTCTATGCCTTACCCTGCTTTATAATATCTTGTAAGCTGTTATCACCACTTGAGACTATATTATATAGTTGTTGGCTTATTGTCTGTCTGCATCATTAGAATTTAAGTCCAATGAGGGTGGGACTTTGTTGTTTTTTTAAATTTTTTTCTTAACGTTTATTTATTTTTGAGAGACAGAGACCGAGCATGGGCAGGGCAGGGGCAGAGAGAGAGGGAGACACAGAATCTGAAGCAGGCTCCAGGCTCTGAGCTGTCATTACAGAGCCCGATGTGGGGCTCAAACGCACGAGCTATGAGATCATGACTGGAGCTGAAGTCGGCCATCCAACCAATGGAGCCACCCAGGTGCCCCATGCGACTTTGTTTTGTATAAGGCCATATCCTCCTGACCTAGAACAGTGTCTCACACATTGCAGAGGCTGGATAAAATTTGCCAAATGAATGCATGGTGATTTTGAGGACTATTTCAGCTAGAGTCTGTCAAAGTAGACCAGCCTTTCAAGAGATCCATATAATCTTTTTAGAATCACTGGCCACCATAAGTCTTATACCCCCCCCAAAAAAAAAATGCCCTTTCAAAATTAAGGAGCAATGGAAGTGAGATCTGTTCTGCATATGGGGAGGCTTGCCCCAGACTTGCCCCTAAAAGAGCAGCAGAAGCTTTACGATTCCACCAAAAGGTGTCAAGCATTCAAAAGATGTCCAGTATTACTATGGAAATTACTGGGGGAAACGCTTTACTGTCAATATCTTAGAAGCATAGTCTTGGGCGAGCCTGATTAGGGATGTTTGGTTGTGATGACGAGATGTGGAAGTCCCAACTTGGGTAACACTACGGGTCAATGTTGATTTGAAGCTTCTGAGGAGAATGTGTTGCTTGGTAGCAATTTTTTAGATGATCATGGGGAAACAAGTCCTCCTTCATGACACGCAAATGTTTAAGTAGACCGAGCTTTACAGCCCTACCTGTAACACTTTGTCAGCCTGAAGATATCTTGAGATTTTTTTCCCCCAGGTCTATGAGTTTAAGATTTCTGGGATTCTTGAGACAAAAGAAACCTTGAAGTTTGACTTACTTCTATTTTGGGTGGTGAAGACAGGAATATTAACTCCTAATCATTGCCAGAGTAGGTCATAAGTTGGCTGGGACAATAGTACACAAATGTCAGTGGTTTAAGAACTAGAAGGGTAATGCCAGTGTTGGAAAGTATCTAATATTAGAGTTGAGAACCGTTTCTTTGTCCAGAGGACCCGGAATTGGAAAGTCACTTGTAGGGTGCCACATCCCACCTGGCCTAGAGTTGAACAAAACGTCTACAGTGTCATTTCCTCGCACACACAGAGAAGTTGCTTTCTTACACAAGTACTTCCCAAACTTAGAACAGTGCTAAGCCCTCAGGTATTGTCTTCACTTATTTATAATCATCCTCTTTTACTAGAAACCAATTAGAATCCAAAGCATTTCCCAGAGACCTCGAGGAGTTGCTTTAAATGAACAATACGTGGAAAAGCCTGGGCCTCTAACATCGGGCTTCCGTCCAACTTCCCGCCTGCACATCCTCTCATTTAAGGGGTTGACGTGATTGCCTTGGGCTTTTCAGCAGGTATGATACTCAGATGACCTTGGATGCTTGTTTGGGTCCCTGAGCATGGAGAAGAAAAAAACTATAAAGCAGCTGATCCTTTTCTAAAACTGGTCTTTAAGGGAAAGAAAAAAGGCCCCCAAATCTGTTGACACTGGGATCTTACGGCTTTTAGACAAGACAATTTCCAAGTGGCTTTGTGAGGCTGGCATGCAATCAATTCAAAGTTCACACCACCCCCGCCCCCCACCTAACGCAGGACAGTGAGAACCCACATTCAGTATAATGGCCTTGAGACCCTGAGGGATCGTCCCTCTTCACTGCTGGGTCAATTGAATTCGCTCCCTGCGAGTTCCTCCTGTGGCTAAGTAGAATAGTACATCTTAGACTACTTCCCTTCGAAGACGGAACCAAAGAGGCTCTTCCGTCCAATTCTAAAGGTAACAAGAAATAGATGTGGCAGATCTTCCCTATTTTCTGATTAATCAAGGTTTCTTGGACTAGGAATTGAATCATCTGTGCCTCTGATATTCAGGAAAGAGTGATGTGTCCTCCTTTTATGTTGCGTGGCTGGCCCCCGCCATGCTTGGAAAAATTTATGTCATCGACTCAATAATGTCCCAACAAATAAACAAAGGACCAACCCACCTCAAGGTAGCTGAGGATGCAGTATTTCTGGGCTCCATCCAGCCCACAGGTAGAAGAAGCCGTGAGCTGTGCACTGCGACCCACCAGGAGATCACCGGTGGTAGGATGACAGGCGCTCCTGTGGCATTTATCTTGGGCTTTCGTGAAACTGAGCAACCCTTGAACATAATAGACACAGCTACTTAGAAGGCAGTCTAAGGGTAGCAGAAGGCTTAAAGAAGCAACTGGTTAAGTTGGGAAGTTAATAGCCCATTTATTTTTAAAGCCAGTTTTCTTGATCATTAAGACCATCCAGTTGTGGATGCTGTTGGTGCCCTTGGCCTAATGGAAATCTCTCAGCCTGGGAGGTGATACCTTCTGTGTTCATGTCCCCACCTGGGCCAGTCCATAGCCAGTGACTGATGGGGACACAGTTCAAAAGGCTGTGGCACCATTGCCTCAGCCTGGGATCAACTGTGTGGTGCAATTTATGCTCAGAACATTTTGGATGGGGGGGAGATTGAAGCCAGACTCTAGCTGGGACCACATCCTGTCTCCACTTTCCTTACTTTCTTACTGCTCAGAGCCCTCCCTCAATAACACAAATCCACGCATCAGGCTCTGCATCTAGGAAGCCTGATCCAAGATAGCCCCATATACTAGAAATTCTCTATGTGTCATCTTAGGGCAAATAACAAAGACTAATGCACAGACCTGAGGAAAGAAAATCTCAATGTGGCCTCTTCTACCTATTGTTCTAACCAGTACAAACTCAACTGGAGAATTTAAGAAATCCTTGGGAAATAACTTTCTCTTAAAACACATAGATTCAATTGACCTCCTTTAAAACCTGGATTGTTGGGTTCAGATTCACCACGGAACAGATCGTGCCCCCTCGGGAGTCCCAGACCCACACAAATATGCCCAACTCATTCTGAGGTGCAAAGGCAGGTCCATGGAGAAAGGTTAGCCTTTCAAGTAACTGGAAATCCATAGACAAAAAAAATGAACTATAACCAAAACCTCACACCTTATACAAATATTAACACAAAATGGGTCATGGACTTCAATGTAAAATATGAAACTGTAAAGCTATAAAACTCTTATAACACATAGGAGAAAGTCTTTGAGACTTTGGACGGGGTGAAGAATTTCAGGATTGACAACAAGAACATGATCCATAAAAGGGAAAAATTGGTAAATTGGACCTCATCAAAATTAAAACCTTGTGAATTACACTGAATGGAAAAAACCCAATCTTTAAAATTTTTTAAATGTTTTATTTATTTTTGAGAGAGAGAGAGAGAGGGAGAGAGACAAAGACACAGAGAGACAGAGTGCAAGCAGAGGAGGGACAGAGAGAGAGGGAGACACAGAATCTGAAAGCACAGAGCCCGATGCGGGGCTTGAATTCATGGACCACAAGATCATGACTTGAGCTTAAGTCAGATGCTTAGCCAACTGAGCCACCCAGGAGCCCAGAAAAAATCAATCTTAAATGGTTATACACTACATGACCCCGTTTCTTGAATGACAAAATTTTAGAAATGGAGAAGAGATTTGTGGCTGTTAGGGATTAGGAGGTAGGGATGAAGGTGCGGATATAAAAGGGTAGTAGTAGGGCTTCTGGAGGGTAATGGAGCTGTTCAGGATCTTAATTTTGATGATGACCACATGAATAAAATTGTATAGAATTAAATACACACATACACACACACACACACACACACACACACACACACGCATGTAAAACTGGTGTAATCCGAAGAAGGTCAAGGACTATAACAATGTCAGTTTCCTGATTGGGATACTACACTACTGTCATGCAAGATGTTACCATCCAGGGAAACTGGGTGAAAGGTATATGGGAATCTCTCTGTATTATTTCCTACAACTACATGAGAACCTGCGGTAATCTCAAAATAAAAAGTGAACAACCCAAATATTCCTCTGTCCCTTCAAAATTACCCCATCGGCCTCTAGATGGTGAACCAAGTAAATCCCCCACCAACATCTCTCTCTCTCACACACACACACACACACACAGCCCGCTCTACCTGTTCTTATATACTTTACCCTTGAGACATGAAGACTTATGTCAAGCACAGCGGATTCCAGCAGACAGGAGTGAGGGGGATGGGCAGAAGATGGAAAATTACTCCCAACTGTGGAAGAAGCTTGTTTTTCTCCAGCTTTCTCAATTGTAAAACTCTAAGAATTTTTTGTGGTCTTCTTTCACATTTAATGGATCTCTTTCCTTCAGCGTGCCCTCCAAAACCATAAGCCACTGAAAAGTAATGTTTTTTCTCTTATCTGCACAGTCCCCACATGAACTATTCTATTCATCTGGTCATTTTGTGATTATCATCAGGCATTAACAGATCTAGTTCTACAGCTAAGAATATGATACGTAATGTCTCCTTCTACGCAGGTTGCCAAATACCTGTTTGGACAAGGAATTTTCGGTCTTCACTCTCATTGCAAAATTACCATCATTCCAGAACAAAGGGACAGCTCTGCTTTCTCCTTGAAGACAGATATGTGATGAAAGTGAGCTCCATCTACACTTTCATTTCATTGTATAATAAATGGTCCTAGTTGCTTAACATGGATTTTTCCTTTTATTCACCCAACAATCCAAGCCCAGATCTCCTTTTATTTCCTAGACTTGACCTGTAAGATAAATAACTAATCAGAAGTTTGGGCTCCTGTAGGCGGAGGCTTTTTAAAACAAGTCAGGTATAAAAATCTCTGCTAATGCTATGTGTGGATTAGCTAAGACTTCCCTTCCAGGGATTTATTCTTCTAGACAAGTTCCATCCTGAATTCTTTTATTGGAATTGCTGCCTTAGAGATCTAACATGTTTTTATAACCCGACTTGGCCTAACTTGTTTTGATCAGATGTGTACTTTTCAGAAATAAAAGTATCCCAGGACTTAGGGAAATTGAACTATTATTCACGTAATTTTCTAAATGCAAATATGAATTTCCGGGCTCAAATACTTGGCCCAAAGTGGCTGGAAACCTAAGCAGTTAAAGCTTCATGCCTGAACACAGATAGCCTTAGCAGTACCCTTCCTGGGTTGAAGTTTTCAACTGCCAGATTATCACATCAGCAACAAGTTGGAATTGGTTCAGAAAATAAAGATGCTTGTGTCTTTAGAGAATCAATGCATTCTTCAAAGACGACATACAACTTGAAGATATGATCTTAGTAAACACCAACTTAGGAGACCTGGTCATTTAAAGAAAAGGTACAGCAAATGTTCTGTAAAGTGAGGGATCATTTTGTAGAAATAACCATTATTATATAATCTCTAACTTGGCATATCGTTCTCATGTTTTTAAACACAGGAGATGTTTTCATAGACTTTAGAGATCACTTCAGAGTTCTAGAGGCTGTAAACACACATATATACACACATGCACAAACACACATTTATTAAGGGCAAGAAAACTTACAAAGAATGCATGTTAGATAAGGTTTGTACTTCGTGTCCAGTTCCCAAAACCTGGGGCCAATGCACATTTTAGGATTCTTTTCCCTAAACTTCCTTAGTCAGAATGCAAGCAACGTGTTTCAATAGGCTCCAGTTTTCATATAATTGTCTATGGTTGAACTACAAACCAGAAAATGTTCAACCGATGAAACGGGATTAACCATATATGGTCATATATTATGGTAACCATGATGTGGTAGTTTGACCATAGGCGACCCTAGAGATTTGGGCTAGATCAGAGTAAGTTTACATTTAGAAACTCAGGATCTACTGCAGTGAGGACTTTGTTCTGCCCAGGTGAATTTAGTTTTGAAGCTGTTTCATCCTGAGAGAAGGGTCTCCTGAATGAGGAGGGAATCTCTGAGCCACTGTGCAATGGTTTAGAATTTTGGCAAAACGTGAGGAAGTTATCCTAATGGAGATTCAGCGATTCTCAGTAGCTGCTTCTGATTTTGAACACTAGTTTAGTTCCAAAGAGAGCATCCGAGGCAGATATAGATTGCAACAACTCTTCTCTGGCCATCTGAGGCCAGATCTAAGCTTCATTGTCCTGGGGGACGCAGTGTCTCTGCTCCCACTGGCTTGCGGCTCACCTCTCGGTGGCAGAGAATTTTCAGCAGAGAACAAATGAGCATTTTCTATTTCGAGGTATTCTTCTTTCGTCCATCACCAGCAAATCTAACGGGGAGATTGCCTCAGGGCTTGGGAATTGCAAAATTAGAAAATGAGATTCTTAAAGTTTGCTGCCATGAAGAAACTCAGCATGAATCTTTGAAGAGAAGATTCTAAGCAATTTAGTTAGTACTTAGGAACCAGAAGCAGGGCGGTTATTGAAAAGTCAGGATCAAAGAGAGTAATTGTTGGAAACATCCTCTCCATGACTAATGTAAATTATTCTCAGCTTATTAAAGACAGCAGACGCATGGAGGTTTAGCAAAGAGCCACTGCTTAGTCAGAGGGAATTTTGCCTGTAAATTCTTCACAAGCAATTGTGTCTTGTTACTGGGACAAGTGCTACATTCAAAACAGATTTATGCTTAAAAATTAAAATGCATTGGGGCACCTGGGTGGCTCAGTCGGTTGAGCATCAACTTCGACTCAGCTCATGATCTCGTGGTTTATGGGTTCGAGCCCCGTGTCAGGCTCTGTGCTGACAGCTCAGAGCCTGGATCCTGCTTTGGATTCTGTGTCTCCCTCTCCCTCTGCCCCTCCCCAACTCACACTCTCAGTGTCTCTCTCCCTCTTAAAAATAAACATTAAAAAAATTTAAAAAGAAATTAAAATGCATTATGTTTTTAAATTAAGAATCTGAAACCATGTCTACTTTCTTTAGTAAATTTACTTAATTATCTGCTGATAATACTATATTCCACGAAAAAGGATCGAAACAGCTATGTGTGGATAGTAAACATGTGGGAGTGGGGCGCCTGGGTGGCGCAGTTGGTTAAGCGTCCGACTTCAGCCAGGTCACGATCTCGCGGTCCGTGAGTTCGAGCCCCGCGTCGGGCTCTGGGCTGATGGCTCAGAGCCTGGAGCCTGTTTCCGATTCTGTGTCTCCCTCTCTCTCTGCCCCTCCCCCGTTCATGCTCTGTCTCTCTCTGTCCCAAAAATAAATAAACGTTGAAAAAAAAATTTTTTTTTAAAAACATGTGGGAGTTGACATGTCTAGTTGCTTGACACAATGATACAGCACAAAAACCATGAAAATATATAGTAGTACAGAAAAAAAGAGGTGGATAGGTTTTAAAATATTTTTACTGAATATTTTAGAGCAATTCAATACAAGCAGAAAATGGATTTTGACGACTAATACTCACCCAGGTGTAAAAGAAAGGTCAGTGGAAATTGCATCCTTCTGTCAGGAAATGATTAAATTCAATTTTTCTAGGTTAAAAAAAAAAAAGGAGGTGAAAGTCAGCCACTGATAGAATCAATAATTGCCATCGATTTTCAAGGATTTGAAAATTTGTCTGATGATTCTTGAGTAAGAAGACACAAAGTATCTACAGTGCCCAATTCCTTCCAAATAAGAGTGTATATAAAATTTTTACCAATATTTGCCATTTTTTGAAATCAGAGAATGCAATAGTTTGCATGAAATAATGTGAAACAAATATAATTTCCTGTGCATATTTTAACTTCATGTATTCATTTATTTATTTTTAAGTAGGTTCCACCCCCAGCATGGAGCCCAATGTGGGGCCCGAACGCACGAGATCAAGACCTGAGCTGAGATCAAGTGCCAGATGCTTAACCAACTGAGCCACCTAGGTGCCTTCTGCAAATTTTTATTTTAATCGATTTTTGTCCTCTTATTATTTAGAAAAAATGTTTCATTATGCAATTAGTCTGTAGTCATTATTGAAGAAATAGAAAAATCAGACAGGCAAAGTGAAGGAATTATTATTTGTAGGACTACCACTGAGGGAAAAGTGGTTAGTATTATGGTATACATTCTTCCATACTGTTCCCCCTGCATAAAAGTATTTCTCAGAAATGATATCCTACTGTATGCTTGTTTTAATCAATGCATCCCAGACATCTCTCTGTACCAACAAATACAATTTTACATCAGTAATATTCAACCTAGTGAGGGACATCAGGATCACCTGGGGGCTTCCACAGACCAAATTTGTGTCCCCCTTTGGAGATTCCTTCTAGATAGAGGGCCCCCCAAGTCATTGTGTGGGGAACCCTAATATCGACAGGAGTATATATGCCCCTTAGGGGTTGGGTGGAAAGCAGGTAAAATACTCTTTTGCACCAGTATCTTAAATTATCTGCATCTGAATGCAGGGACTAGAATTTATTTAATAAATACCCTATTGGTTGATGTGTACTTTGTTTTTAATATATTCCTCTAGTACATAATTTTGCTAACTCTTTCTTCACATCCTTAATTATTCCCCAGGGTAAATTAAATGGGGTGGAAATAATGGCTCAAAGAGCATGTGTGTGTTTGGGTGTCTGAGTGTATACAAACATATGTGTGCATATAAAGAGTACATATATATGCATATATGCATACCGTGTGTGTGTGTGTGTGTGTGTGTGTAAAGCTGTTGATGTTACTGCCATGTGCAAATTTCATCCCAATGTACACACTTACCAGCAGCCTATGAGAACAGCTGCTGACTTGAGCCCTTTCCAACACTGAGTATTAGGAATTTTTAAAGCTTTGTCAATTTAAAGAACAAAAAATTATATCTCATCATCATTATTATTTATTTAAATTCATGTGAGTTATCATATAGTGTAGTATTGATTTCACGAATAGAACCCAGTGGTTCATCACTTACATATAAACACCCAGTGTTCATCCTGACAAGTGCCCTCCTTAATGCCCATCACCCACTTAGCCCATCCCTGCACCCACCTCCCCTCCAGCAACCTCAGTTGGTATTTAAGAGTCTCTTATGATTTGCCTCCTTGTTTTTAATCTTATTTTTCCTTCCCTTCCCCTATGTTCGTCTGTTTTGTTTCTTAAATTCCACATGAGTGAAATCGTACTTGTCTTACTCTCACTGACTTATATTGCTTAGCATAATACACTCTAGTTCCATCCCCGTTGTTGCAAATGACAAGATTCCATTCTTTTTGATGGCCAAGTAATGTCTGTTGTGTGTGTGTATGTATGTGTACATACACACATACACATACACCCCCCACATCTTATCCATTCATCAGTCCTCCTCATTATTATTTTAATGCTTTTATTTGGATAGTAGTGAGTACAAAAATGCTTTTCCATGTATTTACAGGTGAGAATTATTTTTGCCATTCAATCCTTCGAGGCTTTTCCTAGCGAATCCTGTGTTTTCCTCCCTCCTCCACGTTCCAAGTCCCTATAATCTGACGTGCCTGGCCCTCTACTGGCACATCACCTCTCTCTGAACCCTCTTCTCCTACTGTTTCCTCTGCCTTGAATGCCACTCTCCTAAACTCAAACACCATCCTCCTCATGAAGTCTTTTTTTTTTTTTAATGCCTGATCTTAGGTGAATTTCGTTCTGCGATCCAAGTTCTTAGCGCACGCAGCCTGGGCTATAATGGGACGCCCAACATCACAACAAAATGACTCACTGAGAAGCAGTGGGCCCCCTGCAGCATCTCGAACTGAAAATGAGCTCTCTTTCTCTCTCTTATAAAAGTCTGCAGTTTTGGGCTGATGACTGTATACAGAACCTTGTTAAGACCCACAGGAGAATCCAGAATGGAACCTTCAGAAAGTCCATTCTGTACGGGTCACCTGAGCACTTTTTCTAGGGGGCGCTTTCTTGTCGCCTTTTCCACAGTCAGAGCATGTGGCTTTGGTCATTCACTCGGCTACACTTTGGACGACATGAACCACCTGTCCCAGCCTGATGTTGCCCAGAAAGACTAACAGCTTAGTTATTCTTTTAATAAGAATGGGCAATATAAGCAAAGTTTGAAAATATTTTCTATAACCCAAGAGACCGAATTCAGTGAGATTCTGATGTATGTGAATGACCTACAATTCAGGGCTTGCGATGATGTGGCCTCTGGGTTGAAGGCAATCGAAGAAGTTACACTGGCAAGGTCATGGGCATCCCTGTTTCTCTCCAGCAGGGACCATTCCCAGGGCATATTCCAAACTGAAAGACTGTTTCCAACTACAGACCATGGGCAAAAATCTCCTTCCTTTGGGGAAGGTGGCAGGGATGTAGACTGCACAATTATAAGGACCCAGGTGTAGAGAGAAAGAGGCAGAACTACCATGCTGATCACAGAACAAAAGACTGCATGAAAGGAGTGCCTTTTTCAGGGCATTTGGGGGGACAAACTTTCTTAGTATCACAGTTCATCACATTTCTGTGATGAAAATAGACTTCTGGGAATTTTCTCAGTTCTAGAATTATCTTCAAGCTACAGCAAAGATCATGATACAAGACAGGGAGTTTCCCAGCATGCATCAGCCGAGTTCAAGAGTCACTTGCCCTGAAAAAAAGGAAGTGGGGGGGAGGGGGTACGCCTGGGTGGCTCAGTCGGTTAAGCATCCAACTCTTGAACCTGGCTCATGATCTCGGCTCATGATCTAGGGGTTCATGAGATCGAGCCCTGCGTCGGGATCTGTGCTGACAACATGGAGCCTGCTTGGTATCCTCTCTCTCCCCCTCTCTCCCTGTCCCCCACTCACACGCTCACCCTCCCTCCCTCTCTCTCTCTCTCTCTGTCTAAATATAAAAAAAAAAAAAAAGAGGAGAGCACTAGAAGAGGAACCCAAACTAGACTAGAATAGATACTTCTCTTAGTAATAATAGATACTCTTACTAATACTAGCTCAAGGAGTATCACCAGTTTCTCAGTGAAGGCATGAATGACACAATCATTGAGCTTCTTGATAATTCCCCTGTGGGCTGAGCACCGTCACAGCCCTGGTGGCACCTTAGAAGCACCTGGGAAGATTTTTTTTTTTTCAGGACTCCTCTTTAAAAATATTTGCTTATAGGGGCGCCTGAGTGGCTCAGTTAGGCATCCGACTTCAGCTCAGGTCATGATCTCACGGTTCATGAGTTCGAGCTCCGCGGCGGGCTCTGTGCTGACAGCTCAGAGCCTGGAACCCGTTTTGGATTCTGTGTCTCCCTCTGTCTGCCCCTCCGCTGCTTGCACTCTGTCTCTCTCATTGTCTCAAAAATAAATATTTAAAAAATTTTTTAGGGGCGCCTGGGTGGCTTGGTCGGTTGAGCGTCCGACTTCGCTCAGGTCATGATCTCACGGTCCATGAGTTCGAGCCCCGCGTCGGGCTCTGTGCTGACAGCTCAGAGCCTGGAGCCTGTTTCCGATTCTGTGTCTCCCTCTCTCTCTGCCCCTCTCTGTTCATGCTCTGTCTCTGTATCAAAAATAAACAAATATTAAAAATTTTTTTTAAATATTTGCTTATTTTATGATATAATCCATGTAAAACAAAATTCACCGTGTTAATCGTTGTAAAGTACATAGGAAATACATTCTCACTGTTGCCCAACCAGGCTCCAGAATTCTCTTCATCTTGCAAAACTGAAACTCTCTATCCGTTAAACTCTTTGTCAATCTCCGGTCCCCCCAGCCCCCGGCAACCACCCATCTACGTTCTGCCTCTCTCTGAACTGGACTACCCCAGGCACCTCATATAAGTAGATTATACAGTACTTGTCATTTTGTGACTGGCTTGCTTCACTTAGTATAATGTTTTCAAGTTCATTGTGCTGCAGCATGCCAGTATTACCTTTAAAAAAATTTTTTTTAATGTTTATTTTTGAGAGAGAGAGAGAGAGAGACAGAATGTGAGAGGGGAGGGGCAGAGAGAGAGGGAGACACAGAATCGGAAGCAGGCTCCGGGCTCCGAGCGGTCAGCGCAGAGCCCGATGTGGGGCTCAAACCCACGAACTGCGAGATCATGATCTGAGCCGAAGTCGGATGCCCCACCGACTGAGCCACCCAGGCGCCCCCCTTTCTTTTTAAGGCCAAATATTTCATTGCATATACCTGGGGAGATTTTTTTTTTATTTTTTTTAACGTTTTATTTTATTTTTTTGGGACAGAGAGAGACAGAGCATGAACAGGGGAGGGGCAGAGAGAGAGGGAGACACAGAATCGGAAACAGGCTCCAGGCTCCGAGCCATCAGCCCAGAGCCCGACGCGGGGCTCGAACTCCCGGACCGCGAGATCATGACCTGGCTGAAGTCAGACGCTTAACCGACTGCGCCACCCAGGCGCCCCAACCTGGGGAGATTTTTAAACTGCCAACGTTCAGGTCCAATTCAGACCAATTCAATCAGAATGGCTGGAATTAGAATGGCTGGGGTGGCACTCAGGTGCCAGTGTTTATGATGCTGCCCAGGGGATTTTTAACTTTTATTTATTTATTTATTTTGATCGGGGGAGGGGGGTTGGTCAGAGACAGGGAGAGAGAGAATCCCAAGCAGGCTCTGCACTGTTAGCATGGAGCCTGACACGGGGCTTGAACTCATGACCTGTGAGGTCACGACCTGAAACCAAGAGTCAGGCTTAACTGCCTGAGCCATCCAGGTGCCCAACCCCCAGAGGATTCTAATATGTAGCCAGGGTTGAGAGCCACTGATGGCTGGTGAACACCTAAAACTCACTAACTTGCCCACATACCTGCCCTCCTGCTGGATTCTGTCCTAAAGGAAGGGCATGCTCAATGGTTCCCAAACTTTGCTGCCCATTAGAATCACCTGACGAGCTTTAAAACTCCAGCTTTAAAACATTTCCACCAATCAAATCAGAATATCTGGGGGTGGGGTCCCAGCAACAATTTTTTTTTTTTTTTTTTTTAAAGATTCTAGGTGATTCCAACGTGCAGCAAAGTTTGGGAGTCCCTGGCGTTACCATGGCCCAACTTGCTTAGCCAGAAACGTGAGGGTCATCCTCAATTCCTCCCGGTCACATTTTCAAATATACATCCGATCCCGTCTCCTTAAATGGTAGTTCTCAAAGTGTGGTCTGTGGACTTAAGGTGACCAGTTCGTCCCAGTTTGCCTGGGACATTTCCGGTTTTAGCACTGAAACTTCTGAGGTCCTTGGAATGCCCTTTAGTTCTGGGCACATTCAAATGTTGGTCACCCTGCTGGCTCAGCAGCATCGGTGTCACCTGGGAAATACTCAGAAATGCAAATGATCAGGATCCTGCACAGGACCCATGGATGCAGAAAGTCTAGGGATGGGGCCCAGCACTCTGCTCTAAGGAGCCCTCCAGAGGAGTCTGGTGTATGTCCCAGTTTGAGAACCACCAACCTCAGGAACTCCGGGGCGACATTCTGAAGGACAGAGATGGTGCTGTTCCTGGGGACGGCTGTCACACTTCACAAGAACCTACCCTGTGGCACGTGCATTCTTAGCTGTCTGTGTGGTCTGGGTGGCCCACTACTTAAGGCACTGCAGGCCCAGGCTGTGATACTGGGGGCACAGAGCAGGTGGGTGGGGGCACCCTTCACTGAGCTGTGTGCCAGCTAGACCGGGCCTGTCTCTACATGCTCTTATCTTTTTTTTTTTAAACATTTATTTATTTTTGGGACAGAGAGAGACAGAGCATGAACGGGGGAGGCTCAGAGAGAGGGAGACACAGAATCGGAAACAGGCTCCAGGCTCTGAGCTGTCAGCACAGAGCCTGACGCGGGGCTCGAACTCAGGGACCTCGAGATCATGACCTGAGCCGAAGTTGGACGCTCAACCGACTGAGCCACCCAGGCGCCCCTGAATGCTCTTCTTAGAGCTTGGTCAGTGAAGGCCTTTTTCTGGAAAGATTTTTCCATTAGAATAGAAGCTTCTTATATTGTTAATGAGCTTCCAGACAGGAAACAAACAAACAAAAAAAAGTTTTCTTTCTTTCCTATAGGAGGTCTCTCCTATGAAAGTCCTCATCTGTCTGAGTGTGTGTGTAGGTCAGGGGGTGGGGGTGGATTCTAACCTCCACGGCTGTTGTGATCTCTTGTAAGGCATAAAGTATATTTACTCTCTATTTTGGGGGGACACCTTTACTAAGATGACTCACATATCATAAAATTCACCCTTCCAGCGGCTTCTAGTTTTTCACAGAGTTGTGTAACCATCACCACTAGCTAACTTTAGGACATCTTCCCTATCCCAGGAAGAAACCCACACTCTTTGGTAGATATCCCCACCCCTGTCCACCTCTCCCCGAAGCCCCAGGGAACTATTAATCTACTTTCTTTCGGTGGATTTGCCCATTCTAGATACTTTATGTAAATGAAATCATGCAATATGCGGTCTTTTGTGACTGGCTTCTCTCATTTAGAATAATATTTTCTTTCTTTTTTTTTAAGTGTACATGAATTTTTATTGTTGCAATATTTCTAACATTAAAAAATTGGATAAACCTATGTAACCCCAAAAGAACACTAGTTAAATAATTTATGATACATTACTACAATAGAATACTATGCAGACTTTTTTTCCCGTATGTATTTTAAAAATCTAGCACAATATTTTCAAGGTATATCCTTTATTGTAGCTGGGATCAGTACTGCAATTCCTTTTTTATTCCTGAATAATATTCCAGTATATGGAGATGCCATTTTGTTTATCTGCTCATCAATTCATGGACATTTTTTCCTACTTTTTGGCTATTATGAATATCGTTGCCATGAAAGCTTATCTACAAGTTTTTGTATGGATGTATGTATTTTCATTTCTCTTGGGTAAATGCGTAACCATAGAAAAACATACTGTTTTCTTTCTTTTTCTTTCTTTTCTTTTCTTTTCTTTTCTTTATTTTGTAGGCTTCATGCCCAGTGCAGACTCCAATGTGGGACTTGAACTCACAACCCTGAGATTAAGAGTCAGACTCTTAACTGACTGAGCTACCTGGGCACCCCAAGTATTCTGTTTTCTTAAACAAATTTTATGACCTTGTCTAAACCTTCCTAGTAGATTGTAAACACTTGAAGACAAACTTTGATCTTCTTGTCCCCAGAAGTACATAGAAAAATATCAAAAGCATTTGTTGAATTGAATTCATTGCAGCTTGCACTGGTGTTAAAATACATCCCTGTCTGACCTTGACTTTAAATGCATGTGTAGCATATTGTAGCTTGATTTTTATTGCTGGATCTTCCACCACCTTCACCTCATCTGTCCTGACCTGAAGGCCTTGACTGTGCCCTGGAGGGGCCCGTCCCTGCTGGGGCTGCTTTGGCCTTGGTTTCGTAATCCTCATGTCAATTCCCAATCCTGGGTGTTCGCCGGGGCTCATCTTTCTCCTGCTTCTTTCCCCACAGCCTTATTCTGTGGCTTCTAGTTCCTGACTTTTTCCCCATTTCCACATTTCTTTGCTTTCCAGAGCCCCAGCGTGAATCTAGGGGTGTCTTTAAACCTGAAGAGTTAAATATTGTGATAGGAGGCACCTGGGAGACAAATAGGGCTATAGGTGTAATCACTCCTCTGCACTCCTAAGTTTGTTTTCATGTTACAACTGGAAGAAACTCTAAGGGAGCTCATCCATTCTCGGTCCTTGTCTCCATTTAGAACTGATCTAGAACGATCCTTAGGGAAACAATCCTGAATCATATCCTGTGAAGGTTTTACAGCTTTCAGGTCAGAAGAGCTGGCCTGGGGCCGAAGCATTCACACATGGGATTCTACAGGGCACAGAGGCATGATGGGTAGAAAATGAGCTGGAGTCCCCAGCTTTCTTTCCTCCACCCAAGTGGTGGCAACACTGGGGTTTCAAATCCTTTGATCCAGCTATCTCTGAAATCCGTGAGGCACGGGCAATGAAGAGGTGAATTAGTTCTGGTTAATTTAGGCTACTAAAATTATTCGCCCTGAAGTGTCCAATAAAATGTGGTAAAGGGTGACTGAAATCATCCTTCATTTTCTTACTTCCCTATGTCACTTTGCAAGTGGGTTCTTGGCATCCTGTTACCAGTTAATTCCTTCTATCTCCCCTCACTCAATTCTACCTCCTGAAATAGAATCCCCTTCCTTCTCAGTGAAGGTGGATTATGGCTGATCCCTGTAATTATACTGGAAATGCCCGTATCAGCTTTCCTACTTGTCATCCATGCAATGGTTCTCAACGTGTTCCTTTGCTCCACAGAGAACACTAAGTCTGGGGACAGTTGTGGCTGTCACATAGAGGAGGTGGGTCTACTGACATCTAGTGGGCAGACCAGGGATGCTCTAAAGAGTTTCCTACAATGCACAGAGCAGCCCCATCCCCTTAAGGAAGAATTACCAACAGTGCCCTTAGCCGGGGCCTTGTCACCCCGCATTCCATTTCCATAAGTTGCACGGCTCTGGTCTTGCTCCCAGTTTTCTGCTTCCCATTTTAGATGATCTAAGTCCCAAACTTGAGGGGTATTGGAGCATACAGTCTGGCGACATTTACAAATTCTGCTTTCTGAAATCGCCCAGTCACTGTAAAACCCACGTCTACACATACAACACATGTTTATGTTCAGCGGTCATCTTCCCTACACCCTCCTTCACCAGGCTTGCCATCTAATTAGTGCTGCTTTTCTGGCCGGTGTGCCAGGACTGAATGTTGCAAAGCTTCACAGGGGCTACCTGGAAACATTTTCTTGCTAAACCCATTGGTGAGCTTACGTGGCATTTGTAAAAGGAACTGGATGAATAAGCAGAGTATCACCCCTCATTTGGACAAGGAGCATGAAAATATACTTACAAAGGCAGTGATTGCATTTTGGTAATTGTTTCGTAGATGTTGCTACAGGATAGTGGCCTTAAACCTTACCCAGTATCGCAATCAACAGTCAAGGATGTGAAACTGACAGTAAGTAATTTCCGAGCACTGCTGATCGATTTTAATTTACTGACCACGAACATTACCTCATCTGTCCTCACCTGCAGGCTGTGCTCAAGCCGACACCTTGTCAAAGAGTTTCTGCTTTTGTCGTCAAAATGTGGAGGAGACAGATGAAGACAGGAGAGAGATTTACTGTCAAGCTTCCCCACACGGTGCTCGACCCACTCGTGCAGTCAGTGTCTGGTAAACAGCCTGCCTGTAGCCTTCCTTCTGCAAATTGTACAGTAATCTCCAACACTGGGGGACATTATAATCTATATATTGATATCAGTCCTTAATTATTTTTCTGGCACACTTCGAATGGGTTATTTTACACATTTACACATGACCGTTCTCATGGAAATCTTACACGTAACTTTCCCTCATCCATCGAGTTTGTGCTTTCTTTTCCCCCACATTACATCAGGAATCATTAGAGATTTCAACTGTGTTGCCTAAATTGCATCGCAGTGAGGAACTCAGAACGCGAAGCGAGAAAGCTCTTCCTTTCCGTGCCAGCAGACCCCAGGTTTTCCCTTAAAGCTTATGATTTATACACACCTAAGGTATTAACAGTATATTTTGAAGATATGGGTGGCTCCATAGAATTGGAACTTGCCCCCCATTGTCACAAGTTACAGCACCGTGATAAAACAGGTATTCGCCTGATACACAATTTAAATTGTGCTGCTGAACATTACATCCATGGAAGCTTCCTCCAAGGAGCAGAAAAGCTCAAGTCACCGACTGCACTGTGCACGAAGCACCACTTTTTCCCATTGGTATTGTACTGTGTATACATGTCTTCTGTATAAACGTTACCTGATTATTTATCGTTCATGTGAAAGTAATGATAATCACTCTCTGATATATGCTCTATGCTGGCTCCCCACGTACCCAACAAATTCTGAATTTGCTGATTCCTTCACTTAATCCAAAAAACCCAAAAAACACCAAGTTGTCAGTGAGACAGAAGGCGAGACTTACCGGGATTTGTGAGGCTGTGGTGAGAGGCCCAGGCAACAAACGGGGCGTGTAAAGGCACACCTGAAAGTGAGAGTCAATTTAAGCAGAAAACGTCTCCCCTGAGGCACCTGTGGGGAGGGAGGAAAAGATGAGAGGTATTCTAGAACCTGCCATAAAAGGGGAGTCAAGAAGTTACTTGCCTTAGGTTTTGACTTACACGTGCGCGCGCGCACACACACACACACACACACACACACACACACACACACACACACCCCTTGTGTACAGAGGGAACGAGCTTGCTTTTATAGCAAATGTCTTTCATTGATGTGCCAGAATTTTGAAAACAGTGACCCGGGAGTTATGTGGATCAGGGTTAGCAGCAATAAACTGCAACATTTCTACCAAATTTGTAACTAAGTTCCAGGCTCCTCTCAGCGCCTCCCACAGTGTGAAATTAAGGAGAAACACTCAGACAATCAAAGGCAGGTGCCCCCACTCTCTCCAGCAATGGCTTGCCTGTGAGAGCAGCTCTAAATTCCTTTAGATGAAAGCTGTGGGCATATTCAAGCCCGTTCGTTTCACTTACTACTTGCAATCATAATGCTTTACAAAGCGGATCTCAACCTGGAAGAGAGTGGCTGATAAATGCAGACGTTTTTATTATTCACTAACTTGTATAGTCTGTTGCCTGCACATCCAACTTTGCCTTCAGACCCCAGGACTCTGGTGGTCTGGAGAGGAGAATCCATGTCTGATAAAACTTACAGAGAAAGAGCGAGCAACAGTCCGTGGAATATTTTGTCTCCCTCAATATAAGTAGTAAGCTTATTCCTCCAGAAATGCAACCTGTGGACAAAACTGACTAGCGTGTTTCACTGATTTATATTATTGACATTCGTCAAAGAGAAACCATGGCTCTTAAAACCATGGATTTAAAAACCCAGGAGGATAGATCATGGCTGGGCCAGTAATTGCTGCCCAAGACACAATGTGTGTTCTCTGTCAGGGTGGAAAAGGTCAGTCTTTCACGATGCACTCAGCCTTGGAAATCTCTCCGCTGTTACCTTTCCCCAGATACTTTGGTAGCGCATGCTCTAATCTGGAAGTTCTGGAAATGCTACCAAGTACCTCCCAGGTTGGGAGAGATGGGCTTTTATTAATCCGGTATTTAATTGGATGTGAATATATAACTTATTAAGCACACAATGTTTACATCTTCATATACCAAAGAGATAAACAGAAAAAAATTCCTCTCTTCTATCTTCCCCTTAAATGTAGGGGTTTCCTCTGAGCTCTATCACCTGCACAATCTCTGTGTATACTCCTCGGGCAAACTCATTCCGATAGCTTAATGGCTTAAAACCACTTCGCTCTGTATCTCCAACCCCACATTTTTCCTGACCGTTGGCTCCATGCTTCCAACCACCTGCTGACCGCTCTCCCTGGGTGACTCACCAGGACCTCAAACATGATGCTCACCGTTCACGGTTGACGTCTCCTGTTATTCAAACCTTTCTATCTTCCTCATTTTCGTAACTTCTCCGTTAACGGCATCTTTCTCGGGTCTCTTTTTTCAAGCCAAGCCTCAGCTGTGCTTAATCTCTCCCTCTCCCATTGCCCTGAGACAGAAAATCAGAATCTCTGAGCCTGGCCTCCCTACACTTACTTGATGGGGTCCAGTGACAAAGAGGGAAGTCTGCCGCTGCTTCCCCCGGAAGTTCCCGTGGTTCTCCCCTCAGCATAGACGTGGCTGGTGGTCAGGGCAGTATTATCAACTTCCCTCAGGCCTCGGTTTTGCTGGGCTGGGACACCGTCATGTCCTTTCAGAGGGCACATGCGGGGCTCAGACTGGATCTCAGAGCATCATCAATGGGAAGACTTAAAAGCTCAGTCCTCCCAGGGCTTCCTTCCTGTTCTGGTCTATTCGGAACAGCCCCTGTTTCCCACCATTCAGTCCCCCCTGGATTGTCATTCAGCAGGTCATATGTTCCACTGGTTTTACTAAGATCTTCTCAAGTACGGTGCAGGGGGATGGGGGTGCTGGGGGGAAGAAGGCTAAATACTACTGACTGAACTATTTCATTTTTGCTTAGGAAGACCATATTTAACTTAATATTTCGTGGCCAGGTCTGGATGACAAAAACAAAGTTATGTCTACCTCAGTGACTCAACATAAAACACACTGTAAACCATTACATTTTCGGTTTGACTCTTAACTTCGCTCTTCCCGGGATGAGACTCTGCAAATCATTTTGTGAAGGAACTCCCCCAGTTTCCAAATGCCGATAAGTCAGCTGTTTTACTCTGCTTATTTTTTCTTCTATAGCCTTCCATCAGAGGCTTCGTTGGGGCTGTCATCATTTCTGACAGTCTCTGTGGCCTAAGTTTTATCCTTGCTTCTTCCTCCCTGTCACCAGAGAACACAGATTTATACTTGTCGCTTCTTTGCTTACAAACGTACGCTGGCTCCCTTTCACTTAACAGGATCCGAGCTTCTTAGCGTGGCGGAACAAAATGGATTTACAGCCTGGCCCCAACGCCGCTTTCCACACCGCCTGCGCCAGAGCTAGGCTGTACATGGTTTTTTTTTTTTTTAATTTTAAAAAATGTTTATTTATCTTTGAGAGAGAGACAGAGCATGAGTGGGGGAGGGGCAGAGAGAGAGGCAGACCCAGAATCCGAAGCAGGCTCCAGGCTCTGAGCCATCAGCACAGAACCCGATGCGGGGCTCAAACCCACAAACCCTGAGATCAGGAGCTGAGCCGAAGTTGGACGCTCAATCAACTGAGCCACACAGGCGCCCCGGTATTTGTTTCTTTATACGATATTGACTAGTGAAGGAATAGATTGAACATTCTTCAAACATTAATTTTATAGACCTTTAAGCACTTTTAGAAGCGTTTTACCAAAGTTTCTTATCTGTTGTTTAATCCTGTGTATTTATTGCTGTATTTTAAATTGTTGTTAGGGTCGCTTCAGTTGGTTGAACGTCCAACTCTTGATTTCAGCTCAGGTCATGATCTCACGGGTTCGTGGGTTCAAGCCCTATACTCTGCACAAAGAGTATGAAACCTGCTTGGGATTCTGTCTCTCTCCCTCTCTCTCTGCTCTTCCCCTGCTCTCTCTCAAAATAAATAGATAAACTTAAAAGAAATAAATAAATTGATTCCATTTGCTTTTAATATGTTCCCTAGAGGCCAGATTATTTGTTCACTTCTGACGTCCTGGAAAGCAAATCCTAGAAGACTAGAATCACATTTTTTCCATTTCAGGACTAAGCACAGAGGAAGCTTTTGTAGTCAGGATCTGCTGAATTGACTTGGCTCATGTCTTGCTATAAACCATCAACTGCCACAAAGCAGCAGGTGGTAGGAGACCCAGGAGTGACATTGGTTTTAGGCAGAAACTTCAGTAGGGGGGTTGAGTGAAATGGAGGGACTTCTCAGTTTGTGCTTTTGACTGGTTTTATTAATCTAATACTATTTCCCTCTGTAGTCCTTTATCTTACTGTGCAAAACATAAAGCCCTAGACCTAAACATCTATGCATATTTGAAGCTTACTGTAAACATTCGGATTCCATAAAAATGTCTTTTTTTTTCTTTTTGAAATATGTAAATTTAAAAGGCTTGCTGCATTTTGGGGCGATTTTATTATATCTCAAGGGTTTTCCCCGGATACTATGTATCTCCGGTTTTACAATGAAATTAAAATGACAATATCATTCAGATTTCAGAAACTTGCTTTCAAATAACAGGGGACCATGGATCACTTTCCTGAAAAATTGATGCCATGTTCTTAGGATATCTGCCTTCATCCCAGAATGGCTGAATTTTATACCTCTTAGGATTATACTGAGTTGTATACTCTAGGGTTAGAGCATTGTCAGCCAGGAGGGACTGTCAAGAATGCTAATTTGCCCACTGAACCAAAAAGGTCAGTCTTTTAATTCATCAGAAGCAGACTCAGATTTTCTTTAACAAAGATCTTGGCTTTGGATGTTCTCTTTTCCAAAAAAGAAAACAGCTTTGCTGCTTCTCCTAAAAAAAAAAAAATGGTATATGCTCATTTACCCCATATCAGACAATATAAAGAATTATGAAAAAGAAAACAAAAAATCCCCTGAAAGCCTAGATTTTTTTCAAGTCATCACATTATTCACACTATTTTTTTAATTAACTTTTTGGAAGTGTGATTAACATACTGTGTTATATTAGCTTCCCTTGTACAACATGGTCATTCAATAGTTCTGTACATTCGGTGCTCGTCCTAAGTGTGCTCTTAATCCCCTTACCCTACTTCCCCCTTCTCTGACCTACCACCCCCACCAGTTTGTTCTCTAAATTTAAGAGTGTGCTTTAAAAAAAAAAAGTGGGTTTGTCTCTTTATTTGTTTCGTTTCTTAAGTTCCACATATGAGTGAAATCATATGGTGTTTCTCTCTCTCTGACTTACTTCACTTAGCATTATACCCTTTAGTTTTGTCCATGTTGTTGGAAATGGCAATATTTCACTCTTTTTAATGACAGAGTGATATTCCAATATGTCTTCTTAGTCTATTCATCTATCAATAGACACTTGAGTTGCTTCCTTAATTTGGCTACTATAAATAAAGCTGCTATAAACATAGGGGCACATGTATCTTTTCAAGTTACTATTTTGTTAATACCCAGTGATGGAATTGCTGGATTATAGGGTAGTTCTATTTTTAACTAGTTGAGGAACTTCCATACTGTTTTCCATAGAGGCCATCCCAGTTTGCATTCCCGCCAATATTGCGAGAGAGAATTTCTTTTTCTCCACATCCTTGCCAACATTTGTTGTTTCTCGTGTTTTTGATTTTCGCCATTTTGACATGTGTGAGGTGATATCTTATTGTGGTTTTCATTTGCCCTGCCCTGATGATGGGTGAGTGATGTTGAGTATCTTTTCATGTGTCTACTGGCCATTGGTATCTCTTCTTTGGAAAAATGTCTATTCAGTCCTTGTGCCCATTTTCAATTAGATTATTGGTTTTTTGGTGTTGTTTGATACTTGCCCCTTATTGAATGTTTCATTTGCAAATATCTTCTCTCCTTCAGTAGGCTGCCATCTTGTTTTGTGGATGGTTTCCTTCACTGTGCAAAAGCTTCTTATTTTGGTGTAGTCCCAATAGTCTATTTTTGCTTTGGTTTCATTTGGCTGAGGAGGAGATAGATCTAGAAAACTGTTTCTACAGCTGATGTCAAAGAACTATGTTTTCTTTTAGGACTTTTATGGTTTCAAGTCTCACATATTAGTTCTTGAATCCACTTTGAGTCTATTTTTGTGTACAGTGTAAGGAAGTGGCCTGTTTCTTTTCCCAGCACCATTTGCTGAAGAGACTCTTTTCCCCCATTGCATAGTCTTGCCTGCCTTGTCCCAGATTAATTGACCATATAAGCATGGGTTTATTTCTGGGCTCTCTATTCTAGTCCATTGGTCGATGTGTCTAGTTTTGTGTCAGTACATACTGTTTGTGATGACTACAGCTTTGCAGTAAATCTTGAAATCTGGGACTGTGATACCACCAGCTTTGTTCTCATCTCTCAAGATTGCTTTGCCTATTCGGGGTCTTTTGTGGTTCCATACAAATTTTGGTATTATTTGTTCTAGTTTTGTGAAAAACGTTGGAATTTCGATGGGGATTGCATTAAATCTGTAGATTGCTTTGGGTTGTCAAGACGTTTTAACAATATTAGTTCTCCCGGTGAGCATGGAGCACCTCTCCATCTGTTTCTGTCATCTTCAATCTCTGTCATCAGTATTTTTATAGTTTTCAGAGTGCAGGTCTTTCACTCCTTTGGTTAAGTTTATTCCTAGGTATTTTGTTCTTTTGGTGCGATCCTAAATGGGATTGTTTTTCTTGACTTTTCCTTCTGCTACTGCTTTATGAATGTGAAGAAACTCAACAGATTTCTGTACATTAATTTGTTCCTTGCAAATTTACTGAATTAATTTATCAATTCTATTTATGTTTTGGTGGCGTCCTCAGGGTTTTCTACATATAGTATCATGTCATCTGTAAATAGTGACAGTTTTACTTTATCACTCAGGATGCCTCTTATTTCTTCTTCTTGTTTGAGTGCAGTAGCTAGGGGTGCCGGTACTATGTTGAATGGAGGTGGTGAGAGTGGACATCCTTGTCTTGTTCCTGATCTTATAGAAAAAACTGCCAGTTTTCCCTACAGGGTATGTGGTTAGCTGTGGCTTTTTCACAAATGGCCTTTATTATGTTGAGATATGTTTCCTCTGAACCTGCTTTGTTGAGATCTTTTATCATGAATGGATGTTGTACTTTGTCAATTGCTTTTTCTGCATCTATTGAGATGATCATATAGTTTTTATCCTTTCTTTTGTTAATATGATGTATCATGTTGATTGATTTGCAAATAGTGAACCCTCTGGCATCCCTGGAATAAATCCTACTTGAACGTGGTGAAAGCCTAAAATTTTTTGGTAAACATCTTCCCAGATAGCTCCTCTCTTTCTCTTATTTCTCTTAGATATAGAGGTAGGGGGGTGCTTGGGTGGCTCAGTCGGTTGGGCGACTGACTTCGGCTCATGTCATGATATCATGGTTTGTGAGTTCGAGCCCCGCATTGGGCTCTGTGCTGACAGCTCAGGTCATGGAGCCTGCTTCAAATTCTG